GTTTTGTCCACAGTGGGGATCAGGAAGGGATGTCCTAGCCTTAATCTTGACCCATGAGCTTTTTCATTCTTTCCGTTTTCTCCCCCACCCTGCAGGATGGGGTAGGGAGAGAACAAGTGGCCATGTAGTGCTTGGCTGTGGACCGAGGCCACCCCGCCACCACCCCTAGAGCTGGCTGTGTGCCAACGGGCACAGAGGGACAAGAACTGTGACATGGATGCACCAGAAGGACAAGGTGTAGCAGCATCAGACAGCATTTTCTGGCGCCTGCTGCTGGCTTTAACCTCCAGATATTCAAGTTTCTCAGGTAAAACCAGGAATAATATATGCACAATTTAGTTACAAGCATTGCTTTAAAAGATAATGGCTTGAAACCACGGCCAAGGAGCATCTATCCCTTCAGGGGAGCAGTGTCTGCACATGGTAGGCACAGGATGCAATCCAATTCAGACTTCAGAAGTAGCAACATTTTCACCTCTTTTCGAAATGAGAATCACTTGCTTGACAATTATCTCATTATTATTTTTACATTTAGGATATTAAACCATTATTCACATTTATTTCATCTTTGCTGGTTAGAAAGGCATGCCAAAATTAAAAACGCTACTTGGAACTACCTGTTCCACAGCAAAAATGAATTATACTTCAATCTGACAGCGAGAAAAGCATTCCCCGCTGGGACATTAAAGGGTACGAAGATTTAGGAGCAGGGGGAGAGCTCCTGGTGCTGGCGGGAGCCGGGAGCGCCCAGGGGACAGCCGGAGCCGGGCCCGGTGCGGCACCGAGAGCCGCCGGGACCTGCCGGCGGGGCTCCCCGGGCCCTCTATTTTTACCGCGGTATGTTTTGCATTCAGACTTTCCACTGCAGGCGGCCCGGGTCAGGGGATCCGCTCTGCCGGGGGAATCTGACAGGTCAGCTCAGCCAGAGTTATTTATAGAGGGCGGGGGACTGAGGGAAAGGATGCGATCGGCATCGTATTCTTCTGCCGCGGGGCTGCGGACTGGGAGAGGCAGCCAGGAGCAGCCCCCCCGTTCGCCCCTCAGCACAGCCGGGCACGGCGGCCGCGGCCGGGAGAGGGGACAGCCGCTGCACACTGGGGCTGCTGCCGTGAGAGCCAAAGGGACAAAGCCCAGGCGCCCTTCCTTCCCTCTTTCCCCCCGCTTTAACTCGTGCAGCCTCTCGGGGAGTGAGGACCCCACGCAGCTGCTGGTGCCCGCGGCCACAGGTGCCAGCAAGGGGAGGGGGCTCCCACGCCCTGGCACCCAGAGTGAGGCTCAGGACAGTTCTCGGTGAAACTGCTCACAAGTCAACAGCTGACTGCAGAGGGCCGAGAGAATTAAAAATTCAGAGGCAATGAGAGTAGTCAGGCTGGAGCTATCTGGATACTGTCTTCAGTCACTGTTCTAAGTGTGAAAACCTTTACAAGGAGAATTTAAGCTTTCTTTCTCCTGCTATGACAATCCATCAGTTCACAGCGGGTTATCACCTACCCTTCTCTCCTGGCGCTGGAGAACTGCATGTACCCAGCCTGCCACTTAACGAGGTCCATTTCTTTTTGGTAGGGAAAGAAACTGGGACAGACTACAAGCATCAGTATTTCAAACTGTAATCACACTGCCCCCCTCAAGCCCCGCTGCTTACTTAGCTGCTTCATCCTGAAGGCATTTAAATATCAGGAGGTGTCTGGCAGCCACATTTGGAAGGGCCTAAGCTGCATGTGCAAGTCTAAAACTGCCCTGCTGCAAGTGGCCTGACATCCGCCCCTGCCAAAACCCTGGCTGGCATTCAGAAACAAGACATTCATCTGGCCTTGTAAGCACTTGCTAAGGATACCTGACAGCTGACAGGACTCTTCCCGCACAATGTAGCTATAAGCACCTTCTTTTAAAACCTGACCACACTAGGAGATAGTGCCATTGTATGTAGCTGCCTAATAGCATGATCTGTTCAGCCTGGAAGCAGATGACCTGGTGCCCAGGGCATCCTGGTCCAGGTGGGGTCAAAGCCACAGCTCCCACCTCTTAAGGAAGTACCAGTAGAGCTTATATTTTGTATCCTGGATTGGGATGACCTGAGTCTGCTGGGCCTCAGCATGGCAAAGATTCAGGCTCAAACATCTACTTAGTCACACTGCTTGAAGTGCTGTCCTCCTGCTTGTGTACAAAGGGTTTGTTTGTGGTTCAGCATTTGTTGGTTAGAGCTGAGCAGGAGCTGCTGGATTTCTTTGCCAGCTACAACCATCCCAACATTCTCTTGCCTGTCCCACCTTCCCTTGAAAGGACCATTTTTCTTCTGACAAATGAGATTTCTGTCTAGGTGCTTATCCACCTCAGCTTCTGCACACATTCCTTGTCTGGCTATGCGAGTAATGACAAGAAATTATTTGTCTGGCAATACATGGACTTAATATAATGCCAGCACAGTAATGTTCCTCAAGGGAGCTGAGTGCTAAGACTTAAATATGTATATCAGCTTAGCAGGAAAAGAAAAAGAAAAAAAGGGCAACTCCTACATTCAAGTAAACCCACATTTAAAAATAATTACTGGCACTGTTAACAGTCCTGGCTTTCACTTGTATCTGCAGACATCATCTAATACATAACAGCCAAACAGTAACAGAGATATATAAAGTTTTCCTGTTCACATTTTATAGAATACCTCCAATCATTACACATTTCAAATCATCTACATACAATACTTTTAATTCACTGGACACTCAAGTTATCTGCATACAGTAGAGTGCCAGCTAAGACTTGTGGAAAGGAAGTGAATGTTTTCTTCAGTATTTTATAGTTCCAGCTCCAAAAGACTCAGGAAAAAGAATATTTTGTCCTGATGGCCTCATGAGATACTAAGTGCACAAGAGAACTCCTCTAACATGGGAAAGCTGCTGTGCTGCCTGGCTCACCACCACGAGAGCCCTCTCGGAAAAATGAGTGCTGGTGGCTCCCTTCAAAATGCATGTTTAGTGAGGATTACATGTGGGGCTGGAGGGCCAGGCTTCTCCACAGGCAGAAAGATCCATCTGCCTGTTGGGGTATTTCATAAATGGCCTTTGGAGGAGGGAAAAAATGTCGTAAACATTTAATTTCTAAAAGAGGTTTGAACACTGTTTAGGATTCCCTTGTTCACCTGGAGGAGTCCCCATCTTTCTCCAGAACCTAGATGTCCAAGGTCCTCTAGGGATGCCACCAGCTTTTGTAGGGACACAGGCAGAGGAGTTCTCTAATTTCTTGTATTACAACTTTTTAGTTGTTTGGACTATCTCAGTGATACATTCGTTCATCTATGGGCCACAGTACCCAAGACAGAGATCTCCATCTAGAGCATCCATTACAAAAACAAACTAAAGAATATAGTTCTGCTGACTGGTCCATTCTTTAGGAACACAGGAAGGGGGGTGTACGTAGCCATATGGAAAAATCCACTGCCATACTCTTACTGCTGAAAGCCAAAACTTCCCAAGAGGTCCCGTGAATGCATTAAAAGCTTTAGCTATTTGGTTTCACTTCAGTTTCACCATCTCAGCCAGACTACTATAGTAATTTAAGTTAATTAATTAATTGCCTGCCATGAAATGCATCCAAGGATCCTGCATTTTAAATCAAGTGGAGCAATGACACTACTAAAGTATACTGCCGTGTTTATAAACTTGTGAAACCCGCTGCTGTGCCATTTCGGTCGCGTACGATCGGTGAGACAGCGCGAGCAGCTCCGTGCCCCCCTCCGCAGGAGCCACGCATCAGGCTCAGCACTCCTGCGCGGCGCTCGCCGCTCCCTCCCTGCGGACGCTCCCACTGTACAGCTGCGGCCCCTCTGACAGCGCCACCCGCGCCGGGGACACCGGGGCGACACCTGCGCCCCGGCTAGCGGAGGGATGGGCAGGCTGAGGGGACCCACCCTGCAAGTTCGCACTAATACAGCAGCCACCTCCTGCAAGTTTCCTCTCTCCCCCTCTTACGCAGCCTCTCCCCCACGGGCAGACCCCCTCATCCTCCCCACAGGTGTGTGCTGGAGACTGCCCACACCGCGCTATCTATCCCCTTAGGACACTGTTAACCACAGAGGCTGGCTCGCTCTCCCTGGAAGGGTGAAATGCCCCCTCTGTGACCCTGTGCAAGGTATCCTCCTCCCGCGGGTGGTGGCGGCCAGGGGTACCGTCCCGCCGGACAGCCGTGGGAGGGGAGTGGGTGTTCCTCCGCCCGACCCCAGGGTGCACCGACGCAAGGGTAAAGCCAGCTCCCCCTGATGCCGGGAGGCAACTACCGCGCCGGGGTCACGGTGCATCGGCTCCGCGGGAGCCCGGCCGCCGATGGAGCTGCCATGACAGCCTCGCCAGAGGTAAAGCCGAAACTTCGTTCCTGCAAATCCTAGCCGGACCCGTTGTCGTCGGGTTCGGCCAACTCCTCCCCGCGCCTTCCAGCGGCAGAGCATTCAACGGGCACAGCAGCCCCCCGATCTTCCGCGCTTGGTGAGAAAACCGGGGCGAGGGCGCCGCTCGGATCGCCCTGAGACGCCGACAACGAGCGCTTGTTGGCTGTGGCTCACCTGCATCCCGCGCCTCTGAACGCGGCCGTCCCCGGCGCGACCCCGCAACTTTCGGCACAGGAGCGCTCCGGGACGGCCCCATCGCGGCAGGCTGGGCGCGGGCGGTCACTCGTCCTCGGCCGTCCCCCAGGCCGCGCCTCAGTGGGACACGGCCCCGTCCCTGCCTGCGAGCCACGGGTCCGCTCTCGCTACAACAACTCGGCGGGCTCGGAGCGGGGGTCGCCCCTTCTCCGCTTGCCCGAGAAACCTGCCGCTCAGCCCCACGGCTGTGCGCCGCGCACGGGAACTGCCCGCTGGGCCGGCGGCGGCCGGGGGTATCCCCTGAGCGCGCTGTCCGCGCACACAGCCCGGGGGTCGCCGAGCGACCGAGACAGCCGCCCTCCCAAGCCCCCGGCCCGCGGTCCCCAGGCGGTCCCCCGCTAGGAGCGGAGCGCCCTGAGGTTCGCCTTACCCGGCTGGCGGAGAGGACCTGCCGGTAGCGCTCCTCCGCCGCGGGCAGGGCAGGGAACTGTTGCGTGGAAAGCATGCTCTGGCTGCTGCTGACCCCTCTCCACTTCGGCCGCCCCCTCACCCTTCTCTACCTCGGTCTCTGACGAACTGTGCCCACCCGCCTCCCGCACAGACACACTTGCAGGGAGGGCTTCGCATTTTGTCTGCTCCGCAGACTCCCCCTCCCCGCTCCTCCACCCAATAATAATAAACCTCCGCGAGAAACAGCCACATCCCCACCCCTTTCGCACACAAGGCTCTACCCCTTGGGGACAAGCTGAGAGACAGCCCACTTACTAATTTCGCCCTAAAGCCGTCCCCCAGGGAGGGCGGATGAAGTGGGCACAGCCTTTGCGCCCCCCTCCCCCCAATCCGGTTAAGGGACGCCTCGTCATGCTGCGAAGGGCTTCAGGTGGCAAGACAAGCCTGAGTCAAGAGATGCTGTAGGGGGCAAGAAGCCGCGGAGCTCACCCCTCGCACCCCTTACCTTGGCTGGCCGGGGCTCCCCCGCGCCCTGGCCCCGAGGCGCCCAGACGCGCACTTGCGGCTGAAGCGATCCGAAGGCAGCCCAGCGCACGGACATGCAGGCGCTCTCGGCCCACCGACCGAGGCGCAGAGTTCAGAGCGGGGGTTGGCAAGCACGGACCAGATCGCCAGGTCCCGCCATTCATCCGCGGCTCCCGGCTGGACTTCCCTGCGCTTTATTTTACGTTACGGTCAGGCAAAGGCTTTCCTTTCAGCCCAGGGAACGAGAGTTTCGCGCCTGCAGGGACTGCAACGCTTCCCCCTGTAGCACAGAGGCTGGCCTGTCGCAGCCAGCCTCTAAGGCTCCAAAGAGATTTTGAAAGAGGAGCTGGCACCGCAGAAGCGGGAAGGAAGGAGCTCCGGCAGGAGGAACCTCCCGGAGCCAGCGACACGTTTTCTCCTGCTCCTTCCCCGCAGGAGGGCTCCGCTCCCAGCGCCCTGGCGACAAGCCTGCCGTGCTCCGTCCCTCCCCTGCGAGGAAGCGCTGAGCGGGAGAACAGCGGCGACCTGACGACGTTATCTCTTGTCCCCGCGCCGGTCCTGGTCCTGACCGGCCCCAACGATCCGGAGCTGGAGGGATGTACTGGTTGTTGCATATCTGTTGAAGCAAAATTCTCAGGCCAAGAGACAAGTACTGCCTGAAGCTGCAAATGACAGAGCAAATGTCCTATCCCCATGGGATACCAGCTTTTAAGATACGCATTTGATTTTTTGTCACTTTTCCCTGTATTTGCAATTCAAAGATCTCAACTCTGACTTAAGTCTCGTCTGTGCACACAACGGAGCTCACCAATACTATCCAAGAATGATAAAGTCAACAGGACAAAAGGCAAAACAATGAGTACAAAATGGGCAGAAGTGTGTGCTACTAGAATAGAAACAGTTCAGGACTCTTCCAAGAGTCACAGAAAGATGTCACTGGCACTGCAGCTGGGTTCTGAGATGCCATCTCTAAAACAGAAAGGCTTCCAGTTTTCACTGTGCATGATTCAGTGCTTCTGAAATGCTATCATTCAAAATCTGAATCAGAAATCATTCAAAATCTGAATCAGAAAACACCCAAGAAAGTGAACTACCACCTCTCCATGAATATGGCTTCCAGTCCTGTCACCACTCTTGACAATTATTGAGGGTGATACCCCCCCATAACTGTTTATATCTGTAAATATAAACACACGGTACTATATATGTTTATATATAAAGAATAAATAAGATGAACATGTCTTAGCTTTCTTTTTTTTTTTCAGTTTATTTTCCATACCTGTATTTCCATACCTTCAGATTTAGGCCCAGTTAAACGTGTAAATGTTATAGTGCAGACAGTATTCTCTATGCTTCTGAAGTGCAAATGTACATAAGAGGCTTCTGTTCACAGTAATTCAGTGCTGAACTTTTTACCCAACCAACCAAACATCTCTTCTAATCAACCTCCAGCATCTGGAGGAAAACAGTGGTGGTTTTAAAACAATTACACAAAAAATAGGAAAAGCATGGGAAGAGAGAGAAGCAAGACCATTTATGCAAAATCATCATATTGCTTAATGTAAAACAACGAATATTTTGTGCTGTAATGCAGGAATCAAACCATAATTTGTGATTCATTGCAGAGATTAGGTAGCCCTGACAAAAATTCTAATAACAACAAATGAAAACTTATATCTGAGAGCAGTATATAACTCAGACTGCAAAGCCAGCTTGGCCTTGGCTGAGGATGGCTTCAGCTGGAGAATTGTGAATTCCAAACCTCAAGCCAGTCTTGACTCCTAATCTAATTTCCTTCAACAGGAGAGCCACTGAGACAGGAGTTTCACAACAAGATTCAGCAGCAGCACACAAAGAAAGCCTGAGTTCTGGTTTTGTTGATGATTTTATGGAAAACACTGCATGAGCAACAATTATTTAGCTTAAATAATGCTTGTTTGATCAAGGCACAGTTCCCTCACAGTATGACTATCTCTACAGCTGCTGTTTAGCCTAGCTTACAGCTGAGTTTGACGTACCACAGTTCATATTCATACACTATCCATACCATGGACTTGTTTTCTGGTACCATGGCATATAGACATCTTAATGCAATGTTCAAATAATTCATTAACATCTAACCATCTTTCCATATCTGTGGAAGGAAGCATATATCATTATCTTATAATTTATTTCACTTAATTTGTTTTTTTCCCTAATCTTTTCCTTGCATTTCTTTTCCTAGGGAATACAAAATACTACAGGTTCTTAATATTCTAATTCTCTAGAGCAACTGACTAAATTACTTGAAAAAGGGCAGACGGGAATACAAATATATTAATGAAGCAGGAAATGGGAGCCATTGAAATGCTCACAGAAAACAACTGGAAACAGAATGAAACCAAAGCAGAAGAGGGATATCCAAACTAAATGAAAATGAGGACAGGGTCACACATGAACTGGTCAAACAAGAATGCTCCACTCTAAAGCACACACCAGAGAGCAGCTGCCACACACACCCAGCTTCCACTGCCTGGCACTGGAACACACTTCAGACCAAGCATCTCTGTGCTCTAACCTCACACCACACTAGCTCATCACTCAGAGAAAGCTGGCACAGGGCAGATATGTTTTGGAGCTTGAACTACTGCTGAGATGATAAACTCAAGAGTTCACTGCTTTAAAGCCACAATAAAACATAGATGCTTTTATGAACAAATTTTAGTGCTATCTGCTTAGTAACATTTCCTTCTCTAGTAGTTAAGGTCACCACAAATGTCTAATAAATCAGATATATTTCTCCCTGTGAGGCCAAAAAAATCTAGTAAATCCATTCCTATTTATTTCATGTTAATCCACTTCCCCAACCCATTCTCACAATTTTGTCAGAGCAGTAACATGAAGGAACACAATTACATAATTGCAGCATTAATCTGAGAAGTAAGAACTATCACTGCCAGAGAATGCAAAAAAGCATACCTAAAACTTGGGCTGCAGTATGTCAGTCATCATTACCTGGGAAGTTTGCTGCTTCACTAAACCAGTCCTTGAGAATAAGCAATTTTTCAAGTTGTTTTTGATACATTTATTGTCTGACTTGGTTTTCACATTAAATTAACATACACAATGGATTTGATATTGTTACAGGGAAAAAACCTGCCCTAGGAGTTTCCAATCCCAAACATACCAACCACCTCTAAGAACCTTAGCTCAGTGGAAGGATACATTTTCACCACAATGGATCCAGAATCAGGAAAAGCCCCAGGTTTTTTTCATTTTACACATAGCTAGATAGTCTTCATGTTAAATCATAATCAGGCTTCTATTGCTGTAATTTCCCTTCAACAGCAGGTCAGATTACATAATTTGTTTTAGCATATACTGATTAATATGCATTTTTTGTAAGCTGTTACCATTCCAAATATTTGCTCATTACATTATGTAACAGTACATTACATATAAATTGCTACCAAATCCTACCTTCAGTTCAAAATTTCTTTTCTAAAATTACCATCTTTCATTAACATTGAATAAAAGGTGATTTTATCTGTACCTTTTATTTCAAAGGCTGTTGACAACATGCAGCTCCAACCAAAGAAAGGCAAAATATTAACAATAAAGGTATTTTAAAGAAACAAACAAAAACCTACTGATTTATTAAGCTGCAGATTGCTTGAGCCCCCACACTTTTTTATGCCAAGAAATAAATATCTGGTTCAGTAGGCAGACCAACAGAGTGCAAATGACTCAGATGGTTGGATAAGATATACAGAACTATTTTGAATAAAATTTCAAAAATAGGTATGCCTTGCATATGCAAGGTTCAGAAGAGATACAAATACTTTAAGAAAGGGAATATGCCCACTCACACATACCTTTGTATGAACAGAATGAATTTGTATAGTAAAAAAGCATGGCAATCTTTAATTAAGTTGATCAATGAGAAGCCTTTTCCTCTCCAGTATTTCCCACAAATATGCAGAAAAGAATACTAAGAACTTCTTCAAACACATAACAAGTGCAGTTAATTAGTAAAACTTGCTAGAGAGAGGTTTCTTCTCTTTGCTGTAGAAGCAAGTATAAACTTTCCATGGTACTTATTTTAAAGCTAGCAGTAAATATAAAAATTAGTGATAGTCATGCAAGATAACAGCTGTTTCCACAATGTTCTCATTCATGTTGATTTCCATATTTCAGCCTGAAAGGTTTCTTTCTGTACTTTGGGATAACCCATCACATTTTACTTACCTGAACAAAAATATCTCTCCTTTTCCCTCAGTGACAGAAGACATATGCAGTCACACAATAGCATCACCTCACTCTGTCAAAGAAAACTTACTTGTATCTGAAATTATTTTCCAGCCATTAATATGATAGAAAAAAAAGTTAAAGCAACAATATGAAACATTGTTTACTTTTTATACTAGAAAATAAGAAATTCAACTGAGATGCAACTTTGCATAGTGTAATTTCAATTAATTCTACAACTTCAGCTACTAATGGTCTGACACATAATTGATATGCATCTCTGAAATGTCAGTTAAAAAAGTGCTATAAAATGGAAACAATCCATGATAAACACCGCCAAGTTCTCCCCACTTTTCTCCTCATTCACCAAACTTCTGTAAAAAATTGAAAAGGAACTGATTTTATTCCAGTTTTCTTAATTTATGTAATCAACAGCTTCTGTCTTTTTGCAGCTTTTCTATTTATTTTCATGCTGCTGAATCAGAATTACAATTGGATATCTGTTCAAATTAATAGTGGGTCCTTTTACAAGTAAGTCAAAATCAGCCAGAAGAGCTTTCAAGCAAACTGCAATGTTTTCTACTAACTCATACAAACGGTCCCAGTGCTTTTGCAGGATTTGTGATGAAATTATATGCCTGAATTACAAGGGCATAATACTAATACCCATTGGCTATGCACCCCATTTTTTTGCCAGAGCTTCTAATCACTTTGCAGTAATCTGCAACGCTCAAGTATCAGCAAAAAGTTTCTAGCAGAGCTTTAAAAATTCAATTTTCTGATTTTCCTGTTCCTGAATTTAACTTGCAATCTCTCAGCTGAGACTACATACCTTCTTTGACAATCCTGAAGCCAGATAAAAAATTTCCAGTTCTACCAACCAATACTGATAATCTAAAGCACAGTATTCAAAACTGTCTGTAAGAAAATACTTAAGCATTTAGAAGTTTAACTAGATGGTTTAATTGTTGTGGGAAACAGTAAAAGTAAGAAGACTTTCAGAAGGTGTGAAAGCAGGCTTCAGAAAAGAAAAAGCAGAGAACTTAGAGCTAGCTGCAAAGCCTGAAAGTAAAGATACAATAATACAATATCCAAGGACATGAAACAATAGTGGAGTTTTCAGGCTTGGCTAAGATAGATCCTAAGGCTGCAGAAAAATATGCTTCCCAAGATAGCAGAAAGTTTTAAGCTTAATGACAGAGTATTATGTATTGTTAATAGAAAGCAAACAAGCAAGCACTGTCTGAAGCAGGTGTATGTGTGCTTTTAGTGATTGGCTAGAACAATTGTCTGTAAACTTTAGCAATATGCTATTGGCCAAAAAATTTTTAAAGTGTTCTGTAACAAAGAGATCTTGGGCTGTTCGTGGCAGACGTGAGCTTGTGCCGTCTCCTGTGTCTGTAGCTGAAAAGGGTGCCTGAATAAAGTTTGTGATGCATCACCCAGCAGTCCCAGCCCATTTGTGAAAAATTAACCTCCAGCAAATGTGACTACCAAGCACCATCCAGATGGCTTTAGAACATCATATAACTGGATTGTTACACTATCCAATTACAATTTTGCACACCTATGCAAATATCCAACTCTGACATTTATCCATACAAACAGTCAATTGATATTCTTAATTTCAAATTGTTTTGCTGCTTCTGGCAATTGGGGCAACAGTGACAATGCACCCGTGTACCCTGAATCTTCACATCCATGTTCAGCATGTGTATCTGTCCACTAATGGAATTTTTCAGTTACTTCGATTTTGAGGAAACAAGGGTGGGATGGGGTGGAGTGAAACAATGAAAAAGCAAACCGCACAGTTTGTAAGGGGAGGAGGGCACTGTTTTGTCTGTGATATAGCTAAATTGAATGACAGCTCACATTTCCTTTATCTGAACAAAGTTCTGAACAAGGCTCCAGAATATTCAAACCTAAGTGACCCAAGGTTCCCTGTTAGCTGTCATAATTAAAACTGGCATGAAGCACAGAAATTATCATATGATACAACAAAGATTAGCATTAAGAACACTAACCTTCAATAAACCACTAAGCTGATTTTACAGGAAACATATATTCAATAAAGCATTTTATACTAAGCTATTCCTAGTATTATGAAATGGAGACAAGGAAACATAACATTACTAATAGAAGAGATGTTAACAAATCTCAGTCAAACTATCAACACTTCAGCATAGACCAGAATCTACTATTAGTTTCAGTGTCTGAGTTCAGTTTTGTTATGTAATAACACAAAAGGTGACATTTCTTTCCTCCTCTGCATTTTTCTTAGCAAATAGTATACATACAAACCTATGCATATTAAGTTGTGTTACACACAGACTAACATTCTAGGAATAATAGCTACCTAAAGTCCAACTGAGGTATATTAAATATTGAGTTGTTTTCAGTCATTGTAGACCACGAGCCATGCAACCATCACAACAGCAACTCCGAACACTGGCAGCATAATGAGGTTCTTGTACTTTTGCCACGATGATTGTTCAACTTCTACCTCATCCTTTCTTCTCTTATTCTTCCTTCGCCCTTTTAATCTGTTTTCAAAAGCTTCCAGTTCAGCCTAAATAAAGAGAACCACAAGCAATTGACATTTGTTTCAGAATTAAGAACAAGGAAATGTGAAGGTTTTAAGTAACTACCAAACAACATATCATAGAAGTAACTGTCAGCCAATGGAAGTTACACGTCTCAGAGATGAGATGGTAGCACAACATCCCACAGGTACAAAGCATGTTGCTTTCAAGTATTAAACTGTTGTTTAGCTTCCTATAAAAACATTGCCAAAAATGTAGCCAGCTGAAGTTTTGCATGCTCAGTTTTTTAACTCAGGCTGAATACATTAAGCTAAAATAAGATTGTTATTTCCATGAAATGTTAAATTTAATTTTTTTTCCTATTAAAAAACACATTTTAAGCTATTTTACGAACTTCTATAAGGGCATAGGCTGAAATCTTCAAAGACAACCCCTAATAATAAAGATGCAGTCTGCCAAAAATAAATTAATGAAAACATAAATAACTAAAAATCTGTGCTATTTCCCTCAATTCTTTGTATTTGCATGCCCAATAAATTTTATTTCAATTGCAATCATCTTAGATATGCACAAAAATATTCCATTTATTAAGTGTTATAATTTGAACATTTAATCAATCATATGACTGTAAGAGGTATATAATATAATATATATTATAATATAAAGCATATGCCTATAGGCCCAAAAATCGAGCAAAACAATTGCAAAAGTAAGAATGTCAGGCTTCCGACAAAGGGTTTTGTCGGAAGACCATTTTCAGGGTCTTGTCTGGAATAAACAATAGGATCCCTGATCCCTGTTCCTCGTCCCCCTTCATATTTTTTTAAAAGACCATCAAGAGAATACAGAAAAAACTCAAATTTGAGTGTACAAAGCTGAAATAAAACTCAAACTAGGTAGCCTAGAACAGAGTGAAGACTAAGATGAGGCTCCAATGAGAAGGCATCTAATTGCTAAGAAAATTAGAAGAGATGCTCTAAAGACCTGAGACAGACTAAAATCAGAAAAGGTCTGATGATTACCTGGAGTTTTGGTCAAGTTGTTAGCTACTAGAGAAAACACAGGTCAAGGCACTACGGAGCAGAGAAACCAGATGGAGTGAAAGGGAAAAGAGATGGGAGTAGCAAAGCACAGCAAGCCAGGACTGGCTGGGCAAAAGGCACAAGACTGAGCTGAAGCAGAGGAATCATGGACAGTGAACAGAGACAAAGCCTGACCATGAGAGGAAATAAATATATGTGACTACAACTGCAGTGCTGCCAGGAAGAGGGACTAATACAATACACTAGGTGCACTAAAAAAGACAAGAAAAAGACTGTTTTGGGAAATGGAGAGAGTAGTAGTTCAGTAAATAAAATTTTCCCTCAGAACTCAAGGTTGCCTGATGTCTGGTCTTCCTCCACTGACAGCAAATATTTGTCAGAGTTTCACAAAGCAGTTCTTCCCTTCCTGTGCCAGATACCACTGTTAGCAGGAAAAAGGGACCTATTTTGATGTCTATTCCTTTGTACCTAATAAAGGCAGAAATTGCTGGCACTTCTCTGATGATATGGGAGAAGAGTTCAGACGAAGTCACAGCATATTTTGAAACAAGATTACTCTTAACTAGCTAATCCTCCCTTAGAAAAGCAAGTATTTCAATGGAACAGTTTTTCAAACTCTGGAGGCAAGGGCAGAGGTTTTTATGGTTTAATAGACAATATGGCAGTATTTCATTTTAGACAGACACTTAAGGAAAATTTGGGGCTTCTACAGTTACTATACACTTGTGATCAGTACATTTTAAAAGCAGAAAGCTCTATGAATTGCCATAATTAAATTAAAGTGCTCAAACAAAATTATGTAATAGCTATTGAATCGTTTTCCTAGTGAACTCTACAAAAACCTGTCTAAAAATAAATACACAATTTTAAAAGCCAAAATACAGAATGACAAAAGATTTTTAGGCACAGAATATGAGAGAGAAGCCATTACTACTCTTGAAAAGCTACCTACATATTTTGTGTAACTGTCACATTCCTGAAGTGACAGCTCCTGAACGATCTCTGAGTCTTCAAACAAACTTAATTCTTCAAAACAAGCTTAGGGTTTTTATTTAGATAAGAACCTAACTTCTTTGTATATAAACATAATAGAAGTAAAATGAAATGTGTTTATTTAAACTGTATACTCAAAACATCTAGTTCAGTGTTGTTCAGGCACTGGATTTTGTTCTTTCATGTGTTATTCACTATATTCTTCCTGCACTGAAAGGAGTAGCATTCCCATTGGAAAATGTAGCTAAAGGAATGCACGTAACAATGATAAAGTGTCTTTTCTGAAAGTGAGGATATATTTTTATTAATAGGGGAGGGGAACACTTGACTTTTTAAACTTCTAAGGATCTGTTATAATTTTTTCTTCGTACATTAAAAAAGGGAAACAAAACCTTTCATACAACTCAGTGAATTACACTTCAGATTCAAGACCTTAGCTTCCAGTATTTGAACTCTAAACAGTTAGCTTGAAAGTTTAACCAAATCTTTTACAATGGAGAAGGACAGAGAGAGATTGGTCTGAGTTGTTAAATAATCGAAGTGTTGATCTTTTTCCACCTCTAGCAATTGTGAAAACCCTGGCCTCACAGGGTGCCTCTGAATTAGAAGCAGAGGGAAAGTTTGGCTGCTAGGGCCATGACAAGAAGCCTAGCCAAGCCATCTCTTCCACTAAGAAACAAGTGATTCCATCTGTAAATGGTATTAGCAAAACCTGCTCCCAAATATAGCAAATACCAAAATATAAATGCACAGACTTACTAGAGCACTAATTTGTATATAAAGCATTTAATGAAGTATTAATCGAAATAGGTTTAAGGAACTGTGACTAATAGATGAACAGTCTCTACAAAAATGTGCTAATGATATTGAGGAAGGTAGTACAAGATGCAAACTTTTGTCAGAAGGGAGTACACTCAAAAATATACTCTTAATGTGACCCGACATCCTAGAATAGTCATGTCCTCCAATTTCTATCAACAGATGGCAGATTATGAGTTCTAACTGGATGGGAACCAATGTTACATAAAAAGGCTGCAGTAGTTGAGGTTAGTACTTGTATGCAGTTCTAGAACCTATTTATTAGTTACAGCTGTCCAATTTTTTTTACAGTTTGTTTTGTGTTTTGTTTTTTTACTGTTTTTGTCCTACTGTTTCCTAATGCAATAATTAACTATCAACTCTTAATTAACCTTTCAATAGGGTTCATTATGTATAAGATGGAATTTTCTATCCCTTAAGTTGTATCCATCACAAAGCACATATGCAAGAGCAGTTGCCATATATTATTGCATGAAGTTGCTACTGTTGGGCTGGAACTGCGAGACTTCAGAGAATGTACAAGTAGAAAGCAATAGTGGTGTGACTGCAGAAAGAAACAATCACTGCTGAAGAACCCACCCAAAATCCAGCACATTATGTTGGTAGAGTAAATCTGCTATTGATATAGAGGAGCCTCCTTACTGAGACTTGACTAGAGGGACTGTAAATTGATTTGGGCAGAAATAATTAATGTTTGGGTGGGATGCCTTCTGGAATGCATGAAAACAGTTCAAGACAAATATCAGCAACTTTGGCTTCCTAGCTCTGGGACTGTTAAGCGTGTTCTTTACAAGTTTAAATGCCCATCAGCACATCTCAGTACTTAGCTTGTAGAACCAACACCTACAGATTTCCTCAGCCCAATTTGTTTCAGACATCTGTATGTAAATTACACTTCCTGACCTATATACCAGAAGTAACATTTCTAGGGTCAGCTTAGAGAACAAGAATTAGATGAACTGTCTAGGAGTTATATGGGGGAATATGTGCTCAGTAGTGTAGACAGCTGAGATACGAATATTGCAATAAACATTGCAGGATGTTCACAAAACAATGCCTGGTGCTCTGGACAATAGATGCATAACCATGCTTTTCTTGCAGGATGAGCAGACAAGGTTCCCCTCTGCCAAACAGAAACAGGCCTTGCAGAGCATTTTAGATGTAACATTTTCATTAATTGCTTAGAAAACTTACAAAGTGTGTGTAATAGAAGTTGCAACCCACAGAGAAACTGTTTTATCTTAAAGAGATTGGTGAAATGGCACAAGTGGATCAGTTCTGCAAGCTGCTAACTTGCCTCCCTTGTCCCCTTCCAAGAAGGGAGCAAGCCGCTGATCCCTGATAAAAACAGAGTGTGACATGCAGGCAAAAACACAAGTGTCAGCTAAATACATAGATGCTGTGACAACTGAGTAAAAGGAGTCAGAAAGCACACACCGGACATGGACTATGATTTGGTGTCAAATGCTCACTCAGGCACAGGCACACATGCATGAACTAGCTGGAAGGTGTGCAGAATCCAGATGACAAACCTGACCTAGCCATCACCACCAACTGAGCTTACAGTGTTTGCCTGAATATGATTAGTATCAGCACCTCCAGGCAGCTGGCACAGCAGCTTTGTGGATTACAATGCCAACCACATACCCTCACCACCAACAGCAATTCCAGCAAATACATGTTTCCTCCCCGCCCCAGAGACCTTGAAGGACAAAGACTCATCTAGCTGTCCTTGTTTTTCCATGACAGGAGGGAGAAGGGAGCTTCACCCAACATTTAAATCTTGCAGAGGCTATTCAGTATCCTGTGGCATTTATACCGTGTAAAGTGTTTGATTAAAATAAAGCATACTTAGTATTTTAAAAATAAATTACATTATGCAAAGTTATAGTAATACAAAGTTACCATTTTGTTCAAAATTATGAACAGTTTGGGGAAATGTGGCTTCAAACATTGTAAATAATCTACAGCACACAGAGTATGGTAACAGCTGACAGGAATGTCTGTGCATATCACACTAAAAACTAAACATCTTTAATTGCATGTAAATTACATTATTTAGTAACAAGAACAAGGTGAGGATGATGTGGATGAGGAAGAAGAAAGGCTAATACCTGCTGTCTTCGCTTCTCCTCTTCAAGAGCAGCTTTGGCTTCTGCTTCTTTTATCTGTCCAGACACACAAAGTTATAATAAACTGTTGTAAACAGCAGCTAAACCTATTTTCTTAAGGAGTCATATTACTCCTATAGAATGGTTCTCAGCAAAAGTCTGCAAACTTTCCATCATGTGAGCTTCACCATCCAGAAGTCATATGAAAAGTAGTCATGGGAGTTGCAATTCTATAAAAATATTTTGCAGTGTTCAAGAAAGCAAATTAAACGCTATAAAGTATTAAGAAAAAAATGGTGCAGAAAAAATTGTCAATATGTAAAGATGCCACATACTTGAACCTTAGCACCTGCATTCAATTTTGGTGCTATAATAATAAATAAATATGAAATCTGAACATATACAACAGACAACAGGATGGAGTGGCTACCATCTGAAGAGATGCATAACTAGGATTCATCAGGTGACTAACAGGTCACCAAATCCTGGAGAGTATGCAGATGCCAAACAGGGATAAAACACCAATAATTACTTCTCATAATGCAAAGGCATAAAATGAATTTACCAGGGGGTTGGCTCACAACAGAGGAACGTATTCTACTCCCACACAGTATTTGGCTAAATCTAGAATTTCAGTGCTACAGGACATTTGTAGTTGCCAAAAGCTGACATAACCTGAAAAACAACCAGGCATACTAATAGAAGATAAATCCATCAAAGGTCATTAGACAGAAAGACACCCTCTCACCCTCTTAAGTTCCCAGAGAAAGAGTATATGGGAGAAGTTTAAATATCTCCCCTTTTTTATACCTTTTTTAGGCTTTTAGCATTGCAGTCACTGAATCACTAACTTAGAAAAGTTAAATGTAAAAACCTATAAATATCTTGAAATTAAATAAACCTTGATTCTAGTAGCTGGATGATTTGCATACAAACAATGAAAATACTTTACTGAATACTGTTTGCACACGTAGAATTGGTTACAAATAATTTCCAATTCAAGATCTTTTTATGACTAAGGAGAAATCACACTAGCTCATGCTTCAGTTCAAACAGCAGGCACTGCATGCAGGGCCAAAAGCACAGTCCTATTTGAAGGTTTTCAGACAAATTTTTAAATTACTAAACTTTGTATCAAATAAAAGCACTACTGAGAATTTCATTAATCTAGATATAATGGCAGTTTCTTCAGAAATGTGAGTAAAGGACCTTGCCAGCCATGCACATCTGAAATCTGAAAGTCTGGTGTGCAAAAACCTACAGAATGAGCCCCCTCGTTTTTCACTGCCATCTAATGGCAAAACTTCAGCTACAAAAGAAAAAATGATCTTCAAATGTGGAAAAGAGTAACAGAAAAAGCTTCTTTTTACACTGGTGTGGTCAAATTTGTTTACATAGGTATAATGTACACAGATAAAGTGACCCCTAACTATTATAATCACACTATGGAAAAACATTTCTAGGACTATTTCTTTAGTAAAATGTACAGTAAAAGGCACATTCAATTCCTAGGCACCTAGTAAGAAGTGCTTACTCACTAAGTGCCAGACATGAAAAGCTTCATTAAGAATTAATGCACTTTGGTTTTAGAAATTAATGTGTTTTGCAAATGTGTAAACTAATTTATCTTTGTAAATGTCCACAGTTTTCAACAAGTTTTTTTTTCCAGTCTGGACACATTAAACAGTAATAGACATAAATAAAACACTTCCATCAAGTGCCTATAATAGGAGATGACAATTCTAGTATGTCATTTCCACAGTAAGTCAACACAGGCTATAAAAGGGTGCCTATAAAGAATTTAAATAAAATTTTTATCACTTTCTATAAAAATCCCAAAGCAAGTAAATACACATTCTTCTGAGAAGGAGGTACATATAGCAAGGTTGTGCCATCCAGTATGTCTGTGGCATTGCTTACAGCAGAAACTTCTAGCCATTTGCTCACTGCATTAGACCATTTCTCCCTGAGGATTACAACATCAGGGCAAGAAATTTGTAGTAGTATCTGCTCCAGACAAGGAAGCACTGACACTGCACCACACTGAGACATGCTGCTGGGTCTCAGCTCATGCAGTCTTACTGTGAGTTCACCTTGCTTTAGGGAGGGACTCCATATACTATGGACTTACCTTCACATTCTTACTGGAACTGTTTGCTACGCTTGGGATTCCCTAAAGGCATATCCCAAGAGTTTTAGCGTTCAACCTGCTTGCAAAGTTGCAGGATATGGTCAGTGTGGTACTTGTGAGAACTTGTCAATCAATCCTGAAAATCTGAGCAGAAGTTGACTTGTCAGCTTTACCCATTAAGTTCTTGGGTTGTACATTTATCACATCTAATACTTACCTGATAAAACCCAAGCAACTTATGAATCAATTCTTTTTGTGTATGTTTTTATTAAAGGATCATATCCTGACTCTCTGTGTGACAGCACACAGCAAATTCTTTACTTCATAAAACAGTTGAGCTAGGGGAGAAGTCATGTTAACAGCAGCCTAAGTAGTATTCTGAAGTTGCTGGAAAGTCTCAGTTCTTCCAGCATAGGGTAACTAATACTATGTGGCAGGATTATACTCTACACTGGACAAGCTGAGCAACTGATAGCTACAAAACCTTCATTGGAAAGGCAGATCTTACAATGCGCTATGAAGCAGTCTGATTCTAGTCTTACAGCACTAATGACTGAAATTTATCATCACTGCTCATCACTTTTTCTCAGTGAAAGAGGAAAGAATCAGTTCCAATCAGTTTAAAGAAAAAAGGAAAATTACATAATACAGTTATAAAATAGTATTTGAGTCAATTGATATCATTCATATATTCAAGTCTGAAAAAACAGCTACTATTTCAACAGCACATCCACTTATGTTGCATTTCTGCAGATACTGCCTTGAAAAATAATGTGGTTTTTTTCTACTTTTCTTGAAGCTCTTAGAAGAAATTATAGCGACAATGGATACATTACCTCATTGGCTTTCCGCTTCATTTCCTTGCATAATGCATCACATTCCAGTGAAACCTGGTCTTCTTGTATCTTGCTGCACTGTACTTCCTGTAAAGTATAATTTGTCTTTTATAATTTCTCTATATAAGGTTTTAGTTGTCAACTGCTTTATGAAAATAATAAAACTCATTCAGTAAAACATTGGTTTTACATATAAAATAAAGATAGTGACTGAATGTTATTTCAACCTGTAATTATGTATTAAACTGTCCTTTTTTTTTCCTTCTTTCTAACAAACTAAGCTGAAAGGAAGAATAAATCAATCAAGTCCAGTTTAATTTTTCTCCTCTTAACTCATCTGTTTGCCTTAGACAAGTAAGATAACCTTTTGAACCTCTGGTAGGAAGAGTTTGCATTCAGAGTCTCAGTAATTTCATCTACATTATCTTAACTGGCTTAGATTACAGGACAATGTCTGGTCACGGGGTGGGGGAAATTAAGCAATTCTCAATCGTACTTTCTCCCGTTCTCCTAGTATTGAAGAAATTAAAAACAAAACAAAACAAAGTGGTTATCTGTAAGCAGGGGCTGATCAATTTTAAGCACTTGTTCTATATGTCATCTTTTCTCCTGCTGAGTATCCCACCTGCAAAACTTCTTGGATGCACAAGATATATTTTGGAGAAGCTGGGGACTCTGAGGAACTGCTGGAAGGTTCAGAAGTTAACTGAGTCCAGAAAAGTAATTTAAACACCTTTTAATTAAGACAGATCATGGGGTTCATTTTCCATTAAGACATTATTATTTGTCAAGACTTTATATGAATTTCTGTTGTTCCCCTCATAATAGTGTATAGCTATAGTAAACTTGTTATATTACTTTGTCCGTATCTGTGTTAGAAGCTAAGGATGCTGATGCCCATACTTGCTTTTAGGTTTGCAGGGAACCTTAATTAATTACATTAGTTCAGGTTTCACAACATCTGTGCTAATTCCAATTTCGGTAAATTTTCCCCAAATCATCAGAAAAACGTAATTTTTATTCTCAAATCACTCCAGGTCATCTGAGCATTTTTCTCACAAAACTACAAAAATTTAAGTGTGCATGATTATAAAGCTATTTTAAGTCAGGCAGCTAACATATTTTAGAATTAACAAGATTTTATATTCTCCAGGGAATCTTCTGATATAGCAGCCCAGATCTTCAGCCGATGTGAATTGCTACAGCTCTCTTACAGTAACTGGCTCTATTCCAATCTGCAGTATCCCCATCATCCATCCATACAAGCCCAGGAACATGCAAAGAAAACACATCCTTCAAAAACTGCAACTTGTAAATTTACCTTTTTCAGTCTCTTACAGAGGCATCGGAGTTTCACCTTCTGGCTGCAGTTAAGAGGACAGCTACCTGAATGGCAAATCTCTTTACACCGGTGACCACACGGCAACTGTAAGGAACAAAACACAAATAAAACTCCCACATCAATAAAACATTGTAAAATTACCAAGAATCTATGAATTGATTTTATTTCAGACATAGCACTTTAAAAGAAAACTCATCCAGTTAATCAGTCTTTTAACTTGCGAAATAATTTATTTTTCTTTTCTTTTTTTGTGGGGGGAAAATGTTTTTTTCTTAATTATCGATTTTCATTTCCTGTAGGATGCTTTCTCTTTTACTGGCACAGCTTGATTAGAAGATAATTTCTTCTTTCACATGTTTCAATAACAGTCATTTCTACTAGTAATGTACAGAACAATCATCCCAGCTATGTCTATGCTGGTGGAATACAAATGGATAAGGTAAAAAAAAAACCCTGAAAACTGAAATTACGTGTTATGTAGCTACTTGTAGACTAGACAGTAATAAAGGAAGAGAAAAGAATCAGAAACAAAAATAGTATAGAAGAAATCTTGTATTCAAGCATTATCTGAACTATGCAAAAGTCAAATAAAGGTCACCAAAATTCTTATCATGTCCAAAATAATTTCACAAAATTCTAATTTTTGCATTTGGCAGATTATATCCCATTTCTGCCATCTGAAAGATAAAGACTTTTTTTATTGCTAGTGCAATTTTTAACTTACAAAGAAAATATTATCATTAATTTACTCTGTAAGAATTGAGTTACTAATTTAAGTATGTTGACCGATAAGAATGTAGCAGTGCTCCCAGCATTATATCAGATAAAATATGTCAGGAAAGTAAACAGATTTTTCATTGTTAAGAACTTGACTAAAAATATCCTTCACTCATATGCTCACAAGAAGTCTTCACAATACCAATTTTTCATTTTCAATTACATAACCCAATACTGTTAATAACCAAAGATGGAATCTCACAGAAGACATCTATCTAAGCAGGTTACTTACAGACAGCTTTAAAGCCCCCAGCTACTTAAAATAGCACTAGATAGTGTTCTTCATTAAAAGTGAAATTTCACCTCTTCACTGTCATCAAGGGATTAATGCAAATTGGAAAATGTTCTGAGACTTATATAATTTTTAAGATACATTTTTCACATTTATTAAAAATTCAAAATGTACACATACTGTATCACTTCATCCACAAGAATGAAAATAGTAAGTTTTGAACCCAGGTGGGTACACTTTGATTAGTGAATCTGGATTCTCAGAAGTCCATAAGAACTGGCACAACATCTGAGCTAGTATCCTGAAACATATACCTAAACAGAACACAAATATTTCAGACTAAAATTACAGAGGACACACACGTCTTCATGTTCATGACAGTCAAAAGCTATAATTGCTACTTTGTGGTTTCAGCTGAGTTTTTTAGTTACTGTTTCAGCATATTTCACACAGGACTAGAAGGAACCTTGTCCTGGGGTGACTTTATGATACTGGTATCCCCAGTCGTCTGGTTTATGTTATATATTAAGTTCTGCACCTTTAAGACTGGCTTTGAGAGCAAGAGAGGGGGAAGAAGAAGCGCGCAGTTTGTGTTAAGGAAAAACATCACTCCCACACATCCCGCTCCTGGACTGTGGTGTCTGCAGCACGGACAGACAGCGGGACAGAGCTTCTCTCTGGCTTTTAGTTAGTTTTAGCTAGCTGAGGCAGAGGAGTTCCCTGGACCTTTGTTTTTTTCTTTTTTCCCTTTTTTTCTTGGATCTGTGCAAGCCTGCTCTGGACTGCACACCCAGCCAAACCCCGGGAGCTCACGCCTGTGGCCCACCGGGGCCTGGGCCGCGGCCCTTTTCAGCGCCAAAAAGACTGATAAGAACCTGAGTGAGCTGAGCTACACCACATGAAAAGGACTTTTTTTCTTCCTAGACTTTCAATCCCATCGAACAGCAAGAGGTTTTATTATTTAATATTATTCAATTTCTGTTAAATAAACAGCTTTTTCCACTTCTCTCCAAGGAATTTTTTTTTCCTTTCCCGGACCAGTTGGTGGGGAGGTGGCATTTCCCTGGGGAAATCCCCATTTGGAGTTTTCCTCCCTAATTTGCCCTAAACTAGGACAAACCTTTAAGTCACCATGTTCAGTCCTGAAATCCAGTACCTCACATATCCTTCCAGTACTGGATGAAAGCTTATCGTGAAAACAGTCCCTCATTCTGACCCTATTCTATTGTTTCACAGCTCCAGGAGCTCACTAGAAGATGCAAGAGGTTTTTTTTTGGAGTGTCCTACGTTTGTTCTAGTTTGTTCTTAAGCCACAGCTCTTATGCTGATATTGAAGTATTTCTGTCTTTTCTTAAAAGGCTCTTTATTATCATGGTATTCCTTTAATTGAATTTCAACTATGTTCAATCAATGTTTCTTGAATACACAGCCAGAACTGCATGTAATATTTCAAATGACATGTCAGCAAGAAGGACTTTGTACAATGCCTTAATTGCCCCTCATTCTTAGTAGAGTACCTTCCCCAGAACATCTTCAGCTCTCATTGCATTTCTCTCCAGCTAATCATGCTGTGAAAAACAGAATATTTGCTGTTTCCTGGGAGTTTAATTATAAGCTGCACATGTAAGGTCTTATTGTTTTGGGGTTTTTTCTCTATTTAATAACATAACCCCAATACATGTGTTCTACAGATGCACTTCCTCAACCCTCATACACTGACAACACCCCACAACTTTTAATCAGAAAATTACAATGTTTTTGCTGCCAACATCATTACTGAAAACAATGCAAAGTTAAGTGTCAGTTCAGTCCTTGGGAAATCTTCCTTATTGTTAGTATCTCTTGCTCCAGCTTTTCCTTTAGTTTTGATGTTGTTTGGGGGAGGGAGTTGGGTGTTTTTTTCAAAAGATAATCAAATACAGTTGTTTCCTTCAGCCACCTTCATGCTGGTATTAACCCTCTCAAGTATCTGAACTAGATATTCACTAAGTAGCATTGGCTCACTCTGCTGAAGCCTTGTGCAGCAGATCTCATCTATTCATCTTATCTGGAGGGAAAAATATATAAATTGGCCACCTTATCAAAGATGGAATTTCGGTTTTCTTAGGCACAACTGATCATCAGCAAATATTTTTCCCCAAAATAAAAAAAAATATTTTGCCTCATTTTGAAAATACGGGGGGAGAAACTTGTGTAAGCCTTGTATGGTACCAAATTCAGATTACCACCCAGAACATGGAGTCTAATGGCCAAGTTTCCTCACAAGTGACCACAATCTTTGCAAAACCAATTTGCTACTGCATGAACATTATGCAGTAGGAGGGCCTGGCTCCCTATACAAAAGCATCATACACAGTAAATCCATCTAGTCCCACCTGGAAGTCACCTCATGTTGGCTAGAACAAGCCATGGCTAGAACCATTACTTCCAGCTTACTCTTCCATAGTAATTAGGCACATTTTCATTAATCGTGTCAAAGCCCAAACAGTCATGTCCTAACTGACATGTCACAGCTGCAAATTCAATACAGTAACCCTCACCTCAACCTCTAAGTGCTAATGCAATAAAATTCTTAAGACATCATTAGACCAAAATATTTATAGCACAGGAGTTTGTTTAATCCAATATTGAAAATCAAATGTAGTTGAGTTTCCCTGCCAGTGTGCCCGCTTTAGATCCTTTTCTACTGTACAGAATCTCTTGTCAACAGCTTCTGGACTAAAGCCCAGACTGAATAGGCTTTATGTTTGATATCACAAGGCCATTAAAAGAAGGGATTTAATCCACAGCTCTGAAAAAAAGCCAACCAAAATATGTCCTACAAACACTTTTCCCACAGGCAATGCATTTAAATTTTAACATTATACCTGATGATGATAAACTCTGTCAACACCCACGGAGGCTTAAGTGAACTCCAACAGAAGGAAATAAACATAACCTGTTAATACACATCTGGTAATAGAGAAAATAGCCTGGTACTAAAGAAAATAGCATTTTTGAGCACTGATCCCAAAAGCTAAGTACATAAGAGAATTTTACCACTTCCAAAGACAAAACTAAATTTTTGCAATCCACATACAATTGCAGTGTGTGTTTACAGAATTAAATTTTATTTCCAGAATGTTTAATTCAATGCATTAAAAACTCGAAAAATATATGCATACTTTAAAAATGTATAGAATCACAGAATTATTAAGGTTGTAAAAGACTTCTAAGATCACTGGGTCTCTTAAGTTAACCATTAAACCACATCCCCAAGTGCCACATCCACACATTTTTTAACACTTCCAAGGATGATGACTCTACCATTTTCCATTTCCCTGGGCACAGTACAATGCTTGACCACCTGTGAAGACATTTTTCCCAATACCTGATCTAAACCTCCACTGGCACAGCTTGAGACCATTTCCTCTTGTACTGTCACCTGTGTGAAATTAGACCAATCCCCACCTGTCTATAAACTCCTTTCAGGCAGTTTACAGCATGATTGGGTCCTTCCTGAGCCTCCTTTTTTCCAGATTAAACAACCCCAGCTCCCTCAGCCCCTCATCAGATTTGTGCTCCAGATCCTTCACCAGCAGTGTTGCTTTCCTCTAGACACGTTCAAGCAACTCAATGTCCTTCTTGTAGTGAGGGGCCCAAAACTGAAAGGATTCTAGATGTGGGCTCAATAGTGCTGAGTACAGAAGGAAAAATGACATTGTCCCTACTGCACCATCATGTTAAATGAAATTTATCAAATGGAGTCCCGTATTTCACATTAAGACAAAAGCAGAGTACACAGTAAAACTACAAAGTATGGTTATTTTGTCAAAAAATACTAAATACATGGAATAAAGTATTAAATACAGATCCACAAATACTGACAGGAAAACAAACAATGAAAACTGATAGACTTAAAATTTCTATGTAAGAATTGTCTCAAAACATCTACAAGCATGATCATAAGAATTTAATCACCCTGATTAAGAAGAGAAAAAAAAAAAGTCAAATTTCCGTCAACAGGATATCTTGTTATTACTACCAAATAAGAGAATTAACTTTTTAATTAAAATATCTCATATATAACAGCTGTGGCAGCATTAAAGACACTGCTTCTCCCTAAAGCAGAATGGAAATGTGAGCTATACTGTGTAATGCTGGAAGTCACATTTTTAATTTTATACTATCTTAGCCAAAAGAAAAGCTAAAAACTTCTAAAGTTTTTCAAGTTTTTGTAGCATTTTTTCAAAGGACCTGACAATATAATTTGTTTCGTTTATCTCCAAATGTACCACAGCAACTGTAAAACAAATAGGGTAGCATACTGTCTACTGCAATTTCCATTAACCAAAAACATCTCAAAATGACAACTGCAGTAAAATACTGCATTCTATTGAACCTAAGTTGCATTATTGCAGGCTAGGAGTGACAGTGCACACTGATTTATAGCAAACATCAGCTTCACTGAGCTCTGCAAATGATTTGATGTCAGCTTCACTGAATAACAAAATTCTCAAGAAACACTAATTTGAAATTTACTCGAGGCTTCCAGAACTACACACAAACACACTTAAAAATTAGTTTTGGGCAAACATTTTAGATTTGCAATCTGTAAATGCTCTAAATTCAGTAGTCCTATCCATCTTATATCTGGCCAAGTTGTTTATAAGTTCTTGTCTCATAAGACAAAAGTTAAAAACAACAAAATGGGCTTGGCTTGCATTTGCAGAGGAGAGGTGGTGGTGGGAGTGGCAGGGTGGTATCTGTGAGGGCTGCCCCTTCAAATTGTGTTTATCAATGATTCCTTTAAAAGTGAACAATCAGTGTAATTTGCATTATGATACAGGTATCTAATTTTCTCAAAGCTGCAGAGATGTATTTTGTTTATAAAACAGAAACAAACAAAACATCCCTAGAACTGTTCAGTATTCAGAGAAATGGAACAGATTTTTTTTAGGCAAAAAATTGGTAAAAACCCCATACAGTACCCATGTAACTACCAAAGTACAATCTGAAGAAAGTAGGATGAACTGTAACACAAAGATATGAACTACCTGAAGCAAGAAGGTACTAACAGCAAGTAACTTCTGTATTTCATGAAAGGCAGTAAGAGCTAGAGCTAGCATCACCAGAAAGGAAGAACATGCATTTTTTCCATCATCAATTACACTAAAACAATTGCCTGGATAGCAGAAGCTGCAAACAACCTTATTTTCTATTTATAGGAGTATGAATTTTAGAATTAAGTTAAAGCTTTATAAAACTAATGTAAATTCTGTTGTTGTACTCTTTATTTCATATCCCACCAAACTAAGTAAAAAAGGCATCTGTGGAACAGGGCAATTCTGAACTGCAAGCTAAAGTTTGGGACCACTGCTAGGTGGATTTTAGGTAACAGACTAAGTCTGGGGAACATGTCCAGAAAAATCACAACAGTTACATTAATCGAAGCCAAAGATGAGCTACAGGAAAAAAAAAATCTTTGAAGAGAAGTTGAAATACAGAACATAGTTTATTACAAGAGATTATCACCATTCTTGAAAATACAGAGAAGGAAGTCTTGGAGCAAATAAAACCAAAATAACAGAGAAGGACATGAAAGGACAAAATTAAGAGGTAAATGGATAATTAAATAATGTCCCAAAGTGTTCCCCCACCAGGAAGAGAGCTTTCAGACATCCAGATGAGAAAATTGTGACAGGAACATTCACATACAGAAAAAAAAATCCATCACATAGGCATCTGCAAGGGCAAAAAGCAGAAGACATAAATATGCACAGAGCACAGCCTTCCTCTTGGGGTTAACACAATCTTGGCTGAAAAGCCAAGAAACAGACACTGCTGGAAAAGCAGGAGGAATCTTGTAAATTTTTGCATTTACTCAAAATAAAAGTTTTCTAGTGAAGACAAGGATTCAAATTTGAAGTTTCTGACACTGGATGATCATGAAATTCTTGCTTTTCCACTTCACATGTTTTCTAACCCTCCAGTGGAAACTGGAGTAAAGAAAGAGCTGTCACTCTCAGCACAATTAATGACAACTAAGGAACAAACATAGAATAGTATGTAATGCAAGAATTTCTGAAAGCACACAAGCAGCCTACAACCACAGCACTGGCAGGGACAAGGACAAAGTGTTTCAGCCCATCCCTCACGTCCATTTATGGATAACACTGCTGCAAGAGAAATCCTGAAACATTTCTAAACCGCTTCTGATGAAAATCCAGTAACTTCTCAAACCACCTCCTGCCCTGTTCCACCAAGTTTATTACTCAAATGTAGTATTGAACAGCAATCTTCTTTACTGATGCTACTGGTTCATAGGCTACGTATCTTGCAGTAAGGACATTATTCTCTTCTTCACAGAAAACCTTTAGATGTGCTCAGATACAGCAGAGAGATTAACTGGCTTGTCTTCCATTTCACACTACTTAACATATATTTCACAAACACACCAGTGCATTATTAGCTCATCTCATTTATTAAGTATAAAATCCCTTAGCCTCCAAATTGCACAGGTTCTAAACTTGCACTTAGATGAGAATAGCAAACACAATTCTCAGTGTTTTCCTAATCAAACAGCATCATTTTTGAGATATAAATTGATGACCAGTTTTCCACTGTGTTAGAGGACATACTCTTCCACATTCAACCTCATCTGCATGCTTAAGCATTCAAGCCATTAGTGCCTTGGAGACAAATCTCTGTTCCTTTAATAAAACCCTCCAAGCTGACAGCAATACATTAATAAATGTCCTTCAAGTACAGTTCACTAATGACCTTCACATCTATCATTTAACATATTCACTTACACCAAGCTTCTCTACTTTGCTTGGCCTATATTGACAAATTCCACATATCCATCAACTCAAGTATTTCTTTATTAATATGGCATACCTCTTTTGGACACTGATTTCTGCAGGAAATAAGAAGCTCCTTTTCTTTTAAATCAGCACATGTTAGCTTTCTGTAAAAGGAAAGATGTATTTGTGTTTTTAAAAAAAATCCAACTTAAAAACAACAAAAGTGAATGCAATTAGGGGTGTATTTTCAGTATATTTCACTGTAAAGAAAAGTGGACTCATTTGTCCACATCCTGTGTGACTAATAGAAATTGCCCTGTTTTACAGACAAACCCACACAAATTTAGAGGACTTGAGGTACTGTAAAGAAAATTAAGAAAAATATACTTGCATATGATGAATATTTTCAGAACAGTTCCCAAGTTTCAACTTATATTTCATGAAGTCTAGCTTAATGTCTATCCACATACACAAATTATTAAAAAGGTGTACAAATTGAAAAATTAAGCAGTTTTTCAATTCAAACATCTAGAAATTGAAGGACATTAACTGCGAAGACAAAAACCTGTTAGACTAACTACATGCATCCTAATACTTGTATAAAATTCTTCTTTACATACGCTAAAAGAAGTGCATATAGAACAAATATTATGTGGATTACTATATATTTGCATAATTCAAAGGATTATCTGTATTCTAAAAACAGTTTCTGTTCAGGAGACTCCAAGCATTTATAGCAATTTTAACAGTAATACCAAATAAAATACTTGCAAAATTTAAATAGAAGAAACATTATCTTAGAAATTATAATCAAGAGAAATTTTATAAATTCCCATAAGAGTGGCTCCCATCCCCAGACATTTCAAATTGTTATTTCCAGTTAACAGCACTCAAATGAAAAGCTGGGTGGTGTTCTGATACTTACAAGCATTCAATATACAGTACTGATAGTTTGCAGTGACACTTTATTTTAAGCATCTGGAGACACGATGGGCAATCCCCAGGATGACAGGGCAAAACACATCGGTGAGGACAGCCAGCTGGCCGGGGCTTGGTGCACTCCTCTTCACACTGTGAACATTCTGGACCCGCCTAACAAAATAAAAACAAAATACTAAAGAAAGTGCCAAGTATTTGTTTTGTGAGGTGTCATTAATGACCTGTTACATAGAAGAAAGAGTCGGGGTGTTTTTGCGATGAGAATCAAGCTATTCAGTATGATATTTCACAAGCAAGATTAATTACTAAAACATGTTTTTTAAGAGAAAACCAGAAATGCCAGTGTTTGTTAGTCAAAGAGAATTCTGTTTTCCCTCCTGGGCATAAAAGAACCTTATCCCACTCACCATGTTCTTATAATGCTTGAGTCACTACATACTGTTCTCTAATACAGGGGTGGAGGGGTTCGTTTGCTTGATTTTAAGAAACAAACTTTAAATCATTCCATTTCCATACACATGTGATATTCTGTATAATCTTCCAAAAAGGATTATTAACTTGGGTATATCCTAGGAGTTGCCTAAGGTCTTGCTTCTGCTCCACAGACCAAACACAAATCTACCAGAGCTACTACTCTCATTCCAGGTAATAGGATCACTGGCACAAGGTGATGAATATCACAGCACAGCAAATAAAGCTTCATTTCTACTCATATTCTTAACAATACTTCCAGAACTCAGTCTGTGATCAAACACACCCAGACAGATTGACATGATTTATCAACTTAACCTACACAGCATAATATTTAAGGCCCACTATCACATTCAATGTTCCATTTCCAAGAAGTCAGCCAAAGTAAAGCAAATTTATCCAAGAATGAAGCTACACAAAGCTTCCCCAAAAGACTGTTCCAACACCAATGTTCTACTTCATGCTGTTCAAAATAACAGCATAAGAATTTTAAGGTTTTGATAGTTTTTCCCCAGTCCCCTTTCCCTTCTCCTTCTATAGGTGAACAATATTTGCTGAAGTTTAAGAAGAAACCTTTGTACAATGACTAGTTACAAATCTTTATTCACAAAAATTCAAATCTAAGAAAAACAACAGCAAGTAAAACCATTTAGAAAACTATCATATAACAGTAGGTAAAAGCAAACAGATGGCCCTCCTGCAACATTTTTCTAACACAACATGCAGAATAAACTGAAATTCCAGACAGAAAATTCACTACTCAGACATATAAGCCAGAAATTTAATCAGCCCTGACTACATTTAGTCTACCAAAACAAGAGAACAAAAGCTCTAAAGGTCAGCACCAACTTAAGTTTGTAAGAAATTAAGAAAATTGAGAAATTAGATTTACCTATGCTTTGCAGGTACATAGACTCACATTTTTCAGAGAATGTACTGCCTCATTCAAAATAGAGCTAGGAATAATCCTGACTCATTCACATTTTAATTGGCTTAACTGAAGCAGCAGGCAGGCAGCCTCTTATAGTCAGAACTGGGGATGCTTAACTGTCACTGTTTACTGATGTTATTCTATTGCTGCAAGTTACTGTTCCACCAGTTCCACTAACAGCCCATACTCCTCAGAAAAAAATTTTCACAATCATAAATAGATTAATGTGTTAGCTATGATATACAGTTATTAGATGACAACAACACCACTTCCAGGACACAAATCCACAGGGGTATTATGCTATTTAAGTTAAATATAACAGCTGTGGGGAAACAGTATAAGAAGACTTTCAGAAGCTGTGAAAACAGGCTTCAGAAAAGAAAAAGCAGAGAACTTAGAGCTAGCTGCAGCTGCAAAGCCTGAAAGTAAAGAAGATACAATAATACACTATGCAAGGACATGAAACAATAGTGGAGTTTTCAGGCTTGGCTAAGATAGATCCTAAGGCTGCAGAAAAATATGCTTCCCAAGACAGCAGAAAGTTTTAAGCTTAATGACAGAGTATTATGTATTGTTAATAGAAAGCAAACAAGCAAGCACTGTCTGAAGCAGGTGTATGTGTGCTTTTAGTGATTGGCTAGAACAATTGTCTGTGAACTTTAGCAATATGCTATTGGCCAAAAAATTTTCAAAATGTTCTGTAACAAAGAGATCTTGGGCTGCTCGTGGCAGACGTGAGCTTGTGCCGTCTCCTGTGTCTGTAGCTGAAAAGGGTGCCTGAATAAAGTTTGTGATGCATCACCCAGCAGTCCCAGCCCATTTGTGAAAAATTAATGCCAACAACAGCTAGTTAAAATATAACATTTCTGCTTTGTACCCAACTTCTCTGCTTCTCTGTTTTCTAAATGCTCAGACTGCCCATGCTGCAAACTTTTACTAAAGTAATGCTTAAAAAAAACTTGAGAAGCTGTTTTCCTCCAAATCATGACTCTCCCAAACCACAAAACATGTATGTGGTTCTGACTGCTTGTAACTTGAACACTTCTAGGCTTTATACTTTTGTTTCATGTTATTTTCAGTAGTTAACACCTACAACTTCTTAATTGCATAAATGACAGAGTCTAGTAGACACTGATAAACATGAATATATCATCCCAGTATTTTGAAAAGTCTTCAGCAATCCTGCAACATTTCCAGTGCTCTCCTAAAGGTCTCCCAGCCTCCTCAGCCTATTTAAGCTCTCCTCAGTAAATAGTTCCCCCAGTAGACTCCAAGTGCATTTGTATATAGGTATCATTAGTAGCTCCCTTGATCTTTACAGTTACAGAAAGTAACTTCAGAAGAGACTTCTCAAGGGTGTTAAATAAGATCCTGATGAAACCAAAGTAATGTCAACACAAACAGTTATAGAATTTGCAAAAAACATAATATTGTCTCAGATTTATAGTCCAAGGAAATATCATAGATCAGCTAACTATCACAGCATCAATGGAATCAGCATACATGCAAGTCTCCCAGTGGGATCTGGAATAAATCTGTACCTTCCAGCTGCAAATTCTTTATTTTCCAAGTACAACTGAAGACAATGCATATCCATATAAATTAAAACAAAAATAAAATAAATAAAATAAAAGTAAAAAGAAAATTAACCTACCTTCTTTCCATCTGCACTACTGCTCAATTTAGTAACATGATGACATTCTTTCATACAGGTATGATTCTGACACTCAAGAAGCCGCCCACAAAATCTCTTACATGAGTATGGATTTGCAGAGTGACATGGTAACGGACTAACCTAAAAGTTAAAAACAAATAAATAAATATAGATATACAGGCGTGTTATATATAAAAACATTGCACATACATAGTGTGTGAGATATTTATATTTACACACATAGACAGACAGTATTATTACAGAGAAGTTTTGGTTCTCCAGTGCCTTTGCAAAATTAAAAACAACAGTGAAATTCTATTCGATTTTTTTTTTAAGTATCATTTGGGTTCCTGTCCACATAACAACGTATCCACACAAATTTGTTTTACACTGATTATAATAGGGGAAAAAAAAAAGCACACTTCATTAAACCAACTAACTTTTACAGGATAGTTTACCTTTCTTTTTGAAAGACTATTATACCCCCATATCTTTTAGTGTCATTTCCTCCATCTTTCTGAATTACACTCACATCTTCAATTAAAGATTCCTAGGGTGCTTTAGTATTTCTGCAGAATACAGTAACAGTTTACTTTCACAATGCTAACTGTGTTATGGTCACCATAAACCCAAAATATTTTACAATTTGAAAAACAGAAAACAACCTGCAAACCAGAAATTCTAAAAAGTAAATACTGACTACATCAAATATAAGAGAAGTACTCCTCTCCCAGGAGAGGTAAGGAGAAGCAGAAATGGCTCCATAACAGGACTAAGATTTTACTGTCTTATGTCACATTTGTACTTTCCAATTTGAGGCCAACACTCCAGTTAACAGAACTCTGTAGTACTCTTCAGAGCATTAACTTAGAAGCCATTACTCTTCATTGGTACTGAAACCAGTGTAAACTCCTAACTAGGTTACTTGCCTGAAGTTGAATAATACAAGTCCCTCTATACAAAAGGATTAGAGGAAACTCGCTTTTACCATTTTCTAACCATTATATAATACCAAAAAAATTAGTTTTCTGTGATGCTGTCAAAAAAAATGATTCTATTTCTTAATTTCATGATCACTTCACGGAGAAAAACAAACTATTTGTGATGTTATTACACAAGAGGCTAATGTGACATAACTCACTTGGACTAGATTAAGGGTGTGATTTGATGTTGCAACTGCAGTTGACTGGACAGCTTTGCAGGGTACCCATTCCTTTTCTCTCTTCAAACTCTACAGCTGTCACTGCAATCTCCTACCACTTTGAACAAGTCCTAACACACATCTCTCTCTACAGAAAGATGATTCAAATAATCAAAATGTAAGAAAAGGAACCAACAGAACCAAGTTTCTTGTCTTTTGCCAGTGGCTTGGCCATACAAACAGGTGAACACAGGAACTGAAAAGAGAGAGATGGCCCCACAGCACATATTGAGGGACAGCCTCCCTTCAGTACTGTCCATGTCATCTCCCTCAATCACACAAAGTACAATTTAAGTCCACTTGCCTATATAAATGTTTCTGGGCTTCACCCAAAAAATACTACTCCACATCACATCACTGCAAAATCTAGTTCATTCACAAGACTTCTGAACTCCTCTTATCATCCTGGCTCACTAAGACTGAAGAGAAGCCAGCACAGCAGGCTGAACATCAAGCACGGCATACACAGGAGAAAACCATGAGGCCATCACATCCAACCACTTTCACACCCGTGTCAGAGCTGAAGTTAATGCTGACTAAAGCACTAGTACAACAACTATATCAAGCAGTACAAACTCCTGGTTCCTACTTCCCCTTACAAACATCCTACTCTGTCTCTGATGGATGCCTCTGGTGACCAAAGGAGGAAAAGCCAGCAAAATAACAGGCCTAATAAAAACAGGGTCTGAAGCAGAGAACAGTACCATACCCAGAATCCACACACCAGTTACCAAAGCTTTTAATGTTCCTAATATCCCACCCCTTCATAACCTACTCCATCTCCCTCCTCAGAGCACAACACCCTTTCAGTAGCAATGTAAATAGTCAAAGGATGCTAAAAGAATGAAAGAAAAAATGTATTAAACATTACAATCCGCCCACTTCTCTACCTTTCCTTGCTCACCCATTGCCACTCAGCTTTTTATGACTATGGTTCTGCTGTGGTTCAGGCAGTGACAACACTTTGAGGTGGTAATAGCAATTAGCTCTAGGGCTGCAATGTTCCATAGTGTTGGTGAGACTTTTTTTTTTACCAGGAGCTAGTCTTCCAACAGATAAGGATACAACCACTAGCTCCAGTTAGAGCCAAGCACTTAGGCAGAAGTGGAGCATCCCTTTCAGTAGCATCCCTCAAGCACACAGCTGAGAGGCACTGTTAAACAAAGGCAAGGGTGGTGAAGCACACAAGCCAGCCAGGCAACAATGGTAGCTTTCAGAGGGCTGACTGAAGGGAACATTCTAGCCCTCTCTCTGCACGCAGCAGAGCTTCAGCTTGAGCTCAGCAAGATACGACAGTCTTCTGGAATCAACTGACACTGTAGCCAAACACTGAAAATTTTCAATTAATTTAAAAATACATTATTTTTTTTCCTCCATTTCTCTGTTGTGGATCTGAGTAATAAATCCAGAAGACAAAGCAAAGTTTTACTTCCTACAGTTGGAATGAGTTTCTGAAATGGCTAAATGGGGGCTGGAACTCCTGCTACAATGACAAACATCAAAGTAGCCACAGACTCCAGGAGGTTGATGAGCTGAAGAATGAAGAAAGCAGATGAGAACCATAAGCATTTTATGAAAGCTGAATGGGAAAAAATAAAAAAAAAGAAGGCATCAATTTCAGACTCCGTGTCTTCCACAGGACAAGGAAAGGAAGGAAAGGAAAGGAAAAAAGTCACGACAACTTTCAGAAGCTTTCCATGAAATCTCCCAAATGCATAAAAGCAATTAACAGATAAAGACTATGAAAGTAAAAATCAATGAGACAAGGAAATTTTGGAAACCCTTATAAGGTGTTTAGCCATAAAAATGAATCTCATCAAGTTTTACATAAAATTTTACTTAGAGGCAGAGTATTCATTCCTTGTATGAATGAACCAGAACTAAACCCACTAAACTAAAACCCACTCAGAATACTAAAACATACCATTAAATTCCTGCCAAAAGAAAACAAAAAACAAAAACCAACCAGCAAAATAAAATTTAGAAAAAAAAAAAAACAAACCAAGATGAGAGTTCAATGATATGCCCAGGACAGAAAGCCTAATAGAGGATATTTAGAAGGAAGAAAAACTGAGCATTTTCCTTCATCTAAAAAATTTAATGAACTGAAACAACTAGAAGAAAATTATATACAGTAGATAAATTGATATCATAGTCAGTAAAGATTTCCTTCTTCGTCTTCATTTACTTTGTATCAGCTTTAATTAATGTTTCCCATAAAAAGAGATTTAGAAGAAGTTAATTTTATAAGATTTTAAAAGAGCATATGTGTACTACTGCTATGAAATTCCAATGTATGTAACAGTTAAAAAAAGCTAGAACATCGAAATTTCTTTTTTGGGATGGCACCAAGTGTTGATAGGTGGTTTTTCTGACACACAAACTGAAACAAAATTGAGAGCTACTTTTAAGAATTTACAAATGGAAGAATAAGTTATTTGTTTTTCTAAATATATGTAAAATTATTTAAGAAAAGGCTGTAGACTTCAGCTGAAAGAAATGTTATTTTAGCTTAAACATCATGAAGAATCATACTTCCACTAAGCACAGATTTTGTATAATTACATTATCTGAAAAGTAATTTTAAGTCTGTTCTTAAGTGATAAATTGCTTATTCTAAATGCCAGAACATGTAAGAGCTCAAACTAAATCAATCCCTTGAAAATACTTCCTAAATTAAACCAAAGAGAAATTAAAAAAAGAAACAACAAACCCACACACAACACCCCCTACAAACAACCAGTTTCAATATCTACACAAATTACTATCCAATATTAAAAACTTAGACTATAGATTTGCTTGTTATACAGTCCTAAGGTGGTTTTTTTTTATTCTCTATTCTACACATTGTCAGCAGGCATCCTGATAAAATACAAGAAGACTTTATAGCTTGCTTCATTCCTCGTTTCTTTTTTATATATCTTCCATTATAGGAGGCACAACAACAGTCCAGCGTAAGCAGTAGCACAGCACAGCAATAAGCACCTACTCACAGCAAAATTTTGCTGAAGAAACTTGCTACTACTTTTGTCACTTGTGAACAGTTCCCATTTCCCAGTGAAAATCCCCTCAGGGGCTGGAGACTTCTACTGGAGGAAAGCTTTCATAAATACCTATATTTTCTCTTATTAACAAAAGTAAATTAATTTGAGCTAAGATTATGTGTTAAGAACCAATGTGGCTGTCAAACAGTGAACAGACATTACATGTTTGGTTTTTTTCTTTCCAGAGATCTCAGAACAACACAAAAATGTACAGTGAGCAGAAAATCCACTGCAAATAAAATACACTTCCCACAGGCCTTAATGAATCACTCTTCCATAACTTCTGCCAAAATCTCCAAGAATAGGAGACAATTTCACTCAAGGAACTGCTGCACTTCAGCAGGAGAGTGCACCACCCACTGCTGGCTGAGAGAAGTAACAGTTCATCTACAGTACCATGTAGCATTGATAAATCTAAATAAAATCAGCTGTAGACACATAGGGATTTCTCCTTATTTTATATGCAAATCCATAAATAAAACATGACCCAAAGCCACTGAATGATTTTGCTAAGACTAGTATGCGACAGAAAATGAAATATTTTTTTAATTATTCTGAAACAAGTAGTAATAAACATGTAGTAATTATTACTATTTTCTCTAGTAAGAGTAGCAATACTGTCCTTCTGCTATGGGGACGGACATACTTCACAGCCATGTACATCTGAACAGGACCAAATCCTTTTACATTGCCTAGATCACGTTACAGACTGGGTCTATTGACCACAGCTTGCATTGCGTTTATACATAAATTCATGGCAGTTCAGGTGAGATATGGCATGTCCTATCAAAAACCATGTCACTGACTCAATAAAAAACTGGCTAATATACATATAAGTTTTACTGTGGAAAAACAAAGCAAAGCCCATCTGTTTCAGCAACAAACAGACAAGCACTGTTGTTCTTTTCACCCACTTTCAGGACACGCTTTTCTTCAGCGACTGTCAAGCTGCAAAATAGCTCTATGGAAAAGTTGCTTTCCCAACCGGGATGGGTTCATGAACACGCTACCCAACCAGACTGCACCTACAGGAATGTTGGTGACAACACATGAAGATGTCACCACAACATAATCAAGCCACCTTTACAACACATACCAAGAGATTATTAATAAAGGTCAGAGAAAAAATAAAAAATAGGTATCTTCAATATTTTTGTATTTAGTGTTTTCTAAAATTTTTTACTTGCTTAAAATGATCCTAGTGGTTTTTTATAATATTGTTAGGCTTTGATTGTGAATTTATACCAGACATACCAGCAGACAAAGTTATAAAAGCAAAAGCGTTTTTTAAATTTAAATAGTTAATATTTAATTAATATTTATTAGTTTATTAAATTATTAAATTTAAAGTTAGTATTTAAATTTTAAATAGTTTAGCAATCATCTTTTGAAACCAAGAAAAAATACTTGCCATAGATTTCATAACTTTTAGAAATTGTGAATAATGATGACAGCTATTTAATCATCAATTAGATTCTCTTCTCATGTAAGCCAAAATAGACAGTGACTTCATCTAAAATCAGAGAAGGCTACATACCAGAAAGACAAGTTAGTAACTAACACTAAAGAAGTTTCTACTATACTGTCTGATTTCATCCATGTTTGCTTAGATCCAAGTCACATGAGAATTTTCCTGTATGTCATTACGTTCCTTATCCTTTTAAAATATACACAGCAGTTCATAGAACTCAAGAGTGTGTGACAGAGAGAGAATATTAACTATAGAATGAGGCAGGGAAAAAGCATGAATATTTAACAAGAAGACCACTGAAAAACATTTAAACACAATTTAAACACCTGCAAGAAAACACAAGAGCTATGTAAATAATGAGTTTAAATTTCTGACCATGAATTCTACAAAGACAAACAGTTGTAAATTCTTCAGAAAGGAACTAAAATACCCTCTGATATGTAAGCTGTTGTTAGAGTACTTCACTAATTTTAAAATATATTTTAAAATTCCACTATTTCTTTTTAATACCTTTTGTTTTGCAGACTGACAAAATAAGATATTTTCCATATTTCACAGGGCAGTTCTCATGACTCACCTCATGCTGTCCAAGACACTCCCTGTTAAAAAATAAATAAATAAAAAAAATCAGAGATTTAGAAAGTGCATATTTGTTTACAGGACTTAAAACAGTGACAGTTTACAACACACAAAAATTAGTGCAATCTATATCTTAAAAGTATAAACTAAGAAAATCACCCATCTATGCAGCTCAATGCCTCCTTTTCAACAGTTGTTTGGATTGCTGTGTTTTATAACAAAAATCTCTGGTTTTTTTTCATTTGCAAATTAATTGTAGTTGTATATGAAATCAGTTACTTTTTAGACAGTGACCTGCTTTTGTTCCAAATAGCATCTTCTTTGTCTCTACTAATACATCATATTTTTCAGTTATTTCAAAGATCTAGTCTGAAGAAGAGTTATTTAAAACAAAAAAATATCCCTGATAGTTATTTTGTGTCCGAGAATTTATCTCCCCATATAAAAACTCTTCTTTCAATTTGGCTTATTTTTTATTTTAATACTTACACTGGTATAGGAACCTCACAGGGAGGGCACGGTAATGCAGTCTGTATGAAGGCTGGCTCAGATGGCTGTTCCCAAGGCCCTGCAGACTGATGCTGAGAGCAAAAGACACTAGCTGAATACAAAACACAAACGGAACTATCTGCTTGACCATAAATAAATGCAACATCTAAAGCATTTCAAATTCCAAGAAATTCACTTTCTAGTAACTAGCTTTTTACTAATGAAAATCTCCACATCCCATACAGACAAAAAAAATTACAGTTTTATCCTTAGCCTGATTAGGAATAGGATAATTAAGTCCCGTAGCTCCTAGTGGTAAAAATTAAGCACCACACCAAATTAAAAAGACCTGTAAAACAATTCTAACCAGATAATAAAGGTAAAAATATTTCAATTAGTAAGCTAGTTCAATTACCAATACATAGAGCATAGCACATGTCATGTTAAAAATTGCCAATTTCTGACTTCCAACTTGTGCAAAATTTGATGGTTTTGTAAGTATCAGACTTAAAACTTACTTTTTGCTCTTATGTTAAAAGCAATTATTTAAACCTGAAATTAAATGTTTTTAATACAACTCCAACAAGAATCTTTTTGAGCAATTCAATTATGTATCACAAAATTACTTAGCTTGCAACAAAGGAGGTAGAACCACTTAGCATCATGCTGAGCAGTACAGGTACCTCTGTGCCTGATTACGCCTTTACTCTGAACTCCAAAAGCCTCAAAACAGAAGATTCAGGTCAAACTGATGCTCTTGTTCTGAACACAAAGAATACACCATTTTTCACTGTTTACTTACTAAGCCAGTTTGCTTCACAAGTGCTTCATCATGGCAGGAAACAGGGCACAAATGACCACATGTTAAGGTTTTCTGGCAGGGTTGTCGACAGGGAGGACACCGCCCAAAGTGACAATAGTGTTTCTCCTGGGTAGAATGGTGACAGGTAGGTGGCCGACTGAAGTAAAATCCAAGAATGAATCAATATGACAGCAAGAAATATAAAGTTACAGTCATTGGGCAAGCATGTTCAACATACAAAGAATTTAAATGAACAAGTTGTTAGTGTTTTTTTAAAATTAGTTTACTTCTCACCTTCAGCAGGTAGTTAACATCACAATAAAATTTGAGAGGAATTCTAAATAAAATTAAAAATCAAGTTGGGTTTACATATTCAAACAGCATTTTCAGTCCTAATTCCACTCTGCACTAATGTAATCTTGCTACACCCCAGCACAAAATTTTCTTTTTCCTTTTGCTAGTGAAGTTTTCTAGATAAACTGCCTCACTGCAGTACATCAAAACATTCCAGAGACTACTTGAAGAAATGAACTGGACTACAGTTGGAAGAGCTTGGTAAGACAGAACCTCCCCCACGAAGCAGACAAGCTGCTCATGACACCTCAGGGTCAAGAGAGGTATCTTTTAGGTGCTAATCTCCATCTGCACTGTCAAGGATACAGAAGACTGAGAAGCAATAACTGCAACTACATAAAGAACAATTTCTGCCTTTCAAGGTATATTTTACTACTTTCTTTAAGGACACTTTAAACTCCACTTAAGAACAGAAAACAGACATTTTATATACTGACCTGCAGAGCTGCTTGCATTTGGGAGGTTTGATGGTGCGCTCTCTGCCACATGGCACTTTAATTACAGTTTTTCCACAATTGCATTTCACATCCACAGTCTCCGGACACGGATTACAACTACCTAAAAATAAATATATTAACAATATGACAAGCAAGTCAGAAATAACCTGCCTCTACATTTTAAAAAGAAGCCTAGTAATTTGGATCACACAACGCTTAGATGTTTTCTATTCGTATTTCAGTCTTACACACCTATGAAGAAATGTCATCTTTCACCTAAGTTCAAAATGGGACATTGAAAAACTGGTACAATAAAGTTCGGCAGATTTTGTATGGTATTAATGTTCAGCCTATGTATAATGAATGCTTCCTTGAAAACATCCTCCATTTCTATTAAGTTAGTAAAGTTACTAATCTGATGCATTTTAAAAACTGTATCTGTAAAATATCTACATTTTAATTTATAACTCTCCCACACCATTTCTTCACCAAGTGCCAACTGCTAAGTTTTATTATTGAGTAATTAAACAGCTAGAATATGCATGTTCTTAAAAAAAGCAAAGACATGGGATTTTAGCTTTCTAATCATGTTGCATTTTAAAGATTTAAAGAAATCAACCAAAGTTATTGACAGAAAAAAATGTAAGCAATTCTGACTTGTTAGCAGATTTTTCAGATCCGAAAAGCAGCATTCGAAGAGGCAGATGCCTCACTGGCAAAAGGCTGCTGAAGAGAAAAGGTTGGAAGCACTACATTCTTTATACTGCAAAGTAAATTAAGTAACAATATAATGTTCAGCATGCACAGAAACATAGAATCATTTGGGTTGCAAGGGATCTTAAAGATGATTTAGATCCAACCCCGCTGCCATAGGCAAGGCCACCTTTCACTAGACCATATTGCTCAAAGCCCCATCCAACCCAGCCTCAAATAGTGCCAGGGATGGAGCATTCAAAATTCTTCTGGGCAACCTCTTCCAATGCCTCACCATCCTCACAGTAAAAGTTCTCTTCCTAGTATCTAATCTAAACACAGTCTCTTTTCATTTAAGGCCCTTCCTCCTTGTCCTACCACTACCTTGTAGTGTTCTGCCACCGCCCTTGTAAAAAATCCCCCTTCATCTTTCTTGCAGGCTGCTTTAGGTACTGGAAGGCTGCCAGTCTTCTCCAGGTTGAATAACCTCCTTTCCTCACAGGAGAGGTACTCCGTACCTCTCATTATCTCAGTGGCCCTTCTCTGGACTTGCTCCAGCAGGTCCATGTCCTTCCTGTGCTGGGACCCCAGAGCTGGTGCAGCCCTGGAGGTGGGGTCTCAGCAGAGCAGAGCAGAGGGACAGAATCCCCTCCCTGGCCCTGCTGCCCACGGTGCTCTGGATGCAGCCCAGGACACGTTTGGCTCTTTGGGCTGTGAGTGCCCATGGCTGGGTCATGTCCAGCCTCTCACATCACCCCCAAGTCCTTCTCAACAGGGCTGCTCTGGGTCTGCTCATCCCCCAGCCTGGGTTGATACCAGGGATTGCCCCAGCCCGGGTGCAGCACCTTGCCCCTGGTTGTTAAACCTCATAGGATTCCCAAGGGCACGTTTCTCAAGCTTGTCCAGCTACTTTTGCGAAATATACTGAATGTCTAAAGCTATCCTACCCAGAGTGGCTAATATATCTACAATTCACTTAAATATCCTATTAAGGAAGGTAACTGACTACATTCTCAAAAATACAAAAAGGCAGAGATGAGAGATTCAGAGAGCCTGAAGATAAAGTGACAGCACATAGTTCTCAAATCAAGTACTATAATGTACTACAGTAGGAAGAAAAACATTTCTATTCCCCAGCAACACACTGTAAATTTCAGCAAGCATGATAAATATTTAAGAAACAGCAAAAAAACCCAAATCACAAACAGAATAGATTAAGTTACCCTTTTTCAGGGAGTTTTGCTAAAGGCCAAGTGTTGATAATAAACAACCTCTAAAAATTTGAGATTTGGTGTGTTTTAAAGGACCCCATGTGAGAAGTTATTTTCTAGGAGGCATCTATGTCCTTTAGTATCAGTGGTCACTGCAATCTGACAGCTCATAGGAAAATTACCCTGACCTGGTATTACATACTAAAGATAAAATAATTAATCATAACTTTTAGTAGCTATTAAAATATTAATATATAGGGAGAAACACATCAATATAAATATTTTAAAATTAAAATAATTGCCTATTTTAGGAATACTTTTTAAAATTTGTGAAGATATTACAAACTGTACTAGACTCTATTTTGTCAAAACACAGAGAATTTAGAAAAGAAAATAAATTTATCATCCGGTGCCATTAGTACCTTAATTATATGCAACTTTAGTTAGTAAATAGACAATTATGCTCTTTTGATAAGTTACTCTTCAAAATATATATATATTTGATATTTACATTCTCAAAGATCACTTTTGTTTTCTTACAGACATTGCTTTATTGTTTTCATGTTAATCATTAGAAATCTTTGTCACTTTTAGCCAGACTGTAAAATGCAAGCAGCATGAAATATAAAAAATTACTCAACATCAAAGTTTATCCTGTAATACAGCATTAGCTCTTTAGTTTTCAATCAGAATTTTCTTCTAGGATTTAGTGATCAAACAAACTAATGTGGAAAAGCAATGTTACCAGTTTGCTTCTGACAATACACAAAAAATTATGTATTTCCAAGATTTTACAGAGCTACAGGGGATGGAGAAGAAAGGAAAGGGAAAGAGAAAAAGGGGCATAGTATACAGAGAAAAAACAAACTTATAGTTTGTGGTGACAGATTTAATAGCAAGTTAACAGACAGAACTTCCACATTTACCTGTCCTCTCCTTCTAAAAGTCATTCCCTCAGAAGGAAGACAGGCTGAACAAGTTGTGATTTATTTCCTGAGTCATTGCAATTTATACTTCCTTAGAGCAACTAAGGGAAATTACAGGGGCTACTTGGCTGCTGTTTCAGCAGGGCAGCAGCTTCTACAGGGAAAACTGCTGAGAGGGCAGACAATTTTTGAGTCATTTCAATTTAACCCCCTACTAAGCAAATGTCAAATCAATCTGCCAAGTAATTTTGCCCATTTCCAGCATCTTTATACCCAAAGTCTCTGGAAACAGAAGCAAACTTTGTTGTTATCCTTCTTATAGTCAGTAAGAAATTGTCAACTACTTCTTTTACCAGTAGGATACCAATGTACATTCAAACTCCATCATATTTTTTTCAAGCCCATTTGTACCACGTGTTGCATTCTAGGATTTTTTAAAACCATCCAGACTCAATCAGCAGCACTCATTTTCTGTATGCATTTGGACTTTGTTATGTATATTCAGTGAAAAGAATTATTGGGAAAAGGAAGTTAAGTGATGGCTTTTGTATTGCACAGCTGGAAAGGAGACAAGGGCAATTTCAGAGGAAAAGTATTAAGTAAAATCACCAGGTAAAAACTCAGGTTACCACTGAGTAAGTCCTTAAATTATAACCAGCACTTTCAAACACACTGGCCCCACAAAAAGCCCACATGAAACAATGGAGAGAATTCTTTAAGCACCACATACAGTCACACAAGCATGAAATTTGCCAAAAATAAACAATATTCCATCACTACAGGGATTCTTCACTTTTCTTACCTCTGTGGCAGCCTGAAGGACATTTGTGATTTCTGCAGCCGAGAGTCCGCCCGCAGACTTGATCACAAGGTGGACAGTTTCCAGAACAGCACTATTAAAAAAAGCCCATGAAGTCTAATAACTGGAAACATAAATTTCTGGTATACACTTTCCCTCTTCTACTCTCATTTTTCAATACTTATTTAAAAAAATGTCAGTGCACTTTAGTCAAATTTTCTCCAACTCATTCCAGAAAAATTTTGAATTACAAAATAACAAGAAAACACAGATTTGAATGCATCATTTCAACACGCTAAAAAGGCAGAGGGCTTCAAAAAAGCATAAGAATATTTAAAATTTCAAAATATTATAATCCCAAATAATTTCAGAAGATAGGTCATCTAACAGTTGACCTCATGATTCTGCAATTTCTTCCACTTTTATACTATATTGTCGCCAGCACAAAAATGTTGCTAACCACTTTTTTTATACACCTTTTACCTCTGCAGTAAAGGCAGATAACTTCAAAACCAGTTATCTATTCTCTATTCTTAAGTAAATTAGCAACATGAAAGAATCAGAACATTTCACAAAACCATCACATCAGTGGATGCTGTATCAGGAGGGAACATCATCTTGTCTATTAACTTGAAAGGTACCCTCCGTCCAACAAGAAACTTGGATTTTTCATCATGGAGGTGTCAAGATTGCATCTACTTGTTTTGTAATCTTTTCACATAAAACAAATTCACTACAACAATAATATTCAAAAATACCTAAGAGTAAAACTGGTTTTTTTCATGCCTATTTGTGTAAAGTAGTCCACCTTTCACAATGTACTAATTCAGAAACAGCAGGCAATTTTCAGGTTCTCTTGAATGAATTAACTGGAAAGTTACTTCTGAGTATCAATCATTCCATTTGACTTCAAATAAGAAAGGAAACAAAACTCCAATTCCTAGCTGTCAGACCACTGCTGCTTGTAATGCTGTGTATTAGAAGAAGGTGGGATGGAATGCTGGGCTGTCAAAAATAGTGATGAAGCTATACGTGATTCCCAGCTCTTCCTACAAAGTAGGGAAATAAATTGATTTAACTACTGCAGAATACATAAATTGATTTCACTACTGCAGAATGCATCAGTGACTACTCAAGAATCTGAAAGTAAAACTGCCTTCAGGAACTGCAGAGTTGTGAAAATCTCCTCCTTGTTTATAAGGCCATTTAATTTTACTTCATGTCATCCTTTTCAGAGAATTCTGGTGCACTGAAAACTAGTTTCAGTGTCACAGAAGAAAACTCCTCTTTCTACACAATAACTTGAGATGGAGCAACAAATTGATGTGATTTCATCTAGATTTTTTTAAAAAGTCAGCTAAACAATGCAATTGAGAAAGATTATCTCTGGGCACTTACTTTCCTCCGGCACTGGTGCTTCTGACAATCACGGATTTTAGTACACTTTGTTTCACACAGATATGGCTTATGGCACGGCATACGCTTCGTGTGCTTCCCACAGCGACACTGCTTTTCAACCTCCTGGGCAGCAAGACAGGGAAAAAAACATATGGAAAAAGGAAAAGGAAAATAAAATGTTCTACTACTATCTGTAAAGGGAAGTTCAAGGAAAAGTAACATTACACTGCATAAAGAATGCAAGTGTGTTATGCAAGACGGTAAGTGTAACTGCAAAACAAATTCATACAAAAAAACTACCTCTGCTGCACATTAAAGTAGATTCACCCTTAGTGTATGCAGATAATTTAAGAAGTAAGTGAGCAGGTTTATCTGACCCTCATATCATGGCTGTCACATGATGATTACTATCACCTAGACTTTGTAGCCAAAGCTGGTTCAGCTTTGAGACCTGAAAGAGCAATGGCTTTGTAGGCCAGACCACAGAAGCTCCAGAAATATCTAGAGCACAGTAAAACTTAATTTTCTTACAAAGAAGAAAATAATGTTATGTTAGACCATCTTCAGTCTCACTAATGAAGGAATATCATAGAAAGACAATTCCAGAAGGAAGCTAGAAAAGATGGGGAGAAAAAATAAGTGTCTTTTAGGGCATAATTTTAAAAAACAAAACAAAACTAAGCCAAAGCAATTCACACATCCACAGGTAAAGCCTCAACTCAACACAATGCTCAACTACTTACACAGAGTTGGGGTGGGAGGGAAATAATGAAAGAACATGTTGCTTTTAATAAACAAAGTCACTGATTTTGTGAGAGATATGATTTCATTTTCCTTAGGTGACTTGCACTGTTTGAGCCACATAGTTTAAGAGCCCGAACAAAATGTGAACCTGATAAAGTAAGATTAACCTGTCTGCATATTTCACAGGGACCCCGATGACAGCGCTGTGAACATTTATGGATGCCACATTCCAGAACTTTGTCACAACTATCACCACAGGTGGGCACATCTTCCGTACAAGGCAATGTAAACTCTAGATGAAGAGAGAGAAGTACAAGTAAATATTCAGGAAAAAAAGGCTCAAATATTTAGGAAAAAAACGCAATGTATAATAAGCTCAAATGACAGTTGTCTTTTGTTTTTTTAAAAGCTTCTTTAGAATTACTTAGTTATTCAGATCACAAATTAAACCCTGGTGCTAAATAAAGCTTTGAAAACTATGCAAAAAATGTTAATATACTGTCATGGTATATTACTGTAAGAACTTTTACGGACCCTGCCCTGCAGAATTAGCCTAAACTACTGACAGTGAAAGACTGGAGGATTTTTTATTCAATTTATCATTATAAAACCAAAAAATGTAGCTTACTTGTTTTTCCACATGGACAGGACCTTTTCCCGGAACGAGGACAGTCTCCACAGGGACCAGCATGACAAACTTGTTCACATGTGTGATTACCACATGGCAAACATTTCCCACACACCTTAGAAATTCAGAGAAGCCAAATGAATACAGTGTAATAGAACTACATATCAAGCCAAAGGTAAAAAGCAGGAGTGAGGTGCTTCTGGATGAAATTTCACTTTTTCTGAATTTTGTTAATAAGTGTTTTATTTGATGACTTCACTAAATAAAACTGATCGTCCCTTCAGTGATTCTGCCTGGGAGACCACAGTACAGTGAGGAGTTAGTGATTCAGAAAACCTGAGTAGTCGCAGGTCTGTGCTGTGCTGCACATGCAGCTCAGCCTTCAGGCCTGCATCATGCTGCATATACACTCTGGCCACAGGATAAACTTATTGCAGCAGAAGAGATTGGAAGCAGCCCCTACTTGGTACCAGAGATTAGGTTATCTGCATGTCCTTGCCTTTATCTAAAAGTGCAGCAAGAAGTTCTTATCTGAACACCCTTTCTGTCTGACTGTAGAAATTATGATCAAGGATGCTTTCTTGTAGTAAGATGCTACAATACCTTCAACAACCAAAATGGGGTCTGCACTGCCTGCTGCACATCTATCACAGCCCATTCAATACTGCACAGCTTGCGGTTAGAGATCTAAAGGGACTTACTAGTCTTTAGATTATATTCTTTTTCTCTACAGTGTTATCTGAAATAAACTGCATTTTAATTGATACTTCACAGAGACCAAGTACCTTTCTCACTGGGATCAGAATGCCCAAGTCCCTCCTGATGCTGCCTCCTCCCCACCATTTAATTTTTTTAATTATTTTTATATTTTCCAGTCTGTCAATCCATAGCCTTGATCTTAAGCACAGGCTGCAAATATACTTCAAAGAATTAATCACAAAGCTTTCATTCTGCTAAAGTCCTAAAAATAAGCACAAAACTTTTGTCTACTAAGCTGGGGTTTCATTCTTATTTCTGAAGGCAACAGCTGAAATTTAAACCTAAAGTACAAGAAAAAGAACATAAAAAGTTTAATTCTCTGCTAGAATAACCCTAAAACAATTCCAAAAAAGTAACATTTTAACTACTATAAAAAATTAACGGAGCCACCAATTAAATCTCTTCTCAAACAATGCTGCTTATATTTCTGATTACACTTTCAAAAGTTAAAAAATGGTGGTTTTTTTCTTACTGAATACATTTTTCCAATCTTTAATACACCAAGCAATCAGATTTTATAAAGGTGAGAAATCTGTTTAAGGGGATAGCTTCAACATACCTGATCACACTGCCACTGAGGACTTGCACAAAGCCTCTCTGCCGTTTGTCTCCCACAGATACACCGTTGCTCACTGACACGTGGACAAGGCTCACAGTCTCCTGTATGCAATTGCAAAGTGTCACTGAGAGTAGGAATTGCAGAAGAATGATGTATCTTAAGAACAGAATCAACTACTGCTCTGAAATTTAAAAAGGTGCTCTACCTGCATGACAGGGATTCTCACAGGCATGTTGTCCACACAGCAATGTTCGTCCACATGGCAGGCGGCAAGACCACTCCTTGGCACTGCACCTTCGGGGCACTGGTTTGGCTTTCTTACAGTGACAGGTTGTTGTGACCATCTTTGGGCAAGGTGGACACGGTCCTAATGACAGGAAAAGTTTTATCTTGTTAATGACCATTCAGCAAATGCAGCTTTGACTACATCTCTTTTACTCTGAGAATTTTAAATATATTTAACAGAAAGCTAAATTGAGTTAAGTTGAACTGTGCAACAGGTACCTAAATAGAGGTCATACCACCAAGAAACACAAAGGATTTACCTGGATGACAAAGCAGCAAACATTTATGACCACAGGAAGGTTTGAATTCCCTCTCACATATTTGACCACAGGAGTGAGGCACCAGCCATGGGTCCACTGTTGGATTCTCCACTTTTCCACAGTAACAGTAATACTTACTGGGAGTTTCAGAGCGTTTGTATTCAAACCTGCACTTTGGACTACAACAAGAGAAAAAGGAGTGAAAACAAAAGCAACTTTTTAAAACAGTTAAAAAAAAAAAAAGTAGTTTTCATCATTTTGGCTTCCCAAGACTGTTTCAATGCTACCAATTAACATTTTCACAACTATTACAGTGAATAACAAGAATATACAGTAACACAGAATAAAGGTCTTTCCATAGGTCAGATTTTACAGTACATTAATTAGAACATCTAAGGTACTGTCCTGTTAATTCAATTTCTTTTCTCTAAGAATATATATAGACAAAAAAATCAGCACGGCAAAAATCAGAACAATTTTTCTGTCAAGCTAAAAAGAATCTATGCAACAGTTACCCTACTAAAATAGAACCAATTAAAAAAATAAGGGGTTTACTAATAGCAGAATATTAGCCATGTAAAACAAAGTTTAGCAATGCTATTAAAATCATGCGTAAGAATTAGAACTTAATCTGAAAAATTTTAGATTCAAGATGTACACCTTCATTTTTCACCCTTGATGTTGATAGAAATGAAAAAATTCATTATTGCTAAAGGTACATAGACACTTGAGGCCTGTAATTTATAAAGTGTCACACGTCCAACAGGCCCCATGCAAGCCTTGGAAAAGGGAGGCAACAGAAGGAAGGAGAAATAAAGCAATTCACATTGCTGGCTACACTGGGAAAAGACAACAGACAAGAAGGTCCCCCTCAGAGAAGCACAGAATTTGAAAGACCTATGCATTCATTTTTATCAAATAAAACATCAATTTGCCCTGATATAATACATTACAGACCACGAACCATTTCTCAATGCTATCTAGTGATAGCATAGTTTTAGCATGTTCTTAAATGTAAAATAAAATACCATTTGCCTGGAATTTTCTCTCATCTTAAACATTATGTTTAAAAACAAAATAAGTTCATAGTAGAAGAGGCATTATCAATTGAGATGCTGCCAGCCAAAAACTGACACGTTATTTCCTAAACAAACCTGCTTCGGAAATTCTATTAATGAAGCCACATTATTACTTCCTTCTTTATAGCATCTCAAGGAAAACTGCAAGACCTGATTTAATGTTTGGATTATACTGAGACAAAAAAATAAATAAATCCCTGCATCTTGCTATTTGACAATATTTTTTAAACCTTTTTCATGGCATCAGCTTCAAAAATGAAAAATATGTAAAGCTTTTCAGAAATGAATGTCAGAAATGAATTACAGATAAGTTACCTTCTCAGAGGTTAAAATAAATTAGATGCAGCAAGGTTTTAATATCACTGTGAAATTTTTCTGAATCACATTAACGAAAGCTTAAAAATAATTTTAAAAATCAATAGAAAAGTCAGTCTTTTAAACCCTTTTTTTTTGTTGTTGTGCACATGATGTACAAGTATCACTTCTAAAGGAACATCAGTTGGAATGTTTTCCCCACAGAAATCTTTGTAAATGTACTATGAGGAGCTCACCATGGCCAGGGATAATCTTTCTTCCCAAAATCATCATCCGTCAAAGGAGAAGATACAAGGAAGAGGCTGTCCTTGGCCCACTTTTGGATACACACCAGATGAAATATACAAAAACATCCACAACAGCTCCAGACCTAAGGGGCAGACACCAAGTGTCAATTGCTTTAAATGAGGTTTCTGTTTCCAATGATGAACATCTATAATACCTAAAGGAATATAAGCTTGTTATTTTTCCCTTTAAAAATGGCTTTTCAAAGATAGATTATACCCCTGTTAGATCAATTATAGACAGTTTTACTGTTATAGATTCATACCTATAATCTTTTTTCCAACTCCTGTGGAAAGTTTTTGCTAGGGCTGACAGAGCCCAAAATACTCAGATAATCAGAGAAATGTTGATTTAAACACCTTGTTGGAGGTCATGTAGCACAACCTGATGTCCAAAGAAGGACTATTGCCAGCTTAGCTCTGTTCAGACACAGCTTTTCCTAGCAAAGTTGGAAAGTCCCGAGAGATGGGGACTCCACAACCATTCTGAGCAAGCTACTCCAACTGTCCTACTACCGTCCTAGTATCCAATTTGCACCTGCCAAGGCCCAGTTTGTGCCACTCTCCCTTATTCCCTTCCACCTAGAACAATAAAGATGACTTTGGCTATACCCAAGACTGTAACAACTTGGTAAGAAAAGTACAGAACAAAATTTTAAGTATTTTTTTTTTAATAACTTAAGACAATGTTATGAAATACTACTGTGAAAATACAGAGACTTTCCCCATTACCTTAGAGAGGACAGTGCCAATGACTAAGTTTCTAGAACTATGGTAACTACCCAAAACTAAAGCTAAGCAGGAGACATAAAATAAACAGACTTGCCTGAAATGATACAGATTCAAGATAATTAGCAAACCACTGAGTTAAAAAAGGCTTTCAAGTTACTGAAATACCTCACTTCTGCTGATATAAGATTAACTCTATCAAGAGCCAAAGAACTTCATATGTCAACCTAAAAATATTCATTAAGGTCTGAAAGACTATGGATTAAATATGTTAAGAATTCATACAAAATATATTGTATTTCTTTTTCAAAAGCAGTTACTGACTACAGCTTCATTGGGTACTTATAGTGTGTGTATATCTATCCTAAGAAATTAAAATATTTTCTGCACTACTTTTCTTTTAAATGCTAAACATACAGTTACAAACATGTTTTTGACTGACATACCTTTAACAAAAAAAGGAAAAAATATTTGTCCTGAAATCTCTCCCATAAAAAACATACCTATATGAAACAGGACAAACTTTTCTGAAACACACTTCTTTTTTACCTGATCAGCACTGAGGGCAGCAAAGTTTATCTTAGCTTCCCTGCTTTAAATCTAACAATAATATCTCTTTCTAGTATTTCACGTTTTGCTTTGCTACTCCATAGCTTATTGAATACACAATTGCAAGCACTGGCATTCAAGCACTTATCTTTGTCACCTGCTACTACCTAAAACTTAAAAATAGCTATTTTATACTATGATAACAAACATATGACCAAAAGAGGCATATTCTGATTACCAGCTACACATATAACCAGTTATGTCTTCCAGTGTTTCAAAATCCAAAGATACCAAGTTTGCATTTACTACTTTCACCATTTTAAAGCTATCAATCCCAAGAATACCCTCAATAATATAATACAAGTTATTCAGACAATTACATTTGTTTTGCTCTAAAAGATTACTGTAAAGTACTTACAGCTTGGTTCCTTTTAACTGAAGCAATGCAGATGAGACATGTCATGGCCCCTGACTGAAAAGCCTCATTCATGTACTGCCTCGTACGTTCCAGTTCACTTGCATCGCCATCTTTAATGGATAAAGATTTTTAAAGGAATCAGTAGCATTTGATCTGTTATTTTGTACATGTTGAGACCGCTACAAAAGTATTTATTCTCTGAATAAAACGTATTATTTAAAAAGGCATACTTAAGACAGTTTACAGCTATACCATTGCTTCTGCACAAAAAAACAAGAAGTACAGCCAGCATGCACTGCTGAGAAAAAATATTTCTAATGTAAGACATCATGATACAGTGCCTTCCCTCCAATTACAGTAAAATTCTAATACACAGTGATACTGCATTGCTTATGCTTTCATACCAAAATAAAAGTCAATAAATGAAAAAAAATCAAAACATTACCAGTTTGACTGGTGTAAATGGTAAATGTTTTATCCAAAATCTTCCCTTGTTTCACTTCAGCATCTTCATCATCATCTTCAGATGAGGAGCTTAATTGGTCTTCAACTAGCTTTTTTGCTGCAGCCTGATTAGCTTTCTTAATTTCATCAAATTTTTTCAGTGAAGATAATTCTATTAAAAGAAAATACTAATGATTATTAATACCATGATAGCTAATTGTAAACATCACATTCAGTTCTACATATTTTCAACAGTCCTTTTAACTCTTTTTAAAGAGTTTGCTGATTTTATATTTCTACGAATATTACATCACTACATTTTAAATACCACACAAGAAGAGATAAACTGTATTTACTTCTTTACTGTGTATTATAAAATTCACAGCAGGAATTATTTTCTGTCAATTACTGCTGACAAATCCAACCTAACATACCAGAATACAAGCAGCTATAATGCTGCTTTATTTAAAGGACACTTAAGAAAACCCTACACAACCAACACAAACACAACTGTCACAGCATGAGGAAAAAAAAAACAACAAAACGCAACACGCAGTTTTGTTTATAACAAATTTACAGTTGTTATAACTTGCAGATATCATATAGGTATTTCTCCAGCACCTGTTATTTCTTAAATTATGACTTTCACTGATCTCCCTCACTTTCAACAAATCTCTATTGCAATACGTTCATGCTATTTCACAGGAGATCACTACCTTTCCTTTTTAGATTACTACACCCCAATATATTTACCGGGGTTTCGCCAAGTTTTAAGGCTCCTCTTAAGAAACTATGCTGCCACTAAAAAGAGCTCTGTCTTTGGCCCTTCTCTGGTGGATTTCCCGAGGATGAGCTTGCACTCACAGCTGCGGCGCGCACCGAAAGCCCGCACCTTTCCCTGACCGGAGCAAAGCGTTTCCCTGACCAGAGCACTTAACCCTATCTCTACCGAGTAACTCCCCTGGCTGTTTCCAACCAAAAAAAACCCAGATGTTTCATCCATCACTTCACACTTTACTCCTCTGTTCCGAGAAGAAGACGGTGTACCCTGGCGAGGGCTTAACTCTTCGCTCCTCGCCGCGGCCTGAGGCCTCCGCGTTTCTCCCCGGCAGGGACCTACAGGCAGGACACGGCACATGGCGAACACCGGCTCGACACCGCCAGGCAGCGCGGGAGAGGGGCCGGGGCCCGCCAGCGTCCCATCCCCGCGACGCCGGGGACGGCCCCGACCTCGCCACCTGCAAGGGCTCCGGGCCACCGCCAGCTCCCCAGCCCGGGGCCCGGCAGCGCAGGTAGAGAGCAGAACGCGACACTCACCGCTGGCCCCCTCGCCGATGGTCCCCGCTGCCGCAGCACGGACACCGCCGCGGCCCCGCGCGGCCGGGGGCCGGGCGGCCGCCCCAGAGCGAGCGGCGAGCTCGTCCCCGGGCCTGGCGCGGCCGCGGCCCCGGCCGCCCTGACGCCACTGAGCCTCCATTTGTCCCTCGCCAAAAAGCGAAGGATGGCGGTGGGACCAGACCCTCCGCCTCCCCCCCACGCCGGCACAGACGCCCGGAGAGCACTGCGCCCGGCGCAGCCCGGCCGCTCCGCCCGGCAATGGAGGCGGCGGGGCCGCCGGTGCTCCCGCAGCAGTGCAACTACAGCTCCCGGCGCCCCCCGCGCGGCGGGCGGGCGGGCCGGCGGCGGGCACCGCCTCAGCCGCCGGGGCTCGGAGCCGGGGCTGCCCTGGCCCTGGATCACGGCGTGTTCCGGGTTGGGAAGGGTGTGGGATCAGCCAGTCCTTCATTAACCCAGCGTAATCACCTCCACCACTGAACCATGTCCCCAGTGCCACATCTATAGGTCTTTTAAACGCCTCAAGGGATGGTGACTCCACCACTTCCCTGGGCAGCCTTGACAACCGTTTCGGCTGATATTTTTCCTAGCAACTAGGAAACCTAGTTACTAATCTAACTAATCTAAACTGATTTAATCTCTCCTGGCGCAATTTGGGACCTTTTCCTGTCGTCCTGTCTCTTGTTCGGAGAAGACACCACACTCCCCTCACTGCTTCTTCCCTTCCGGTAGTTTTATCCAGCGATAAGGTTCTCCCTGAGCCTCCTTTTCTCCGGAGTGAATTTCTGGCGGCCGCTCCGGCGGCATGCGGCTCTTGCAGACATTTTCTTCATAGCTCCTGTAACTCCTAGAACTTCATGGCTCCTGGAGTGTAGAACACATACTTTGTGTTAAAAGACCACAAAGCCTGTTTCGAAACTTCACTGAAGTACATCCAGAAAGTTTTAGTACACAGAAACATATATTGAGGAACCTGTGTGCCTCCCAAGTTCTGACAATTAAAAGCAGGTTGAAATAATTTTAATTTTATGGACATTTCCTATAGCACTTACATTATGTCGTGTGCCAGGAGGAAACTTTGCGTTTAGCATATTTTCAGCAAATACCTTCTCATAAAAATTGTTATAGATTACCAACCATAAGTAGTCTGAAAATAGTAAGCAAACCACTGGAGATCAATTCTGGTTTTCTGTTTTATTTTGAAATGGTTTGAGTCAAAGAGTTTTTAGTCTCAAGAAAGAGGCAGCTAGTGAATACAATTCATGTCTTAGACTGAAGGATCAATACCAAAAAAATTGTTAACAGTAGATATCTGCCTTTTTTTAAATTAAAACTTCGTATCACACATTTATCTAATAAAAAGTCCTAAACACTTCAACAAAGGAGAGAAGTGCTTCCTAAGTGCTTAGTAACCATATAGGATAGGCTGCTGCTGGCATACAGATTGCAAATTATATTCAAGATCTGAGCTGGAGGAATGCTGATTGCAAAGTCCAACACTCAAAATACTGCTAAATTACCAGAATAATCCTTGTTCCTGTCTACAGGGATAGAATCTTTACTGACGGGATAGCATACCCTTTCCCCTTATCAGCTAATTAAGCCATTGATTATTCAAAGCATAGGATCAACAGGGCATGAAGAGCCATTTTGTATTTATATTTACCTTTGTTGTTTTGTATATATCCTATGCATTAAGTACTTGATAAAATTTCAGCCTTGCAGTAAATCAGGAGTTATTTCTAGATCTCTGGCATCCTGGAAAGCATCAACATTACAAAATATAGAACAGATAGAAAGGAATGTACTTTATAAAATACCCAATTTATATTATCTCCATCTTATTAAGGAGAAAATACAAGTGTAGAGATATTATTGACAGTAACATGTACATATATATTTTTTAAGAGTGGCAGTCCAGTTGCTCAGGATAATCAAATTTCCTTAAATAGAGAATTATCTATTCTCTTATTACAGTCCCTTTCTTCACTCCTTTTCATCAAACTTATCCAATGTTTTGTGCCTATGATCAAATTCTCCTGAAAATACTCAGCTGCAAATACTCAGCTGAGACCATAACTAAGCAAACCATTTTTCTGCCAATGAGAAAAAACAAAAACTAGGGGGAAATCCAAGGAGATAATGGATCTTAAAGCAGCTGAAAATGGACCTAACAAATGAATCTATAGATTTTACTATGTCAGAAGTAGTTTGAAGAAAGAAATCCTCTATCAGTGGGAAAGTACAGCCTCTTTAGTAATATTCTTCCCCCAACAGCCTCAACAGAAGACACTGTAGAAAGAATTTGGCCTGTTGGTGTTGTGCCTTCCCCTTGCACTCTGCCAGCATAAAGAAATTTTACTTTAAGGACATAAACATCTTTAATTAGAAATCTTCAAAACTTGATAGCCCATGTTCCACAGCCACATGATTACATAAAACAGAACAATCTTTAATGCATATTTTTATTTGTATATTATTTGTTATTATTGTGAAAAGAACACAAGATTATGAGCCTTGCATATCTTTCACATTGATGCTTGCGAAAAGTTGTATTTTCTCCTCTCTGTATTCCAGCTTTTGCATGTGTTATCCTGAAAAAAAGACTATTTCAAACTGCCCACTTATATTTCAAGAAATCAGCCAAGGTGGACCCAATGAACTAATAGTATTTTCCAAATCTTACAGCCTTCAGTACTCTCATCTACACTGTAGATATACTTAATTATTTTTATAATATTGCATACTTAATTAATTTCATGTTAATCAATAGATATTAAAACATGCTCATTAATACACAAATTGAATATAAAGGTTAATGACTTCACATAATATAATTGTTACCAAACCTTTCCCTCTTTCCATCAGCAGACACAAAGAAATTTTAAAACAACAGCAAAACTTCCAATATTTGCCAGTATATGACAGTGTATGTGCATCTGCCATAGAGCAGCATTATGGAGAATACAAAACGCATTAACAGATAATACCACCTCTCTGTGCAAGAGCAAAGTGTTATCTTTCATTCTCATTCTTTATTCTTCATTTTCTGCCCCAAAACTGCCAAATATGTGCTGCTTGTAGGAGGTTAGTGGCATTGTCTCAATAAATAAATTTTTTGTATTTAATAATCAGGTCCTACAAAGATTAGAAATTCATGTATTCAGCCCCAGTCAGGATTTGACCCTCAGTCTTCCATTGTTTTTATTCTGCTTTTGACAATCCAGGTTTATCTGTGGATGGATCCACTTCTTCTAAGTCTGCAAACTCTTCCTCTATAACTGGCTTCAATATTTTCTCTATTTGTGTAAGTCTTTTTTTCACTTTCTGTTGTGCACCTTCATACTCAGCCAACAACCTGGCAAACTTTGTTTGTAACCTGCCCATAGCACGTTCCATGTAGGCGATTTTCTCTTCTAGATCTTTAGGATCACTTCCTAAATTTGCAATTTCAATGTCCAGCAACCCATCTTTCATTAGGATTTGCTTGCCTTTTTCTTCCAGCATAGCCTTTGCATCTGGATACTCTGTTAAAGCCTCCATGAGATCATCTTTAGACAGACAAAATAAGTCTGAGTAGCCAATACTTTTAATATTGGCTGTTCTGCGATTGCCAGCTTTGCTACCTTTGATATTAAGAATGCTGATTTCTCCAAAGTAGCTGCCATCACCTAGGACCACAAATTGGGTAATTCCATCATCAGCAACTACTGCCAGCTTGCCTTCTTTGATAATGTACATCTCTCGTCCAATATCTCCTTTTCTGCAAATATAATCTCCAGGACTGTATACTTGAGGCTGGAGTTTCAAAACCAGTTCAACCAGCAGACCAGCTTCACAGTCTGCAAAAATCCGAACTTTTTTTAGCGTTTCCAGGTGAACATTGATTGCAATCTCTGCTCTTAGCTTATCTGGCAGATATTTCAAGACTTCTCTTTCATCCACAGCCTTTTTATTTGTCCACAGGTAGTCAAACCACTTTATAACTCTTTTTTCCATGTCCTTACTCACATTCCGAAAGTGCATATACTGCTTGATAGCATCAATTCTCGCTTGAAACTCTGCCCTGGCAGCATTCATGTTGGAGATCATCGAGCCCACATTACCAACAATGGTAGCGAAGATCAGAACTCCAACCAAGAAGTCAACAACCACAAAGAAATACTCAGAATCTCTTACTGGAGGGGGGGTTTCACCGATAGTAGTCAGAGTCAGCGTTGACCAGTAGAGACTGTAGACATATTTTCTAGTCAGTCGGGCAAATTCAGGATCTGAGGTGTTGGGGTAGACCCATGTGTCAGCCCCAAATCCGATGGCTTTTGAGATTGAGTAGTACACACAGGCATTCCAGTGAATAATAATCACAATGTACATGACAAGGTTAGAGATCCTGAAGATATTTGGGTAGTTTGTTCTTGTTTCTGTTCTCTGGAAGAATTCAAACATCCGAGCTACTCTGAGTAGTCTGTTTATTCTTAATTCTGGGTAATTCAATCCTAACTTAAAGTATAAGAGATCGGTTGGTATGATTGACAGAAAATCTAGTTTGAATTGAAAAGATTTCTTATATTTCTCTTGTAGCTTTTGTTCTTCTTTCACCAGAAGACCTTGTTCCAGGTAACCTAAAATAAAATTGTAAATAAAAAATGCTACAGGTTCAAATGTGTTGTGTTTAACGTCAGTCCAAATCTACTTTGAAAAATATTTTGGGTGCAAGTTCCATATGGAATATAACTTCTCTTACTTTCTAATATTTAGTTTCTTATTTCCAGATAGTCAGCTTAGTGCTATATGGTTCAGCTTGAGCTATGAATGATAAACAATTCTAGATCTGAATATTTTCCTCCACTTTTCCACTATGGTGAACATTTGGAAAAAAAAATCCATCTTCCCCTCCAAAGAAATCTCCACAAGCTATAGGAAGGGTGATTAATGAGGAAAAGAATTTGAACACAGGAATTTCAGTTCCATATTGAGTGTATCTACTTAATAGCTCCATAGCATAATATTTTAAAATAAATAGTTGCAGCTAAAGTTAATGAGCTGTCTTGCATGCTCAATGGTCTTGAAAATCAAGCAAATACGTGAGTCTCCCATTAACACATAAACCAGATTTAGGTGCTGTTTTTTCAGAACCCCTGATCCTTTCTTGGCTATACCACATGTTTCTTTTGTCTCGGTGAGTCAGCTGCAGGCAGAACACCTTGTAGCTGTGTATCTCAAACTTTACATATCTGAGTAATACATCAGAATTTCATCAGAATTTCTCCTACTATTTACAGTAACGCTGCAGTCTTTCAGAAATCTCAGTGTCTTTTTTCCACTAATGCACCTCATCAAGGCTATTAAGTAGTAGTGTTTTGATTTAAAAAAATAAACCTGGCATAAATATGTAAAAAGGAATAATTAATCATTGAGCGTATTTACCTGTCCTTGTCCGTACGAACATATCAGCAACATAAATGGCATCAGAAACATAATCAATTATAAGCCATGCCACTAAGTAATCATGCTGAAGCTCATCAAAACAGGCTCTGAATATGAAGAAACAAATGTAAATTACCATAAAACAAAAATTAAATACTTGCATGAATCACTGATTAATAGAATATTTTTTGATCTAGTCAGGAATATTATGATATTCCAGAAGTTCTATGTAGTCATTAAAGGAGTACATCACCTAGCAATAATCATGGTCCAGTTGTACATGACAGGCATTGTGATGCAAAATAGCCAGTTGTAATATATATTTCCTGCTGGATCAATGGTGAAAATATCTTTCGTCTTCCTAAGTGGTAAGGAGGGGAAAAAAAGAGATTTAATAAGAGACTTGAAATACATGTATCATTTTTGAGGAACTAAGCATTCCAGATATTATTATTGTGAAATAAATGGTCTTTATCAGAGTCAAACTTCCTTGCTCAAATGCATGGAAGATATGAAGTTGGTGTGACTTGGTGTGACACAAACTTTAGAATCTAAATTTTGCTGAGCAAAGTTAGCTTGGCAGTCTCACTTTATAGTGGCACATGTGATTTTTAGATTATTTTTTTCCTACCCAAATTACTCTCTTGTCTGATAATTTATTTTATCATTAAAAAAATTATGTGACTACTAATTTTTAAATAAATATAAATTATGAGATGAATCATGCCTTTCTCACAGAGAAAAGTCTAGCCTAAGAAAGATAAAACATTGGCATAGGTTACATAAAGAAACCAAAGAACCGGAAATCATACAACACAGGTTTCTACTGCACAGTTTCAAGTTTTTCTTCCTTACCAAGAAAATTATGAATTTATAAAGCAGACTATAAAGCAACAACTTTTAGAGCATAGAAGAGTTTACTTGCTTGTAGGTGCCCTTGTGTGTGGAGATTGCTTTATATTGACACGTCGTTTGCTGCAGTGTGTTATCCAAGAAATATTAGATAATCAGAATCCAAAGGAGATATATCTTGATTAATGTTTTCAGATCACCTCCATGCATGCATGTTTCTGTTGTCCACATATGAATTTAAGTCAAAACAACTCTCCTCTAGGGAGAACAACAGCAGTCTTTACTCTCATTCACTAAGTTATAAACATCTTTACAAGACATCTGTGAATTAATTTGTTCTTACATCAAAAGCAATTTTATTATGCATCATAACTGGACCTAAAGGGAAAATACTTACGCTTCCATATTTTCTTTCTTCTTCGACTTATTTTTATTTTTATCCTTTTTTTCTTTGTTCTTTTGTATTTCTCCATCCTTTTTTTTTTCTGGCTTGCTGAGAAATAGATTAATATTTTCCATTGTTAAGGACCAAGTTAAAACATATTTAGAAAAAAACTAAGTATCTCAGCAAGAGTAGTATTACTACTCTTCATCTTACCTCTTCTTTTCTTTTTTCCTTTTCTTCTCCTCTCTAAGAAAAAGAAAAATATGATAGGCTCATGGGATGCACATCCCATTTCTTCAACATCTATTTATTATAAGCATCTGAATTCAGTAAGGATAATATTATACTCAAGTGCTTGGCCTTCAAAAAACATAGTTTTCTTACTGCTTATTTTATTCACCCAGAACTACTTTTGTTTTAAATTAATAGATACAATATCAGTAACTTTGGTAATAAGGATGATCAGCATCATAACTGATGTGCATGAAGTTGAAATATATGTGCAGTCTCTTTTGGGCTTACCTGAATCACATATCTGTTTCTAATGAAATTACTAGATATTTATTATAATTATTTATTTCTGCTTTTATAATCAAAATTGCAGTACTCTCATTTCATCAAATGGTAAAGATACTTACTCCTCTTTATTACTATTATTGTTAATATTGTAGCATGCAAATACTCCAGGTAGATATTGTTGCCTGGGGAACAACAAAACAGCACAGTTATGATATCTGCTGAAATGTAAAAAAACCCCAAACTCTTAAATATTTACAATAAGCAAAATACTACAATCTTTAAAACTTTGTTTATTACTCAGAGTGATAAAAATTATATGATAGCAGGTATATGTGTTTAGATAATCCTATGTAAATCATCAAACTATAAAAAAACAAACTGACACAAAGTATATTTGACATACCTGTTTTCCCCTTTGTGTGTCAGTCCAAGGTCCTTACTGGTGTCATGCACTACCACACTGGGAACAACTGTATGGGAGTGATGGGTCTCAATCACTCCTACCTTCATGGTCAGGTTTGTTTTAGCTTGGGTAATTGAAGAAGACTGAATAAAAAAAAAATCAAGTCATTTTACCACTAGAATAAGTAGCTCTTTTTTTTCCCAAAAAGTCCTTGTTTTCCTGAAGACTAATGTTTTTAGTTTCCTGTCTCTCATCACATTCCCACCAGAAAGGAAAATGACCTGGCAACTGCTGCTAAAGGGAACATTTTACACATCTTTAGGGAAGCATTAATTTAGGTCTTTCTCCTGAGTTTTGACACATACTTCGAAATTATTTAAACAATTGTGTCTGAAACATCTACCACTGCTTCTGTGGGTTTTGAACCACAGGTGTGAAACACTGCATCAAGATGGATAAACAGATTCATGTACAGATGACATCCTTCTGAAAACCAGACTAAAAAGTATCCCCTGGTTGTAGGTCCAAAGAAATCTCATTAGATCTGATAAATGAGACTTAGACTCTGTTGAGACCAAGGAGTGGGTTCTGTAAATAAGAGGGTAAGACTAATGTAGTAGTTTCCTTATTCATACAGCAGGTGGTATATAAACACCTACATAGAAATGTTAGTGGCTCTTTATGTCTGGTCTGTTCATCCCAAGGGAAAAAACAAACCTGAAATATTTTATAGCTAATACAGTGCATTCTACTGCATAATTTTCTAGCACTGGTGTAATTAACTTCTGCTCTCCTTTTTCACCACTTATTCCTACAATGCTCAGTTAGATCTTGGCCTTGGCAGGACTGCCAGCTCTTCAGGCATGAATTCTACCAGTGTGATTTGCCAGGGCCATTTAGAGAGGATTATAAAACAGGTATTGATACTGCTATCCACTGCAGTAACAATATCCCAGTATGTGCAAAATCAGAGTATAGAGATCTCTGTAAACCACAAACTAACAAATGAGTGTCTGTTCCACTGATAAGTGAAGTCAAATGTCATAGGGATCAGTCTTAAAGCAGTGCATTCTGACACACCACAAAGGAGAAGCAGCATGATTTAACTGACATTATTGCCAGATTTACTTGGCTTCTCTTTCTTGTCAATGAAACTAAAAATACACCTATACAGGAACTAGGAGGGGAAATCCATGTTTCCAGCACTCATCAGACATGAATGACACATGGTGCAAAAAATTATACAGTAGTATCATGGAGTAACAGAATATTCTAGTATTCTAGTAGTCCCACAAGGACTACTGAGTGCCACTCTTAAGTGAACGGCCCATACAGGGATCAAACCTACAACCTTGGTGTTATTAGCACCATGCTCTGACCAACTGAGATATAACATTCTACAAAATAGAAAGATAAAGACTGAAGATTAAGATGTGTTATTCCATGGATAGTCCTAAATATAGTCCAATATTACTGGTCAGTCTTTAAATGCTTACAAGAAAAGGATCAGGTCTAAGATAAATAGACAAAAAAATATTCTAAATATTTAAGACATGGTAAACTTCAAGTTAGATTCATCAGGAGACCTAAAACTGTACCAGGGTTTCCACTGACTTACTGCTTGAAAGTGAGAGGATTGAAATTACACCAAGTTCAATTAAGTAGCTTTATATCTGCTTACAGGAGCTCTGAAAGCTCTACTAATGCTGGAACACAAAATTCCATCCTGATTAAACCTATATCCTCCACAGGGCCATACAAATAATGGCTCAAAATAAAGCTGTGTCCAACTCAGCACCAGACAAATTCAAATGCATTAATCTCTAGGGAAATAATTTATCCTGCAGAGTGGGCTCTAAACCATTCAGTTCATGTTAGTACTCACAGTAGCAGCATTTCTACATCGGCACATATTTTTCATGTTTACTTTTGCTCTTTGAGTCTTCTTTAGTTTCAAGAACAAAAAAAAAATTGACTTTGTGCTCTCCAGACATACTGATTTGCACTTAAACTAGAGTTTAAAGATGATGATAAGTATGATAAAATATAAATTGCCCAAAATCACACCAATCCAGGGCACATAGCCTGAAGGCTTGGGAAAAAGAACTGTATCCTCAACATTCCCATGTTCTTCAGGTTAATAGGATTTTCTGTGCACTTTTTCAAATAATCAAATTTCTCTGGCTCTGTTGGTGTCTATTGTAAGCAGAGGCACTGTGGGATACTGGGTACTCTGGGGAAGCAGCCATGTATAGGATTTCCTAGGGAAGAGGAGCTGCCATTTGAGGCAGGACTGGACATTTCATATTACTGAGGCACTGAAAACATAAAGTAGCATAGAAACTGAAGTATTAACTACCCTGTAGTCTCAAAATACCAAGTTTGAATGTCAAGCTCAGGGTGGTCCTGCACCAGCTTATTTCCTTGTCAATCAGTCAGGATCTGTAGCACAAGAATATCTTCAAATTCCACTAGTCTGAAAGCAAACTGTGGGGAGTTTAAGTTCCCAAGTCTACGACACAGAAGTGCTAATGCAGCATGTGCCCAGTGCAAGCTGGACAGACACAGTAATTAAATCTAGTTTGGGGACTATTGTTACCTTGTTACAGCATTTTCCCATACTGGGTACAATAGAAAACATCACATTAAACTCAGTGGGTCCAAACTCATCTTTATGCATTTTCAAGAATTTCAAATTTTTTACCAAATTCTATTACTATGATGTTTCCTATTCTGTAGTCACTCGTATTTTTTCTTAAACTGATACATTGTCACAGCTTGTTACAGTGCTTTTTAATATTGGGACGCACATTTTCACATTATCATATTTAGGTAGTAAATTAAAAATGTAATAGATAGATGCTTTCTTTAGATATATTTTAGATTTCTACCATATGGTTTTTACTGTATCATCCCAAATAGTTTCCTTTTACTACTTTGGATTTTTTTAAAATGTAACTACTATGATAAACAACTAAGTTTTCAAGCATTATGACCTGAAAACTAATTATATTAATTACTAAACATCAAAATCTTTAGGGCTGCAAGAAAATGAAGGCAGTATTTTCCTTTTACAGGATTGTGATGAGTGGAAGATCAGCTCCTGTCTCTTCTGCTCTTGTATTTTACGTATTTCTCCATTTCTTACTGGCCCACCACATTCACATCTCTAATCATTGCTTTCATAGAGAAAATGTTTTAAATAAGGATACCCTGGAACAGATTTTGGCACCATATAAAGGTTTAACTTTTTTCTTTACAAAAAGCAGCAAAAAAATCTTCATTAACATTGAAATCTGCAGCATGCTACAGCATGTTCTGTCTTTTCTAATATGCTAAGAATCCTTAGCAGTTCTGCAATAAGCAGTTTCAACAAGCAGCGTGCATGCTTACCTTGGGAATGTAATCTGCTGCTTCTAATAGAGATTTCAGTCTTTTAAATCAGCCACATTTCCTTGCTACATAAGCAGAATCACCATGAAAAGCTGAATATAATCAACATTTCATAAATAATTCCCTCATTGATCGATTTCACAAAGAGCCAGTCCTCTGTGCCGTTCTCTGAGTTATTCCCAAGGAATGGTTATTAGAAGAGGATTTCCTTGACCTAGTGATGGATTTTGAGATTTAGAGGGAGATGAAAGTGACAGTGGCCATCAGTATTATCCTTCACCTGAACAGAAGCTTACTAACCCTATCTACAAGCACAAGAGCTGACAAATACTGGAGTGAGCTCCAATTCAATTGTTTTGAAATTGAACCAAAAATACTGTAAATAAATATATGTTCAGTATTATCCGCTCCCTTCTTTTCTTAATATTGCAGATGCTTTTTAACTGTAGTAACAGTTTTTTTACTGTGATAGATAAAACACATCAATTGAACTTTTCTGTTTACTTTAATGTGTATACCATATGGCTGAAGAAAAGGAAATAACATTTTAAACTACTTAAAGTTTTTAAATAATATAACACAACGCATTTTGATACTTAAAAAATCCGGTGAATTGCAGACACATTCTTACTGGAAAATCCCTCAATGATGGAGTTTTAAGACATTGAACAGATCTTCAACTTCAGTATAGATTATGACTTGGCAAAATGGTTTAAGTAGCTGCATTCCTCCTCCATTAGAAATGTGCAAGAGTGCATCTGTAGTGGCCAAAGATCAAGAAAGGTCCCATGAGGATCCTAGCATATACTTCAAAAGAGAAGATGGTATTTGCCACCTCACCTTTCATATTTCACTGCTGGATACCATAAGAATGAGGAAAATAATGTTCTCTGAAGTTTGAGTGATTAATTTTTCAATCTGGAATCTTGTACATGGCCCATTTTTGTAAAAGTGAAAAAGAAAAGCTGTTAAGCAGAAAAAAGAGGTAAATGTTGAAACTTGAATTTATATCTTTGTCACAACTGAGACATAGCTAAAGTTACTGTATTACATTTTAACTTTGCTTCATAAAGAGAATCCAGAAAAGCAGTCTAGCCCCTGGAATTCCGGGATTATGACACATTTGTTTCTATAACCAAGGGCAGCAGGAAAAAATTCCATTAGAAATCATAGGAACCAATTTAAATCTTGCAGCCCAGGTGATTGAGTTTATGGATTTAATCATAAAAGAAAAGCTCAGCTGTTGCACTGTATTAGGAATGGTAAAGTGATGACACAGACTCTCTAGCCTCAGTTGCAAAAGAGATCAAGTTTTACTCTTCCAGATCTTCTTTTATAGGTACTTCCCAGCAGGTCCAAAAAGGTGAAACTCTCATTGGTCATGAAACCAACACATAAACATCATTGGACAGTTAGGAACTACACACCTTGACTGTTTCTTACAAGTAAACAATAAGGTGGCAAGCAACACCTGCAAAGGTTGTTTTCCTTCTCTAAGGACTGTTTGGATTCCTCCCTATGATTTCTCAGGCCAGAGTGAGTTATGTACTTGACTTTCCCACAGGCTCAAGCTAGTGCCTGAAGCCTAAAAATCTCTTATTTTATTTAAATTTATTTATTAATAAATAAAATTATTTATTTATTTAAATTCACTGTCAGTCCCCACACTCAGCACAGGTCAGCCTCCTGATGATAGAAACAAATTAGACACATCGGCTGCTATGGCTTTCCAATCCTGACAACAGTCATCCCATTTTCCAGAAAAGAGAACATGCATTTGAAACTTAAAGAATAAAAATCCTTTTAAATAAGATAGTAACAGGCAACAAGGAAATGCATCATTTATGCACAAGCCACATATACCAGTTTTGAATAAGATACGCAACATAGATAAATAAATAATAAAATAGATAAAGAACTGAATAATCTTCTAAATTCTGGCATATGCTTTACTGTTGTCTTTGAAGAGCTGAAATGCATCTCTTATCCTAAGATCATAGATATGAAAGGAATCTCAGAAGGTTACTGCATTCAACAAGTATTGAATCTTGATCAGTTTTACCTCTGTCATTCTCCAGGGTTTTTCCCTGTCTTGCAGTCTGTAAGATGTCAATGTTCAGTGCTGAGCAGTGATTCTGTGAATATGTGGTGGCTATATGGTGGTATATGGAGTCCCAAACCATATGTTTGGGACATATGCCTTGTTATGTGTCACAAAAGAGTTGATGTATCTAGTATAGAACTCCCAGTTTTCTGATAAAATAAAAAGTCCTGCAAAGGAATGGTAACTTACTTTTTTCTTTATTGGTTTACCCTGGAATTTTTCAAAGCTCTGAAACAGAGGAAGATGAGTCTTACTAAGCCTCCCCAGTTCCTTGTCTCACAGTGGTCAGAACGTCACTAACCTGTGAAGAATCTTTCAGGACAAATTCTGGATGAGCTCAACACAGTGGTGTTAATTCTGCCCTCCTTTAAAAGCCAGTTAATTAGACGTCATTGACTTCACTGACAATTATATTAGTTTCATGTCAATATTTTTTCATAGATATATTTTCCATCATTCTGTATTCCAGTGAAGTAACCTTGACTAGTGGGAGAATGACTGCACTAATGGATTACTGTTTTAGTAGGCCAACTATAATCTATTTTTGCATCTTGCATTGTCATAATCTATAATTCTTCGCAATCCTATTAAGGCTACATGTTTGTACATGTCTAGTTTCAGATACCCATAGCCAAAACACTAGATATATTAGACATATGTATGACTTATAAATAATCAGGTTTTAATAGCACAACATTGCCTTTCAGGTTACTGTGTTGAAGCTCTGTAAACAGAGCGTTTGGATTGGGACCACGGTTTAGGCAGGCTTATTTTCTGCAAATACTGTTCTGTTTTTTCTCATGCTGATGTGATTTCAGCAATTAATGTCATGATGGAAGTGCTGTAGCTGAGAAGACTCCAGGGCTTCTGGCTTATTTATGCTCTTGTGTAGAATTCAGTGTCATGAAGCTCAATTGGCCCCAATGAGGCTTGATAACTGGAAAACCATCAGTGCCAACAGTGTCTCCACCAGTAGGTGGTACTGTATTTTTACTTTAGGGTGAGTGATGGAGAGTGATATAGAAACAATTTAAGATGTGTATTGGTTTACTGGGTTCTCATGTGCAGATGAGGCTGAAATCACAAAACACTGCAAGTGCTCTCAGGCACAGAGCACAGCACCACACAGTGTGCTCACTCACCTTTCACCATCATTTTCCAGGTCCAGACCCTAGTTTTTGTATGGATCCTCCGCACAGGGACTAGCACTTCTGAAACGTCCACACTGTGTCTGGCCATGCCTGGCAGTTTTTTCTGTGCCCTGAGATGAACCTACAGTAAGACTTTCCTTGTGCCTTCCAGGTTCGGTGGGTGTCTCTCCCCCGAGATGTCTCTTCAACTCCCAGCCTGAAACCTGCAAGGAACAGAGAGACCGGCTTATCAGAAAACTCTCTGGAAAATATTAGATCTTCATTCAATGGTATAATTGGGATAAAGAAAAATTGTGGTGACCCTACAGGAGTTCCAGAAGCTCTGTACAGTCAGTACTTCTGTTTAGCAGAATTTTATTTCAAGTTAAAATAACATTGGAAATCTTGGTTCTTTGTGCAGAAAAATTATGCTAAAATGTTTACACATGCAAAGGTGATTCAACTGATATTAATTCTGCTTAAACAAAAATCATCAGTATATGCCATTGCCACCAATAAGAGTGGTAGAAAATGCACTGTAGATAAAAAAGGTTTAATAAATCTAGTTTGCATGTTATTCACTCCTTGTAGTATAGAAGGAGTTAAGGTGGCACCATCTGGGCATTTTTAAGGGAACATGTATACAATTAATCTCTACACAGCAAATAGAGAAATCTAATAATTTTGAACTTCAGTCTAGAGATATTTTTTTTTTTCTCAGTTGAATTTAATTTCTTCACGTATTGTTCCTGCAGGTCTGCACTAAATCATTATGTAGTGGGATAGATAGAGTTCCCACATTCACAAATCTACTTCGGTCATTTTTGTGTCCTACATGCCAGGACGGGTAATAAATCTGTCTGTAGCTTCTGTATTGAACATAACTCATGTTTGGGCACTTTCGTGTAGCAGCAACTGCTGGCAGAGTAATGCAGAACAGGGAAGCTGAGCAATGGTAACAGGATTTAAAAACGCCACAGGCAATTTTCCTAAATAATAATAAAAGAGATAGATCATCCTTCATGTCTGCACCTGAACTAGCTGCACAGTGAACAGGCTTTTTAATTGTGGTGGAACTTGTTGTCATCATCTTCAGTATTTATGATAATACAATTAAATACTGCATGAGGAACTCAATGTATATGCACGTAAGAAAAAATAAAATCCTCAACAAGATTAAAGAATTTGTAAGAAAGCCAAGGAGACCCACAAATTATGGTAATTAAATTGTTTGTGGCTAACACAGCGGTAAAGATGGGGGGGTTTATTAATGCAGTTGTAGAGAGGTATAAGGTTTATCCTCAGTCTCCTTTTCTCCAGGCAAAATACCCCCAGCTCCCTTAGCCACTCCTCATAGGACTTGTGCTCCAGACCCCTCACAACTCCATTCCCCTTCTCTGGACTTGCTCCAGCACCTCAATGTCTTTCTTATAGTGATGTGCCCAGAACTGAACACAGGATTCACAGTGTAGCCTCATCAGTGCCAACTTCAGGGGGACAAAATTTGCTGGCCACACCATTCCTGATACAGGGCAGGATACCACTGGTTATATTAGCCACCTGGGCACACTGCTGGTTCATGTTCAGCCAGCTGTCAACAAATGTGTACATCAGATTAAATATTTTATTCATTTATTAAATAGACTTTGATGTCCATGGTCAGCTAAAGGACTTGGCTGGTACAGAGACCCATCCACAGAAGTGTTAGCTGTACTCTGTTTCTCAGAATTCTTGCTCTGGGTACTGCACCACAGTAATGCTGAAGCCGTGAGCAGCAGGTCAGCAAGAGCTGTGCCAGAGGAAGAGGTGGTCTTTGGCAGCCCACCCTCTCCCACCTTCTCTGCTGCTTTGGCAGGGCTTTGTGGATATTACCACTTCCCTTCTCAGCAGATGTGCCAACTGAGCCACTTGCAGGATTGCAGCAAGCTCAAAAAATTGACACATTTTTGCAGAAACAAGGATGTGAGCACACAGAGTTGACAGATCTGAGAAGACACAGAGCAAAAATAGGAATTTGAAGCAGACTGCAGACGTGCATCTGTCCATATATGTGGTTTTATCCTATGGACATGCTTATGTTGCACAAGAAGATCACAGTTTGCTCCCAAACTTTCAGACTCTGCTTTAAATTTTTGATTTAAGTGTTTCAAATACCATTTAAAATTATTGCTCTGGTTTTTTAGCAGTCCCTGTGGTGCTCCGTGGAGGTGTGTTAAATTTGCAATTTTGCCTCCAGTTAGAGAAATCCTTGTGCATGCTGAAGGTCTGCAGACTGTCCCAGGAAGTTTGCTGGGCAACATGTAATGTTTTATTAAGCCTTACATTTTGTAACTGTATTTCACTCAATTACGTCAAAACCAAGACCTTAGACTTCCAAGTTGAAACTATTGATTGGGCAATAAAGAGAATTATTTCTTATAACAACTTGGAGCCTGTTAAGCCACAGGGAGTCATCTCAGGGTATGCATCACCAGGCACTGCCCTTGTTTTAGGACGCTGGCAGAGTTTGACTCTGGAGGGGGATCCCTCTGTTTGCCCGCGGATCCAGTGGCCAAAGCGGGCGCTGGTGGTTTGTCACAGACATAAGTGGTTGTACACCAAGACTGCTCAGCTCTTCTCCCACCTGCGAAAGGGAAGAAAATTAAATCGATAGAAACTCCCAGGAAAGGCAAAAGCTGCCAAGGTACTTCAGGAGACAACGCTCTTCTTTGGATTCAGCGTTCAGGTGGGGCCACAGAACTCCCCGGGTCTGGTACTTGATAACCATCTAGAAAGCCCGTTCTGGGTCACTCCTGGAGCCTTGCGTGCCCTTTCCCCGCCGGGCCGGCTCCAGAGGGGTGGCGGGGTTGCCACCTCCGTCGGCCCCGGAGAGCGGGCGCGCCCAGGTGCGCCGGCCTCGACCGGGCGGGCGGAGCCGGCGGCGCGGATCCCGCAGAGCCCCGCAGCCCCGGGGCCCGGAGAGGCGCTGCCCGCAGCCCGTCCAGCCGCACGGGTCAGTGTCTGCGCGGGTGCCGGGGCACCGCGGGGAGGGCCAGGGGTCTGGGGAGAGTGCGCGGGGCTCGGGACACGGAGGGTGCGCGGGGCTCGGGACACGGAGGGTGCGCGGGGCTCGGAACACGGAGGGTGCGCGGGGCTCGGGACACGGAGGGTGCGCTCCCGCAGCGCCCTGAGCCCGCACGGCGGGCGCGGTGTCCGGAGCCCCGCACGCCTAGCGCTTGCCTCCGCCCTGACGTCACCCCGTTGTTTTCCGAGGAGTGGCGCGGCCAGAGAGGCACCTGCGCTTCTCCCGCGGCTGCCTCGGTGCCACCTTTTCAGCTTTGTTTTGTGCCTTTTGCTGAGTCTCCACTCCGGGTGTGCCAGGGAAGAATGCCTTGCTGCTTCTCGGTACGCCCACTTCTGGCACCAGGAGCGGCGCCTTGGCAAAGGTGGGCTTGGTATTTCCTGGGTGACCGAGAAAGGCGTTTCATGTTTCTACTTGGAGTGGGCTGAGTCGTGAGCTTAGTAGAAATGGTCAAATTATTGTCTAATCAAAGCAATTAGTTTTCGAGATGACTTAGGACCAGTGTCTTCAATGGAAGGTTAAGAGCCAAGTTGGCTGTCGTAAGCCAGGGCAAGTCAGCCCTGGACTGCAAGTTAGACATGTCACAAGCAATGTGTAGCACCGGGGTGGCTGATCTACCCAATTCCGATATAGAATATTTAGGTGTTTGAGGAGTGGGGGAAAAAATTATATAAAATAAAAATGTTTAGAAGTTGTACCAGCAGCTGCCTTAGCTCAGTCTGTTTTCCTGTTGCTGCCAGCCTTGAGTCAGAGCTGGTAGAGATTACTCCTACAAGGAGGGGTTCTGCTGACAGGTTCATGTTTGTTGACATTTGGAAGTAGGAGGTGAAACTAGCTTAGCTACAGAAACTCCGTGCTGAGCAAGCCAGGCAGCCTCAGTGGTTTGTCACCTTCCTCAGCCTTTCCCAGTGATCGTCAGAGTGTTCAGAGCGGTAGTAAAATAAGAGTAATTCCTGGATCAGCCTCCTCTTCCCATCTCTCAGATGGCTCTTTGATCAGTGCAGTGACATGCCACTTCTCATGCAAGTGGATCAAATGCCTTTTTTTTCTTTTTTTTAAACTATGGAAAGCTGCCCAGCACAATAAACAGAGATAATAAGTATTCAAAACTACTCTTCTCAGTGATAAATCCAATGTTTCTTTGTGAATGTGGTCAATTCAGAAAGGAGAGGAACAACCTATGGTAGCCGCTGAGTAACTTAGTACAAATGCTATGATTAAATTTTCCTTATTTGATGCTTCCTTATTTGATGAGGAATGAAAAACTTTAGAACACGTAGAAAAAGTAGCAGTAGTGTCTTATGAAATGAAATAAGCCTGCCATTGATCTCCAGCTAAATGAAGGTACACCAGTCACAGAAAAGGGGGAAGAAAATAGTTCTTTTTTTCACTGTAGAAACCCAATGCACTTGAAAAGCAGAAAGCTGCCTTTACTGTTGCAGGTAGCTGAAAGACTATAATTGTCAGGAGTGCTTATCATCATTATTAAAAACGAGATTCACTTAATAAATTATAAAAAGAATTTAATATAAATAAAAAGACAATTAGGAGACAAAAGAAATAAAGCAAAGGGTTAAAACGGCCGGGTGCCCTGGCGCCTTGCCAGGAACACACCTGGTATCTCAGGAATACCCTTTTTATCCCCTCCTGCTGTGAGGGGTTATTGTATATTCAAGCATGTCCCCTCCCTGGTTCCGCCTTCTTGGATCATGCTCTTCACAATTTTATTTTCTGCTGGTCAGCATATATTTTTGCTGGTCATCATTATTCTTGCTGGTCATCATTATTTTGGAGTTTGGTTTCCTTTCTTTTTGCAAATGATCAGGGTAGATAACAGTCCGGGCCTGTCATCCTTCCCCCGAGGGCAGCTGGGTTTCATATCTTCCTCTGATAACAGTTTGGCCTCTATTGTTCTCCTGATAACAGCTTGGGCCCCACTGTCTTTGCTCTCTGGGGTTTCCTTGCCTTGTACCTAGGAAATTCTTTTAAACTTAAGACTTGTTAGCAAGAAAAAAAGTACATACATAGCTAAAAAGTATTTCATATATAATATTCATCTGCGAAAGCCAATATCACAATACAAATTTATAACAATCATGTTTTGTTTTTTTTTTACATAAAGGCCTTTCTTTTAATTAAATTCCTTTAATTAAGGAATGTTACTGCTTCTCACACATCCTGGTTTAGCATCAGTACAGGTATTGGGAGCTAAGGGATTTCATTCATCTCTCCATTGTTTGTTATTTTTCACAGAATCATAGAATAGTTTGGGTTGGAAGGGACCTTTGAAGCCTATCTAGACCAACCCCCTTGCCATGAGCAGCATCATTTTTGTCTTGCCCTGATATGTGTTTACTAAAAGAAAATATATTTATACTTAAAGGATTTTTCTGTAATTTTTGTTTGTGATTTATTCTTCACTAATTATGTCAAAACAATTATATGCAAATTTTTCTTCTTCTAAGACTATGCTAATAGTTTAGGATTTCAAAATACTTTCAGGTGTAAATACTAATTCTGTGTTTTTACATTATCCAACTGTAATTTCTATTAATGATAAGAGTGTAGAATAGTATCTATCCTACATACTATGCAATAGTAACTGCATGTTGATCTAAGTTCTCTAACACTTTAATCTTCAGCAGTGGAATATGAACATACATCTTGTGGGAACATTTTTATTATGTCTGACTTAGCAATATAAAACAACTTCTGTTATATGGAAACATTCTTGGCAATCAAGGAAATGTGTTTGCACAGCCTGCAAATCAAATTATAACTTCCTGTAGTATGTTTATTGTACAGTATGGAACGAGAAAACAGGGAGCAGGTACCCACTCTAGTTCCTTACTTGTAAAGGGCGCTGTCTCCCAGAGTTAATGCTGGCTTTGCCAACTGCAAATATGGTGTTTTTAAGCCCTTATGTATTTTAACTATTCTTTGTTAAATTGTATTAAATTAATTATCCAAGTCTGCTTCTTTTTAATTGCTCAGTGAATACCTTTGATATAACTTTATTATTTCCAGAGGTTACATGTGAACACAGTAGGCACATCCTTTTCTACCAAGTCCCCAAGTGGCTTTTTTTCAGTTGGAGGATGGGGGGGAAGAAAGAAAAAAAGTGAGTGAATTACTGATGCTGCCACATCAGGATGAATTGTTTATGTGTAATTTCAATTACAGGGAAAACACGGAAAACAAAACTATTTGTTGCATCCCATGCTTTATATGTATCACAGTGGACTGAGCTTTTGTACTTCATTTCATATTTTAACATGTCTTCACAATAAATCTCCTTTTCAAAAAAGGTTGTTTTAAAGGTATCCCTGGAGTCTGTAAACCACACTGATTGCCTGATGCACTCTACTGTGACAAAATGAGACATCAGCCTAAACTGCCTAAGCTCTGTTGCAGCTTTGCTGCCTGACCCCTGCTTCCCCATGCAAAAAAGCAACTCCTTTTGTTCTTGGAAATGCAATACCACTTCTTCCTTTAAAAACAAATCTAGGCTGATAACAATGATGTCATTCCCACAGGCTGTCATCATAGTGCCTGATAATGCTTGGCTGGCTGGGAGTGGAAGCTTCGGTCTCTGCTCCGGATCACCCAGCTCTCCAGCAGTCTTGCAATTATAGCTGGGGGAACTCTCCCCTGTGGCCTGTGATCTACCTCCATCCAGGGCTTATTGAGGTTAGATTAAATTTGCTGTGAGGTGTAAAGAGGCCTCCCTGAAAATTTTGTGATTGGTTAGATAAGACTTGGCTCACATAGTATTCTCTGAACCGTTTTAATAAAATGTATAAGTGCTCATATGCAGTGACGGTTTGCTCCCTGTTTGATTTTCCTTCCTCTTATTCCATTTTTTTTTCCAATCTCAGCTACCAATGTAAAAACAGAAGCCCTGAATAGCAGCAGGCTTACTTTAACAGCCAAAGCCCAAAATCATGGATTTGGCTATATGTTTGTGGTCTCTGCACAACAAAAAGAAAAAAAGCAATTAGTTACCCTTTCATCTTGAGGTTTCAGGATAGCTTTTAAGATTTTGAGTTTAATTTTAAATTGAAGCTAATATTTTTTTGTTGCATTCCTAGGTATTTTTCTTATTGCTAGTCTGAGCCAATGAAATGCAAAACAATGTATGTAAAATAATGTAATCACCTGTGAGCTACAGGGGTGGGTAATGACCCAGGGCAGCATTGTGTACATTGTGTGGGTTTTGTGTGTTATTTGCACAGTCAGAAATTATAGGTGCTCTGCAAAGACATGAAAAGGAGTGAGAAGAGTGAGGACAGGGCTCTTCCAGAGTTGGGCCTGTGTTGTGAATCATTTGTCCTTCTTTTTCTGCTCCCAGGTGTTGTGTTCTCTTCTTCTTGCTGTGACTCCTGCCAAGCATGGTACCAGATGATCAACGTGTCTGAATCACTCACTCCTTTCCACACCTCTATGGAGGGGTCTGGCAATGAAACAGACTGGAGCATTTCTATGCCTTCTGGAAGCAAATACCACCTCTACATTGGCTTGGCTTTGGCTATAGGTTCCAGTATCTTTATTGGTTCTAGTTTCATACTGAAGAAGAAAGGACTTTTGAAACTGGCAGACAGAGGAGTCACCCGAGCTGGTAAGTGATGGTGCCAGCATTACTCCTGCTGGGGACACAAACACCTCTTAGAACTTGACAAAATCAAGGTTTCAGTCATAGGTCACATGTTTAAAAGTACTTGAATGGTGATCAGAAGTCCTGTCTTGGTGAGAGATGGAGACATATTATTTATCTGTGTGTGATTACAGGGACTGGGATTTCAGAACTCAGGACTATGGAGGTTCAGAGGGTATTAAATCTAGTGAGCTGGTGCTATTTCCTCATTGAGAGCAATTAGTTACCAAATAAAATTCTCCATTTCTCTTACCTTTCAAAATGCCTTTTTCCCTCTTTTTTTTTGATCGTTTCCCCCCTCATTTGAGATGGAAAGTCTTAAGCTGGTAATTTGGTTTAGTTTTTTGGTTTTGCTCTGCTTTTTTTAAGTAAGAGCAATGAGTTGTAGAAAGTATATTTATTACACAAGTGTCTACAGTTGGTACAGCTATCCCTTCATCAAAGTCAAGAGATGAAGAGCTAGAAAAAGAACAATCACACTAATCTCATTATTTCCTTTGCATGGATTTAAATACATAGCATTGTCAGTTTTTCTTTTGTTTGTTGTGTTCATTGCAATATAATATTCCAGGGAATCTGGTTATTTAAAAAAACTCTGATAACTGAATACTCTGAATATTCCATACAGTTACGTTTTATGTTAAAAAAAAAAAAAATCATGTACATAAGGGCATTTTTCTTTCTAATTTCTTCCAACCTGAAGTAAAACTGTGTCCAGTTCTGGCCCCTCAGTTCGGGAAGGACATTGAGACACTTGAGCACGTCCAAAGGAGGCAATGAGGCTGATGAGGGGCTTGGAACACAAGCCCTGTGAGGAATGACTGAGGGAGCTGGGGTTGTTTAGCCTGGAGAAAAGGAGACTCAGAGGTGACCTTATCACTCCACAGCTTCCTGAAGGGTGGTTGTAGGCAGGTGGGGTCAGTCTCTTTCTCCAAGCAGCAGCTGACAGAATGAGAGGACACAGTCTCAAGCTGTGCCAAGGGAAATATAGGTTGGATATTAGGAAAAGGTTTTTTACAGAAAGGGTGATAAAGTACTGGAATGGTCTGCGTGGGGAGGTGGTGGAGTCACATCCCTGGATGTGTTTAAAAAAAAGACTGGATGTGGCACTTGGTGAGGTGTTAGAGCTGGTTTGGACTCGATGATCTTGAAGGTCTCTTCCAACTTAGTAATTCTGTGAAAAGGAGAGTCAAACTGCAGCTGAATGTATGAATATATTGGATCTGACCTGGAAAAGCATTTTGAAACATTTCTTAAGCTCACCAACAGTCTTTATAAACATTTTACTTTTGCTTGAAACTTTTCCTCTTTGTATATTTAGTCAAATAGCATTTTTTAGAAGTCCAAGTCACAAAGTAGTAGGGTGGTTAATAAAATGTCAGTCAAAATCAAATATTCTTCTTGTTGCATCCAGGTAACATGCTCTTTTGTTACTTTGTAGGTGCAAATGTGAAGCTGTACATTTTGTTTCTTACAATAAGGTGATCTGCTTCTTCTAAGATAAGGTTATTTTTTCTCTTTCAGGACAAGGTGGATATTCTTATTTGAAGGAATGGCTTTGGTGGGCTGGACTGCTATCAAGTAAGTCACCTCTTTCCTCTCAGCTTATATGTAAATCTACAGAAAACAGGTTGTTTTAAAAGGTTTCTTGCCTGTTTTTTCATTCCCTTCACTTAAAAGAAATATCCTTGCAATCACATTCATGACAAGCTGTTCTGATATACTATCTTTCAAATACTGCATTTGATCTTCAGACATCTTTGCAGAATAACCATCTTTGTTCCAATATCTGGTCAAATGCAATGGAATTGCATCTGTCCAGCTTCTAGGAGTACTTAGGAGAAAAGTATTTAACTTTCTTCAGCATTTATTATTTCCAGAATAGCTGTCATACAATATATACAATATATACAATATATACAATATTTCCATAGCTGTCATACAAAATATTTACAATACTGTGCCTTTTAATATCCTCCTCCAACCTGAACCAAATATTCTTTTTTCTGCAGTGGGATTAGGAGAAGCTGCAAACTTTGCTGCCTATGCCTTTGCACCTGCAACCTTAGTTACCCCCTTGGGTGCACTGAGTGTTCTAATAAGGTCAGTACCAATTGGGAGCAAGCCTTGGCAAATGAACCACTCACTGTGCAAGGGAAAAAATACTGCCTTTGGCTGAAAGTGGAGATTTTTAATAAGAGAACTGAAAACGCAATTTATGGACAAAAAATGCTTTTTGTTTCTTGGTGGAAAGATATTTTTCATTATTTAGAACTGAGTTCTCTGGGTAGATAGGATCAAAAGTCTTGTTGCAAAGGTCACTGAATGCCTTCCCAGTGGCTTTCCACCTAGATGACAAAGTAATTCTTATCAGCATATACCAGGTATACAGCTGATAGAAGGTAATTTATCTCTTCCTAGAAAACTGGAGCTGTCTTTAAAACTGTTATCCTGTTCTTCAGTTGTGACAAAACTTTAAATAAAAATACAGTAGTCCTACACAAAATATTTTCAAAAACATTTATATTTATAGGAGCTTAATTTCATATTAAGGCATGGTTAGTAAACCTTTTGGTTTTGTTTCGTCTTTCTGAAATCCTTCTGGAAAAAAGGCAAAGAAAATTTTAGCTTTCTTCTGTATCCACAATTAAAATTTGTGGTTCTTTTGAAACATAAATGTCCTATGGAGACTTATTGTTTCATACATATGAATTAAAAAATGCTTTCCAAGTTCTTAAGCACATACACTAATGTGGCTATCGTAGCAGCAGAAAAGACATGGACTACACATACAATGTAGGGAATATTTTTTTAGCAAAATGAAATTATTGCGTTTTAAATGTAAAACTCTGACTTTTAAGAACTGAGTATACTATATGAAACACTGCGTTTAAAACAACATGTGCTATATATTAAAAAAACCAAAACAAAACTAACCCCTAACAAACAAACAAACCCTCCCCCCCAAAAACCCCAAAACACAAACAAACAAAAAAAAACCCTCCACCAAACAAAGGGAAAAAAAAACCCCTAGGATGCTTGCAATAATCTGCCTGCTAAAACTGCAGGCATTCTGTCATAGGAAAACTAGTGTAACTGACTCCCTGCAGTGGTGCTGGGACCAGCCTGTTGGTAGATGCAGATTAATGGGCTGCCTGGCTGCTGCTGTGCAGAACAGCTTGAGTTTTATTGCCCTCTTCTCTGATGGGGATAGCAATTGTTCAAATTTCCTTGAGACAGAGAGGCTGTTAGAAATTCGTGTCAGGGAACTCAATACCCTTGTGTGAAAAAAATGTCTGTATTTTGATTTACATTAAGCCTGTGCCTATGCCCAAAGCGGTGCTCTAACAGACTAATCATGCCCTGTGAGTGGTGCATTTAGGCCATGTTATTGTCCTTAGGTTAAATGATCAACCCCGTGGAGATCCTGGGGTTTATCTCTTTGAAGGGGGACATGCCTTCTCTGTGTTTTGGGAGGAATCCTGGCAAGCCAGACTGAAAGTGTGCCTGGGTGGGAGAGCCTGAGGAGGGATGAGGAGCGGTTTCCAAAACTCATGTGCATTGGTTGTAATGGAAAATTAAGTGTTTTGAACCATTTTTGGAAGGAAGAAACAGCTCTTGTAGTTTATCTACAGTGAGAGTGCATACTACCCTGACCCAGGCAATCAGGAATGAGAAGTTCCTTAGCAGTTTGAACCCTTGTACAACCTGGAGGGAAGCTATGAGGGTTTAACTATGCCAAATTCCCTAAAACCTGAGCTTACCTTCTTGGTCATGACCAACTTGCTTGGAAAAACTCCTTACAATTTGATTGTTTCAGGCTGGTTTACCATACATCCAAATTCAAAAGAGGTTTTGAATTACTGTTATGCTACACAGAGAGATTTTGAATGTCTTTTGTGGCTGATGGAGCCGAACATTTAATTTCTATTTTGCTGAACAGTGCTATATTGTCATCCTATTTTTTAAATGAGAAGCTGAATATTCATGGAAAGCTGGGCTGTGTACTGAGCATTTTGGGGTCAACAGTCATGGTTATTCATGCCCCAGAGGAGGAGGAGGTCACCTCACTAGATGAGATGGAAAGAAAGCTGCAAGATCCAGGTAGGTCTGTATGCAATTGCAGTGAACACATGCTGCAGTTCATAGGGAGGTGTCCAGGACACTGAACAGCTCTGAGCATGTTCGTGGACATAGTTGGGTATTTTTTCTCATGTGCTTAACTCTTCCCTTTCCTCTTTTTTACAGCGTTTGTTACATTTGCTGTTCTCCTAACAGTCGTTGCCCTTGTTCTGATTGTTGTTGTGGCTCCAAAGAGAGGTCAGACAAATATACTGATCTACATTTTAATTTGCTCACTCATCGGTGCCTTCTCTGTCTCATCTGTGAAAGGCCTGGGCATTGCCATTAAGCAAATGCTGGAGAGGAAGCCAGCCTATCGCCATCCATTGGTTTATATTTTGGTGGGCATCTTGGTGCTCTCAGTCAGCACTCAGATCAACTATCTCAACAAAGCACTGGACGTGTTCAACACATCCCTTGTGACACCCATTTATTACGTGTGCTTCACTACAACAGTGGTGACATGCTCCATCATCTTGTTCAAGGAGTGGAGTAGTATGGAACTGGGTGACATCATTGGAACCCTGAGTGGATTCTGCAGCATCATCATTGGCATTTTCCTATTGCACGCTTTCAAAAACACTAACATCACCTGGAGTCAACTGATGTCCACTGTTGCCAAAGAACAATTCCATGAATTGGAAACCAGTCACACTTTGCTGGAGACCATGGAGGACCCAGCTTTGGTATATGAGGAGGACAACGTTTTATTCAGTCGATGAAACACTCAAGAAGTGTTCATCATCAAAGTATCATGAAGTGCAAACTCAGCCCATCCATGTCTACTAGAATGCTTTACTTTTCTGCAGTCCTCTGGAAATTTGTCTATGAGACCTGTTAAGTGTGGGCCACTCCTCTCTATGTCAGCTGTTGGCAGTAGTGAATGAATATGTTCAGTAATTAGCATGACAGACAGAAACCTGGTGGTGATTATATGTTAGGCAATGAAAAACATGGTCCTTTTTTATGCAGCATCTTTTCTTGGGAAATTTTAGCAAAAAAAAATGGTCTTTGTAAGCCAAGTTTAAAAAATGCAACTTTCTTTTAATGATAAAAGACAATCCTTGCTGAAGCGACAGGTACACTGCTATTATCTTCATGATGGCCTTAATATTTCTGGCTTTCTTTATATTTTTATAATTTATTGCCAAGCAAGCTTCTATATACTCTACGTGAAGGATATTCTTTGGAGACATAATATGAAGAAAACAATGTTTAACCCTTTCAGTTTTTAATACAAAATTTAATGCAAGATTTTTTTCACTCTCAATGACCTGCCAATGAACATTGATTAGATGTCACAAAAAAATTTTAGCAAATACAAGTCTTGACAAGTCTCAGCTTTTCTACCCAAGGAATCCTGAATAGATTGTGCATCCCTGGATATGCCTGTACTTTTTTAAAGCTAAGACCAAGTTTAAGAAAAAGAAAATTCATTAGTGGCTTGAAAACAGCTGCTATTGGCTTAAAAAGTTACATGAGGTTATAGAATTAAGTATTCAAAGGCAGAGGAAAACCAGAACATGCAATTAAAAATTTCTACTTTATTTTATATTATTTTGAGGATTAAGAAGAGGCTTTACTTATTTCCATACTTCTTCCTAATACATCCATCTATTAATTAGAACCCATTTAACCTTTTCAAATTTTTTTCCTCATTTTCTGGGAAGATATTGTTCTTTATTAATAATAAAGCAGTCCTGTTAATTTTTATTCTTTTACAAGTGCAAAATCCATTTTAAAATCCATGCACTACTTCTAAAAATACTAGGTAAAGGATGTAGGCAAGGGGTGAGAAACACCAGCATGTCTTTTTTTTTTAGTTTGGATTTTTCATCTTTTCTAAAAGTTAGTATTTGCCTCTATTAGATGTTTAACAATATATTAACCTACCAGAGGCCTTGAAGATTGGTAACTGTACTGCAGTACTGTAGTTCCTCAGTTGTGGTCACTGATCTTCCTGTCACAAAAAAAGTTTGCACAGTCCATGGTTTACTCATTACAATCCTCTTTGTTTTCCACTTTGTAAGTAAGTGAGTAACATCAGCAATCAGACATGTGGGTGGTGACAAGCTCATCAGAAAGCAGTATTTGCAATCTTTGGATTTTTAAGTGTGAGTCCAGAAAGTTTCCCAGAGGATGCCAGCACTTCAGCAGTTAAAAACTGGTTTTAATCAGCTGAGATTTACATGCCAAGCAGAATTTCCTCATGAAGCAGGCTGTATGTTTTCTACTGTTCAAATGGTTTAGTAGAAGAGAACAGTTTGGATGGATAGAAAATTGTTCTGCCAAAGAAAGCTCATCCTCTATTTATAAGAACAAAAGGGTTGCTGCTTATATTTCATATATTTGTGTGGCATCACTGTTATCCAGCAAAAGGGACAATTTCACAAAAAATGTACTTGCCTTCAAAATATAATGACATTTTATACGTTATACATTTTACATTATACATTTGGAATATTTTTCAGCTTGAGTGATGGGATTGGCAGCAATTCTTTACTGTTAAAATGCTTGTGTTAAAAAAAGCTTCAGACAAGAGAATCTACTAACAGGGTTTCATTACTTCTTTGTTAATGTAAACAATACTTTGGTTTTATGGACCAGATTCAAGCTTCAAAATCTTTATAGTTAAAAACAAGTAATACAAATACTAAAAAGACTAAAAATGGAAGGGTTTTTATAGTTTGTCTTTAACAAAAACTTGAATTGCTTTTCACTCTGAATTACATAACTCAAAGAATAACTGAGGAAAATATATACTGTAAAAAATATAAAAATAAATGCTTTTGCATAGTTTATGGCCCCTTTATTTGCTTATGGACTCATCACTGTGGTGTGACTAAATGAGTTATTTGTAAGAAAAAGCAACCAGTTCAGTTCTTGAATGGATGTGCGTTGGCATTTTTTAAATATATGTCATAAAACTTTCTTTGAGAAGGGTGTGGACTCCTTATATACCAACTGCTGGCAATAATTAATTTATACCAAGAAAAATTCCTGTATTTTCTACTGGACCTGCATATCTGCTATTATACATAAGTAGCCACTAATAATAAAAGAATGTTATTTTCTAACAATATCAAATACCCAAAGTTAACAGTAATTTTCATGGTACATTTACATGTATAAGAAGTCCATCATGTTAGAAATAAATTAGTGATTAATTTTTTGTATAAAAAAATTTGTTGTAAGATGCTATTTTTTTAAAATGTTTATATTTAATCACTAGTTTGGAATAACTTTGATTTTTATATTGAAATTATGCTAATATTTCTCTTGTAATAAATTATTCATGGTTATGTACTAAATTATCTGTGTTTTTTAAACAAGTGATAAAAAAGAGTCATATTTCTAAACTAGAGAAGAAAACCCAAAGCTGATGTATTAGGCATGTCTGTCTCATAGCCTGTCTCAGTGGAGAGTGTTTCAGTGAGTTGTCAGGTTTTCCAGTGGAATGAAGAACATTGTATAAAGAAATTAGATGTGTTTTGGTGTGTAGGGTGAATGGTTAAGGAGAAGAACAAAGCAATCCTCAGAGGCAATACATTGCTAACCAAATTACAGCTTCTAAATGCTGATAGTAAACAAATCTTGGCAGCTACTTGTTATTACCATACCTCAGGACAAATTAATGGGCAATTAAGTTCATTGCATAGCTGCACCAACTAAATGTAGTAGGTCAAGAAAACTTGGATAGGTTAAAAAATCTGCACAATTTTGGAAGGAAATACATCCGTTTCTATAGAAATCTGTTCTACCATCTTCATTTTCCAGCCACACTTGAAAGAACCATGCTATAAAAAAATCTTCACCCCAAAAGGTACATATTCAAAACTTTAAACTCCACTCATCAGGGTTGCATCCTGGAGTTGTATGGGGAATTGTGTACTTCTGTAAAATGCCATTCTCTCACTCTTTAAATTCCAGAAAAATAAAACTGGCAAGTGTGCTAGGAAATACCCTTCCAGCAGGGCAGGTTTGCAGTAGCTAACTCCTTTTGGGCAGGTTTCAAAATGGTGCCATGGTTCAGAACATGGCTGGGAGGCTGAGTAGGGGTCAGAATGGTGGTGCATGAGGGAGGAGGGATAGCTATGGGCTTTGGTGGTGCCTGCAGGGCCCCACATCTGTGAACTCTTGGGAGGGGAGAGGGGGAGGAGGCAGAAACTGGTCTGAAAACCAAATGGCACTGGAAATAATTGTCATCAGCCCTGTACACTCTAGTAATTGGTCGTCATTTCTTCTCAGGAGTACTTTGGACAAGTGAATTCATTTCACTTTTCAAAAATAAATTCCAGTAATAAATTGTCAGTAATGCATCTTTTTTATAGAAAAGAGATGTATCCTAAGTGGCCAGCTCACAAAAGCTTGGAGTTCTGCCTTTTCCCCTCCAATCCATAAAAAAGACTTCTTAGTTTTCTTATGTTTGTTCAGCAAATTTTTAGCTAAATTTTTACAAATGCTGAAGACTCCTACAGCCTTTGATGGAAGGTTTCCTGTATGGAGGTGTCTCCTTTACTGCTTTTCCCATATCTCATTTTTATCACATGGAAGTTTAAAAAAACAGCAAACAGACATCTCTTTATGGTCAGTGACAAGGATGTGACTCACTGTTCATCCATTTTTTGCCCTGTTAGAATATGGTTAGAATTTGAACTAAGCTCACAGTCACCATGAGGTCTAAGGTGGCCTGCTGTACAGTCTTTATGTAAGGGTGTAGCTGTTCTGGTAAATAAATACACTGTAGATACCTGACCTTTGTACTGCAGAGCATTTCTTGCTGCCGATTAAGCACCAGTATCACTGACTCTGAAGCAAGTTCTAGTGTTTTTTCATTTATTTACTGTCAGCTTAATGATAGCAGCTGTTAAATTTATCCATGTCAGAATGTTAATAACAGTTTCTTCAAATTTTTCCCCATGCAGCCTACAGAAAGATGATATTGGGAAGTGGAAGCCTGGTAGGCAAGCATTATTAGCTCCAGGTATTAGACCAGCATGTTTCCAGGATGGGTGCATATTTACCATGGGACAGCTTAGTGAGACAGGCAGGAACAAGGTGCTTAGAGTACATAAAACCTAATGGAGCTGATTTTTACTGCATGGTGCTGTAGCATGTTACATATTAACTTGCAGTAATATGGCAAAACCAGTTTTACAATGTCTGTTAAAAAAGAGGCCTCATATATTATGCAAAGTCCCCATGTACTTTATATTGCGGGGAGAGTTTGAATTTCACATTTGTAGTGCATCATCTGCTGAAAAGAGAAAAGATACTTCTGTGGCCTGGGCATAGGCTGTGGCAGGCTCCATGTGTGTACCGTGTCATTGTCTCAATTTTGGCCAAGAAGGAGCAGAGCCAGGACAGCTCACCTGAAGTGGCCAAGGGGATATTTCATACCATAGAACATCATGATCAGTGTGGAAACTGGTGGGGAGAGGGAGGGAAGTCGGCTGGGGCTGCTGGTTACTGCCTGTGGATGGGCTGGGCATCAATCAGCAGGTGGTGAGCACTGGTTCTGTGCATCACTGGTTTCTTTCCTTTTATTCCTCTTTTTCTCCTTTTAATCGCTATTGCTATTGTTACATTTTGCTTTCTTTCAGTTATTAACCTGTTCTTATCTCAACCCACAAGTTTTACCTTCTGATTCTCTCTCCCATTGGGGCAGAGGCAGTGAGCAAGCAGCTGCATGGTACTGTTGTCAGCTGGGGTTAAACCGCAACTGTTATAGATCTGCGTTCAGTCATAGGTCTGATAAAGGGCTGAATGCTCATAAATAAAATAAATTGATTATAAAAGTAAACAGTGACATCAGTTGGTGGCAATTCTTCTGGCAGATTACATGAAATAATGAGAATATCGTGCTTTACTTGATGCAGAAATGCCTTAGAAGTGTGTTTGAAGATACTCCCCAATGTTCAAACAATGGGATTTACAATTCCCCATGGGTTGAATGACTATCAAAATACTATTGCAGTAAAGATGACTGATTACTGCCAGGACTGTGTTTGATTATGAGATGCCGTAATCTTTTGAAAATTCAAAACTTTGTGGGGTTTGCTATATTTAATTTTATTGTTACAGTTATTTTTTAAGTTTGGAAATCAAAAATTAAACTGTGGCTCAATTTGTGACAAAAATTAAATTGAACTCAATCATTCTTTATCTAGCATGTTTTACATATTTTGTCTACAAAGCCCTATAAAACTAAATATTGAGATGTATTTACCTATAAATAATTCACAACACAATCATATATTTTCAAGAACATATTTGCTTGTAATGGTCTGATTATTTAGTTTCAAATAATTATGAATTTCATCTGCCTTTCCTTCTCTACAACATATTTATATTGACCATATTTAAGATTTAAAATCAAAAGTGAATAATAACATAACAAGTAGGGGTACAGCCATGTCCATGAAAGGTATCATAGGATCCATCTGAGCTTTGCTGTCAGGTTCCAGTTTAAACTTGCCAATTTACCATTCTGGGCGTTTGAAAGGGGAGGACTAAGGCACTTGTGGGCGTTGGAGTAGGCAAGAGCAGGGGAATGGGAGACAATATTGGAAAATTGTGTTAGAGGTTGGAATAAAATAATCCTTGCACCCCTTCTGTTATTCAGAATTGGAATTGTAGACACCTTGACCTGCAATGCATGTTTAAAATGGCTTCAGAGGTGCTCAGTCTTTTCAGTCACTCAGACGTGACTTGGGAGCCGCTATCTGAGGATGGCTGCCTTTGCTCCCTTTGCCTGCCTTTGTGGGCACTGCTCCAGCAGCCAGTCACTTAGCTTGCTGTCCCTGCTCTGGCTCTCCAGGGCTGGATGCTTTGCAGTGCACAGGGATTGCCTTGAAGTGCCAGAGCTTTATCAGAGGTTCTTCCACCATTTTTGCTGCTGCCAGTCAGTATTCCCCAGTGTAAGTACAAATAATGTAATAATATTGATGCAATAATTAGTGTAGCTCTGAACAAAAGAATGAATAAAAATATCTATAAGGTGAGTAGGCTTGGTTACTGTTTTCAGACAGGAGAGTTTTCTCCCTAACAATGAAAACAAAGCCTTGAGAATCCCAAACCAGTCTCCTGCAGTATCTTTCCCAAATAAGTAAAAAATGGGCTAAGACCAAACAGCTTCAATATGTAGGATGCTGGTACTGTGATTCAGGTAGAAACCTCTGTAAAAGGTTGAGGGTTTTTATACCAGCTACATTAGTGGCATGCTTAATGCTGACCTTTCAGTAAATATACTGGTATAAAACCTGTGATTATGTCAGCTCTGTTAGACCTCTGAGGGCCACTGTTAACTCTGCAAAAGTAGGACGTCCTTCAGGTTTCTGGAAAAAAAAGTAAAGGATAAACTTGTGTTAGCAGATTATAGTACCAGACTTCAGAAATTGGATATAAGTACATATGGGATGCCACTTAAAATTATATTTCCTTTTATTAATAAAGAAGAAAAGATCAAGTTTGTCATTTTAGAGGAAGAGAAAAATCTACTATTCATGACACCAGCAGCATGAGCACCAGCACTTTTTAAAAAAATCCTGAAATTTCTTTATACATATTTCAATTCTGGATCAGAATTCCTATGGAATTTCTCCCTGCTGTAGGTCCATGGAAAGCCCTACCTGTCAGGATACCATGGTACTAGGAATGCTTTCTGTGTTTTTGAAAAAGGATCTTCACTATTTGAAGTGCTGCTGCTCAGTATGAAACAAATGCCTGTCTGGTGGCAGACAGAAGAGAGAACTTCTTTCTCATGATCTCTCTGCTGTCTGGCACCCCAGTGGATGTTTGCAGTAAGCAGGCAAGCAGGATACAATTTAGAATTCCATCTCTTAAGCTATTTTTTACTCAGGATTTAAAATTTTTACAGAGTTGTAAGGTGGGAGATAAAGGAGACAAGGATAGCAACAAGATTCCCCAACTACTCACTGTGTATGCCTGCACATTTACATGAAAAAATTGCATACAAAGCTCTTCTGAAAGTACTTCTAACCTAAAATAAAAGATTCATGTCTTCTAAAGACTAGAGAAGGAGGGCCCTTAAGGGGTAAATCAGATGGAGAACTTAATGAACTCAGTGTTTTGTTACTGATATAGGAAGTAGTAGGTGCTGGAGAAATGGTGAAGAAACATGAAGTACTAAATCAGCTTGGAGGAGCTGAAAGGGGTGCAGCCTAGGAGCTGTACTGATTTACAGAGATACTGATATACACTTGAAAAAGGGTATATCCACATTTAGTGGGCATATCCACTTGGTATATCAATGTGTTATCATTCAGAGCAGATCTAGAGAAAGCTATGCATGATACAAAGGCATGAAAACGGTATCAGCTCTTCACCCAGTAGAGAAACATGACAACAGCATATTCCAACCCAGGGATGGTCTAGACCTATTGTACAGATAGCGTGCTCTATATTTCTTAGCTGCAACAGTCAAAAGAAGCAGAGGCTTGTAAACTTAGGTGTGATTTGTGAAAAACATAGTTGGAGATGCTGAGAATGCCACAGATATGAAATAAGGATTTAATGCCTTGAGATTTTAAGATTGCTTTTGTATCCATGTTAAAAATTAATAATAAAGTAATACCCCAGGGAAAAAAAAAATGGGCAACAAACCTCATGCCAGCAGCTGTACATGACTTTGTACACAGGATGTGATGCCAAATGTGGTCGATAAAGTCGGTTACCCTGAGAAATCTCATGGACAACTTCAGAATTTGACTTGGTTTCAAAAGGCATTTTGCCTTCTGTGAAAACTTCCCACATCAGTACGCCTAGAAGTGAACCAAAATAGGTTTAGGACAAAACAAAAGATGCCAAACCCACAAGCTTTTAACAATATTAGGAGAATAAAAAACACTCCTGATTCTTCTATGTGTTGAAAAATGCGTGAAAATATGGGCAGCCTGAGCTGAATGAAGGACAGAATCCAAGCAATTTTCAACTAATAAAATTCTGCTCTCTTTTAAATCAGCTACAGAGATAGTTCATGAAACTCAGATGAGTGTATGTTTGGCTAATGAGGACTCATCAAAAATGCACATTTCAGTCAAAATCTACTTTTTAGGTGCAGAACCTTCCAAATGAAAAACCCATTTGTCCAATGTAAGCAAACTTTGAAAAATGGGAAGGACTGAAGCTTAAGACAGGTAGTATGAGTAAAATGTTACACTTCCCTAAATCACATCAGTAGTTTTAGGGAAGCATGATTGCACATTAACTAATCAACTCACCAAATGACCAGACATCTGATTTGCTGCTATATTTTTTGAAATGAAAGACTTCAGGAGATGACCATTTGACTGGAAACTTGGCACCTGAAGAGCTAATATACTCATCGTCAACGACATACCTGAAGAATGAGAGGAAACCACATATATTTGAATGAGTGACATTTCCACAAATGATTTAGGATTCCATAAAAATAGTGTCAATTTGGAAACAACAAAAAAATACCAATATTTTAGCATAAAATGCACACAAAAAACTTACTGGAAGTTATGCACTTAAAGACATTTCTGTTTAAATTAATGATTTGGATTATTTATCAGAAATCTGTCAGAATAAAACATTTTGATACTATCGTAAGACTGACAGGATAGTTATTATTGTCATCTTTTGGGTGTATATTGATAGGATAGATCACCATGGGCAGGAAAATCAGCAGCAATAAATAATTAGTCTTTTTTCTAAAGGATCCACCTTTTCAACCATATTTTCTACTCAAATATGACTCTTGCTGTCCATCTTCCCTGATGCCGTATCAGGGACATTGTTACCAAAGTAACACACAAAGAAATTTTCATCACATTCAAGGCAACGGTTCTTGCAGGTGCACTAAAGTAATTGTTTTTGCCCAAGCCTATAGGAGCTGACCTCCCAGATAAAAAAGAAATTATGTGCCTAATGCAGGCATTTATAGGGCAACACTTTAAATGGTTACTAGGCTGACCCAAACATACTTAGGATCTCTGGGCACATTTTCCAAGTAATAATGTTCCTGAGCAGATCACAGATGTGCAGTACACATTTATTCCCAGGGAAAGCATAACGGTAACCTTTTTAAAGCACCTTTTAAAGGAGGTCAAATTAAAATAAATAATGTCTTTGCCTCACTTTCTTATTTTGGTGCAGACACAGAACCATGGGAGGCTATTCAATAAGGAACATATGGAGTAGCAGTACAAAATAACCTGTAGCAGAAGTGTGAGCTCTGAATAATTGTGTTCCCATCACTTCTTCACAGCCTTCCCAGGAGAATGAGTCCTAGAGCCACACCACTGATCTCCACTTTGTGGCCACAGTGAGCCATTCAAGTCCATTATTCTTGTTGTGGACCCTCACAGCTACCTTGGTCTTACTGTGTTTTCTGATTCATTTGGGTAAGTCCAGAGCCCTGATAGTGACCTTACCCTTTTGGGGAGCAGTACAACCATGGTACAGGATAGCTCTTTGCAAAACAGGTCCTTAGCTATGAACTGCTAGGGTGTTGTAAGCCTAAGGTTAGATATAGGAAGCAAAAACAAAGGAGCACGGCTGTGCTGACCTAATGATTTGCAGCCACAAGGTAAATGTCACCACAACCTTCTGCTCAGAGCCACTGACTGGTTTTGAAGCTCATCTACCTCCTAAGTGAGCTGATTCAGTCTGTTAACCTACAGAAAAACCAGCCAGTAAAACACAAATGTGCTGGGCTTGCAAGAGGAAAGAAGAAAGAAGACATCTCCTTTGGGTAGCATTCAGTCATTTGGTCACCTCAGCTGTGTCCTCTGAGGAAAGTCTGTGAGGCTAGAGCTATGTTTCTCAGGCTGGTGCTTGCCAGAGTTGAGAGTGCTGTCTTTCCTCACTTTGGCTTATTCTATCACTAAGCAGAAAAACCACTTCCCTGCTAGAGCAGCATGTATCACACTTCCTGCCCACCTGGTCCTTCCTGCATCCTGCCCCACCTACTCAGCTACCGCTGCCTCGAGAGGTCAGCCCCATCTCCCAGTTCTGCCCCTAGCAACTTTCTGACCTCCATCCTGCTCAGGAAAGTTGGGGAACTTCTTTCTTCAAGCTTCTGGCTGCCCTGTGCATTCCAGGCATTTCTCTGTCCATAAACTCCTCTGAAGTTTACCTGGCACTTTGTTTATCTATCGTTGCACTCACCAAGAGCAAGATAAGGACACAACATCCAGTTCATGGTACAGTGATTAAACAACATCACAACTTTCATCAGGATTCAAAAATTACCCACAGTGGAATCGCCCAAACCAGTGAAGCAAGCGGTGAGGTTAACTTAAGATCATGCTGCAGCTGTCTAAGTGCTCACAAAACCTTTGTCAATGGCCTCGTACCTTGCCATGCCAAAGTCAGATACTTTAACAATGTGCTCCACATCGACTAAACAGTTTCTTGCAGCCTGGGGAAAATGAGAAAAACATATCTGAAAACTGTGTTAAGGAATTTTAAGGGAAATACAGCAGCTGATTATATTTGCTTCAGCTCATATTGTTTATATCTGAAAGGAGATTAGTGTATTGGTCAAAAATATTAGTGAAATTTTATCTTTGAGCCAGTGAACATATTTTACTGTTGTCTAATTACACATAGCAACTTAAATGCTTGTAGTATGAGTTGCAATATGTTTGTGTATTCTTGAACAGTGCAAGAATTTTAGGCTGCAGAGTCTAATGATCCAACCAGATGTTTTCCTGAACATCAACACTAGAGACAATAAGTGTAATTTTTTTAATTTGTTTTGTGATGCTTTCATTATAGAAATCAGGAACCTCCTTGTAATTCTCAAGATTTTACATTTCTTCATGCAGCTAGGTAGGAGAGAAGGAAGATTTCCTCTCTATATCCAATGTGAGCGCTGAAAAAGTATTGAGGAGTAAAGAAACAAACTCCTCTCCTATAATTCCCTGCCTATGGGCAGAAAAACCACTCATATATCCCAACATCAACATATGGCAGTAGGGAGCCAAAAATTATAGATAGAAAAAGATTTGAATTTTTAAAATTCTTATTGCTGCTGGCCTTTTGTAATGCTGTGATTTTGGTTGTATTCTAATCAGTTTTGTATTGAGATGTCCTAATACCAGATAGTTCCGTGTCAATATCCTAGTTTTCTCTGACCTCTCAAGGGTATTTTTCAATGGAAAAACATTTCTCTAGTAGTTTTTTCTTAGCTGTCCATGGGCAAAATAACAGCTGAAAAGTTTGGGTTTGCCTTATTAGATCCTGCAGGGCTGAAGTCTCACAGGTTACATAGTGTCTCATAAAATACAACAGCACATTCTTTACTGCAAATATTTGTCAAGAACCTCAGAAGGTCTATTGTACTTACTAAATCACGGTGAATAAAGCTGTTTCTTTCCAAATATTCCATCCCTTCGCAAACATCCTGGCACGTGCTCAGGAGAATGTCTCTGCCGAGTTTCCCCCGCCTTTGCCGAAGGTAATTGAGCAGGCAACCATTTTCCATGAATTCAGTCACAACGTAGAGAGTTTTGTGATATGTGCACACTCCATAAAGCTGGACCAAATTTGGGTGGGACAGTTTCCTGTTTAAAAACACATTTTAGACAGGCTAATATTTGTTCTTGGCAGGTAACTAAACTTTTGATTCTCATGATGGTTTTGAAAAATACTTTCACTACTTGATAAAGTGTCCTATTCAGCCATCTTCAGAGTTCTCCCAATACTTACCACATTTCTCTCTACAACTTCCTCCAAAAAGTTCACTCTGTGAACTCATAACTGTTCATCAGTTATATAAATGCAGTGAATGGAATGCTTGATTTGGTTGATGCAAAATGGAAAGGTCTAGTTACACTTGGCTTGCAGGCAGGGCCCTGGACCTTGCAAGGGTTCTTCTCTTCTGGGCTTTACCAAGACCTCATATGGACACTTCCCTATTTTGCAAAATTTGCAGATATTGTAATATGGTTTCTCAAAAGCTTTAGTTAGATAGAAGCTCTGCCAGTGTTCCTAGAGACACTGAGTTATGGATTAAAGAACAGTTGTAGGAGCACATTTACATTTTACCAGAACATTTATTCCCCATTGAGCTCTATAGTACAAAGCAAGGAACACTCTAAAGAGTCTGGGCATAGGAAGCATCTGCATCAGCTTGGTTCAGACCTTTATATCAGCCTTTCTGTCCCACACATCCACCATTCCCATCAAACTGCTTTTTCTGTTTGTGTGAAATGGAATTAGGTAATTTATTTCTTGGTAAACTGACAGAATAGCTTTTGTACTTACATCATCAGTTTGGCCTCCTCCATGAAATCATCTTCAGACATTGCACCTTCATTGATTGTTTTGATGGCAACCTTGATAGTCTCTTTCCATTTACCAAGATAAACAACTCCAAACTGCCCACGCCCGAGTTCCTTCAGGAACAACAGTTCAGATGGGTTTAATCCCCACTCCTCTGTAAAAGCAACCCAATATGTCAGGAGAATCAAGCCAGCTTTCCTGAGCCGTGCTCCAGGAGACACGCCTTGCTGATGAACACTGCAAAGCATCACGCTTGTTCATCAGCCAAAGCATAAGTTTTAAATATCCGAAAATTTTCACTGGCTCATATATGTTTAAATATAAATGCTATTTTACCACTTAAAGAATGTGATTAATGATTTTGCTTAGGAATGCCTGAGGCTTCAAGAAAAGGCAAGTGTTTAGCTTTGACTACACATGAAAACTTTTTTGGCACTACAATATGTGATGTTTTTAGCTCCAAATCAGTTCCAAATCAAATCAGTTCCTATGGATAGTATACCTACAGAAATAGTCACTGGCTACCTTTATTGTAATAACTACAATAGTTCAACCCTTCAGAAATATTAAGCTTTGAGATTCATGGGAACATGAAAGATACTCAGTTTTGGAGGTTCCTATTGCCCAATAGATGGTATGAAATTCCTGATCTATATACACAAACTGGCATTTATTGCTTGTTTGTTTTAATACCACGTAAGATTGCGTTCTTATTTTCTAAAATCTGCTGAACTGATAAAGAAAATCTTCTCCATAAATAGTATTAATTTCAGGTTTCAATTTTGGTTTCCTAAGCACTTACATAAATCAAATAGCTTTTCAAAAGCTGTTAAATGTCTATTTGAGCCTTAGGTTTGCTTAGAAAAGTCCAAATAGCTCTGAATGCATTGGTGCTTGTAACAGAAGCACAACAGTCACTGCACAGAAGCAGCTGAATCAGGTGTCTCATTTGGTACTGACACCTTACTCTTTTTATGTGTTTATTATTATCAAGGAATTTCACAGGTAGAACTTAATTATTAGCTGGGTGAATATGAGTTAAATTCTTGCCAAGGCAGATAGCAAAATCTCCTTCAAAAGAAGATTAAAAAATTTACCATAACTCAATCCTGAAGTTTCTGGAGAAGTACATCCATCTGATCTAACTGGATGTCGCAGACGTGTGATAAGACCTGGAAGGGACAAAGGCACAATATTCTGCTGACCAATTACTTAATTTTAAAATATGCTGTATCATACATCTTCTCAAACAAAAATACTTGGAATCTGATGTAAATTTCTTATTTCTTGAAGTTATTTTTGCCTGCAGGACCATTTCTGCTACAAGTGTTTCCTACAATTCTTCTCCCTCCAGCAAAAGGCTCTGTCTATTCCCATATCTTCCTCTCTAGCGTAAGGGATCTTCACTCCTTCAGAGTAAAGCCATTTTATATTGTATTAAAATGATGGGAAGAACCAAGGTGAAGGATATTCTTTCATACTAAAAATTATAAAAATCTGCCATCTGCCAACAGTTAGAGGTGTCTAACTCTGGTAAGCTGAAAGCCAGTGTTAGAGAGTCCTTGTGCTCCCTAATTCTGCCCTTGATTGTTTGTGGTATGGGTTGTTGTTTTTCACAAAGTCAGTAGAATGCTGCCTGCTGATGCACAGCAAAAGTTCCTGCTTTTATTAGAGTGCATGTATGCAGGTCCTTGCTGTAAACAAAGAAAGAATTATTATCAAATTTCACCCAAGTCCCATGCAGTCAAATGTCAACCAAGAGAATACAGAGCAGGCTTCAATCTTTACTAAACTCATTTAATACATGTAGACAAGTTTGGTTGTCTTACTTCCCCCATGGCATATGCACATGACAGCTATGACTTTGGCAGAGAGAATCAAGGCATATTTGAATTCATGAGCAATAAAAACGCTTGTGTCTCTTTTTACAATGAAAGTATTAGAAAAAGATGTAAAACTGTTATCAGCTCACATGCATTACCTGCAGCATTGTGTTGATGATACTCAATGAGCTCAGGAACAGATGAAAACAGATATTTTTCTGCTACATAATATTGTCCCAAGTGGTTTTGTTTAATTTGATAGTGTAGAATATCTCCATTATGATTTCTGAAAGCAACAAAACATAATAATTTTCAGTAAAAATATTTTATAGCATAAATTTGCTTAAATTTCACTATGAAAGCATAGAAAAATGTGAAAACATGGGACACAGTTCTCAATATAAAATGGCTGTGTGCAGCTGGAACACTGTTTCAGGAGTAAAAAAAAGATAAAATTCCTTGAATGAATTCCAGGAATTCTCCAACTTTGGGAGATTGCACAATGTCTTTTGTTGCCCAAGTAGTTTTTATCCCTGGATCATTGCATTCATAAGAAATAGCCATACTGTTTAAGAAGTGCTCCTCCTAATTTAGCATTTATTTGAATATAACCTCTTAAAATTAAAATGTTATGAATTACCTGCATTTTCTCTCACAAAAACTTAAACACATATTCATGTATAGCATGAGATTAAATTTTCTGTTCTAGTTCTTCAAAGGGTCTTCATTGGAGCTTTTATTTGATACCTTTGTTTTTCTGTATTTCTTTGTGTTATCTGTCTTTTTTGCTTTCTGTAGATTTTGCTGCCCATCTATCCTTGCTTTCTGTGACACTCAAAACTAAGCAGTTAAGTTTGCATTTCAGGCTGGCAGTTGCTGAAGGTTGGTACCCTAAATTGTGGACACATGGTCACAACAAGCAGAGATCAGAATACAGAAACATTTCACAGTCTGCATTACAGAGTCAATGTCAGAAACACCACTAATTTTCTACAGAAATGGTGAGACTGTCCCCAGCACAGGAATGGTGCGGAGGGGATGGCCCATCTTTCCGAGGAGGGAATGGTGGGAGGAGGAAGAGGGTGGTGGTAACAGCAATGCCTCTGCTGCTCTCACCTCTGGCTTGCTGTAAGAGGGAGAGAAGGAAAGCAGACACAGATGATACAGGGGGGTGTGGGAGGGCTGATGAAGAGGGTGTAAAACAGCTTGAAATAGGTTAAGTCAGTGCTGTAGGTGATCGCTACTGCTTCAGGCAAGTGTGAGTAATGTGGCTGTTGTCCCACAAAAGCAAGACCCTCACAGTAGGGGTGAGGTGATTTTAGGAGACAAACTGGCAAAGTTTGAGGACAGCAGAGTCTGATGGATTTAAAGTGCACAGAGCCTGTGGAGAAAGGGAACAGTTTGGTGCAGTGGCCAAAGGCTGTGGCCTGGTTTCCACAGCAGATCATTTGAGAATTTCAGTGAGTGCAGGTATCTTTGTCTTGCCAGGACAATTTGCACACCCACTCCCAGATCCACCGCCCACCCTCATCTTTTCTGCACACAGGGTGATTAACTCTGCATGAACAGCATCCCTGCTCTTGTGCATTGAATGTCCAACCTCCCCAATTATTCTGAGGAGTTTGGAGGAAGCTTTTCCATCACCTCTTGATTCAAACTCTAACCATTCAGGGAACTCACCCCTTAGCCCGTGAATACATGGACAGCGTAAGAAGGCCCTGTCGGCTTGAATCTCTGACAACAAACGCACCTTCTTTGGGCTGAAAAGAAATCCAAGCAGAGTTATTTTATGCTTTTGAGTTTCAGTAATGCTCCCTTGAGACAGGACTTACAGCAGTTACCAAATTCTGTAGAATACCTATGACTGTTTGGGAGGAAGATAAAGAAGTGAAGAACAGAAATGGATAGCCAGGTACATGGCAGAGCAAAATAAACCAAGAGAAAAAATAAGTGCCAGGCAACTTCATAGAGATAACTCATTTAGCTGAATTATACTCTTCAGCGTGAAATAGTAAAAATGCTTTGATTTATTAAAAAATAAAAGTGTACAAATCACTAGGGAAAAAATCCATTTAAAACAATTCTCAGATGTTCTTCCTTGGTTTTCCTTGTCCCAGGCCTGAGTTAGTCCTTGAGCAAAGACCCAATGAGTTTGAGTGAGTTAGGCATTTTGGTAATTGACAGGGGGTAGAATGCAATATGGATTGTTTGGTCTTATTTAAGGAAGACACTGAAGTTTGTTAAATTCTGCTAAGCTTACTAATTAGCTAACTACACTGATTTCAGTCTCCAATGTCTAATGCAACAGACAAGCACAGTAACCCATGAAATGTGATTTACCTGGCATGGAAAATCTACATAGAATTGGCTGGGGCTACAACTTAAAGCTTTGTGAAGTCTGGATAGTCTGTACTCTACACTTACACCAGAAAGCCTTTTTATTTTAAGGTATTTTCTCTCTTACAGCATACCAAACAGATTTTGATTAGACTGTTATAATGCTCTTGATGCCTCTACTGACAGATACTTTTCAATACTGTTAGCTCAAGATGTAAGCTGAGTTACCTTCTGGCGCAAAAGAAGTTCTGCCTGGCTTCTGTTAATGTTTCTGTAGTACCACCTGCAAAAGGAGATAACCTAGCCTTAATTTCAGCCAGTGAAAATGAATGTTTGCTTTGTTTCACAGTTTAGTAGTTGCATTATTCCAAGTCAAAAACATGCTTAGAATTATCATTGTATGCAAACATGTCTTAATCTGGAATGATTTCATTAGACCTTCTTTTTAGAACTTTTTGGCCCCAATTTACTGTGACTAAATATTAGCTCAAATAAAAGAAAACCCAGGAAACAGTTATGCCAAACTGTGAAATTTACAGTCCTGTATGACCAGTCAAGCCTTTTTTCTCTACAATTTTTCAGAATTTTAATCTTCTGTCCAATAATTTAAATTTGTAGTAATTTGAATTAGTTACACAATCACAACAGGCAAAGATCAGAACACAGAAACATTATGCATTGGATCAACGGAAACAGGGAAATAAAATCTGGATTCTGACATTATGATTCATGCAAATGAATATTAATTCATTTTAAGAGTAATGTTTTGTAACAAAAAAAGAAAGCTTTTGATAAACATGTTAATGTCTGATAAAAATTTGAAGGATCAAACATTAAAGTGAATCTCTGCAATCCATTTTTAGAAATGAAAGCACAATTTTAATTTTCAAAGATACTTACTTGTATGTTTCTAAATTACTTTTCTTGTTCTCAGTAACGTAGTTGCTGGGAATTAGACCTTCATTCCTAAAACAACATATTGGGGATAATGGTATAATATGGTGTAAAATACTAGTAGGATTAAGATATACATCATCCTTTTGCTGAATTACAAAGGTTATTTCTAGTAGGGGCCATGTTGTCAGATGCTGAATTCCAGCATTAGAACTGAATGAAAATTTGAGTCCTTCCATCCCAGGCACAATCTTTTCGTCCCGTGACTGTGGATGGCTACTCAAATAAAAAAAAATAGATCGTATAAGCTAAGATTTAGAAAAAAATCTTTTTCTTCTGAATCTGAAGCTACCATCTTTATTTCTGGCCTATACAAAGCTCTTATATGAAGAAATATAAAGTGTGTGCTTGCTTGTATATCCAAATAGTTGTCAGTATACTTTTGTTGAAAACATGAGTTGAGAGAAAGCATTTAAAATACTTAAAGAGAAATCTGAAGGAAAAGGAGATGGTTGTAACATAACATACAACCATTCCCAACATCAGAGTACAGGATGAAGAAAATACAAAAGAGAAAGGGGAACAACACGAGACAAGCTTAAGTGTCAAAAGGATCCTAACTGAAGTTATCTAGTTCTCTAAAATAACCAGATATTTTGGGTAAGAGGTTTGGTTTCAGGTATGTCTTCATAATCTCTATGGATTCATATAGTTTTTACACATACACACTCCATTGTAAAGCACTTGAAATATGGAAAGCTAGATTTGCACAAGGCTCAGAACCCAGTGATTCACATGGTCCTCAAAACACCCTTATGCTGCTCAGGAAATTACTGAGTGTAGGTCTTAACTCTGAATTCCCAACAGATTCTAGATTCCCTGTTCATTTCTGGGGTGCCAAACCCTGCTGAAAGTCTGGCCAGCCAATCTGTGTGCCTCATATGTTGTTGAACACTTCCAAGCCTGTTCCTAAAGAATCTCAAAGTCTCATTCTATCTGCCCACTTTTGCACAGGTTGTTTTTTGTTTCTGTCTAGGGAGATTGAAATAGATGCCCTCTCTCTTACCCATGTCGGTCTCTTGCCTTCCACCAGAGAGGATCATACTGTTCGAGGATAATGTATTCTTCTGACTTCTTGAGAGGTAAATCTAAAGGCCCTCTAGCAAAGAAGTCATAGAGTGCAATAACTCTTGGCTTCTTGGCGTAGTCTTCAAAGGCCTCAGCAGGCAGAGGAGGTAATGGCTTGTTCTTAAATTGCAATTGTCTCTTACGCTGGTGAAAAATAAAAGTATTTTTCGTAACTAGTCTTTTCTCTCTACTATAGCTTGCTTAGTTACCTTTACTCAGTAATTTTTATACAACAAAGAACTTTATATGCTCAAGAGATAGTTACTCCCCTGCTTATTCTGGTACTGAGCCACTGTATGTCAAATCACTTCAATTCTCTCTTTTCACCTGCCAAAATATTACTTACCCTGCACTTCCAAGTAGATTCATAGGAAACATCTGGTTGTGAGGCAGAGTACGGGGTCACCAGGACAGTGTCAGGGTCCAGGTTCATTTTTGTTCTCATTTCTCTGATTTTGAAAAACATGAAGCATTTGTGTGAATGCGTGTCTATAAACATCCACATAAAAATACCCATGGCTATATGTGCCTTCCTTCATTAGGGATATGAGTACACATAGTAAAGACAAAGAGTACAGTGTCTTCAAACTTCCACATATTTGCTCCTCTACTGCAAACAGGATTTTACGAAGTCCTTTATGTGTAGATATTTAATTACTGAAAAGCTTAAGCATTTCACATACCTTTCTTCCACTGTGCAGCAGCAGCAGCAGAAAACAGACTGGATGGTGTGATCTGTGAACAAGAACATTTTCCATACTTTTAGCGTTCCTGTTTGTTTGTTCACAAAACTTACAGAATTAAGGACTATGCTATGTGCTTAGACCCACTTTAGCAAATCATTATGGCTGAATTTGCAGTCACCAAAAACAGCAGAGCTTTTCTACCACAGTCTCCCTTACAATGTTGGCAATTAATGGCAATTACGAGTTCATATGTATGAGCTAAATCAGCTTGCTAAATCAGCAAAAAAAAATAATAATAAAAAAAGAGACATCATCAGCCAAATTCATACTGATTTGACAGATTACATCACCCTGCACAAGCTCTACCTGATGCAAGGAGGGGGATGAGAATCTTGCCAGAGACAGGAGGTGGAGAGCTTTAGAACTGGCATAATTTTTAGATTATTCAAGCCAATACAAAACCATGACAAGCTTTTATTTATTTTGAGGTTCATTAAAGGAGCTGCACTATATCAACTTCTTCAAAATAATACTGATTTTCCTGTTTCTGTTGCAGCCATTAATATAAGAAATACACTAGCCCAGGTTTAAAGTGCAGAGAGAATACGTGCTTTACACTTGCATGTCAAGGGGCTGAAAATTTTTGTTTATAAAATCCAAAGTACAACGGATACATCATCACAGATATCAAAAATTTAGAGAGAAACCAATCCAGTATATCTTGTATGTGCAGCACAGAGAACATGATATTAAATAGGTTGGAAAGCATTAAGATTTGAATGAGGTAAATAAATGGTTGACACTTGCTCTGGTCCACTTCTACCTGGGCTGAGATGTACTTTCTCCAGTTTGCATTCCCACACCAGTTTGAGACAAGCTGCAGCAGTTATGATCCCATACTCTTTCCCTCTGCACCTCATCTCATCTCATCTCAAACCGAGCAAGACAGGATGCTAAAACGTCAGGTAATCCCTTTCTGCAGGGTCAGCTCCCAGAACTGTCTCACGCTCTTGCACCACCGCTGGGCAGGTGGGAGGGCAGCAGCTCAGGTTCTCAGGTGCAATGTATAGCATTTTAAGAGTCAGGGATGGAGAGACAAGGTTCCCTTCCTATTCAGCTGCACTAACAGAAAATAAACTTCACATCACACTATACTGTGTCCTAATTTTCTCTGCCACAGAGGTCATAGTTTGCAAAGAGGCCTCAGATTTTTATTTGAAATAGACTTCCCCAGGTCTCAGAATTTTGCTGCTTTGTATTTCATATGATATTTCTTCGTGCAATCCCACCAGTTCCCTCCATATTATTTGTTTTTCCCTCATGGCACTTTTGCATTGTTGCTCCTAATGACCTAATCCAGCCTGGAATAAAGAGGATGTCCCTTCTGGTCTCCTGTGAGACTTTTTGCCATTGCCTATTACCAACTGAAAGCCAAATGTGCTAAGAATATGAATCCCAGCATTCAAAACATTAAGCAACCTTACTGCATTATAAAAATGTAATTATTTTCCCTATGGAGGTACATAACATAGCAAATCTTATGCTAATAAAAGAAGTGAGAGTGTTGGATGTCAGAATGATAAGACCAAACCCAGTTCTTAGTTGGAAGAGCCCTGTCTCATGACTAGTTTATTTAGGCTGTTTTGAAAGTCATGGTGAAGTTTCCCTTAGACTGTTGAATCCTGTGAAGAATCTATTGTGTGGGAAACAGATGAGTTGACAGTAATGAGAAGACACCATCAATTGTTTGATAAAAATCTCCAGTGACAGCTGTGAAAAATGCAGCAATTAAAAATACCCAAGCCAACTGACAGCCACAATTCTCTTCAAAGAAGCCAGGCTAAAAAGATATGGTCAATGAAGTTTATTTGCAGTGTAATTGTCCAGTGCACATTGAATTGTCCCTTGGCCATTTAAAACTGCCTCATAAATAGCGAACACTGTGGGTGGAAAAAAATGCTCGGGTTTTATTTCTGCCTGTGACATGAAGTTCAATCAATGTCTATAAAGTATATAGCTATTTGCAAACAGGAACATGATATTTGAAATCTTATTTGTTTATTCTCATTCAACCATTCAATCTAAATAAATACATTATTTCCCATCAGATTATTTGCTCTCCATATAAAACACTACAAGAAATAGTTAGTAAGCAGCACTGCAAACTTTCTATAACACTAGAATAATCTTATAGTAAAATTTTAAAGATTTTGTTGCTACCATGAAAGCAAGGGGTTCAGATAGATGTTATGCATATGTAATTCTGTCTTGTGTTCCTTATGAGCCCAGTAATCTGAATATTTTTGTAGTGTAAGCTGAAGAATTCTTTTTACCTTTGAATCTCAGATTTGCTTTGTTAATGGATGGTTTTTGTGTCTGACCCCCTACTTTTACCATGCTAAAAGTTATTAACAATAAATTACTGTATGTGACATTTTAAAAGTACACTAAGAATATATGATATTGAATATTTAGCCTCTTGCCCCATCCATAAAACAACAGAAAAGGTAGAGGTTGAAGCTGTAAGCATGATGTTTCCTTCCTGGGACGTGTGCTTCATTTGGTGAGCAATTTCTCCAAGGGTTGAGTGTGTAATTCAATAAAGATGACAAAATATGTTATGATAAATTCTGCAGACTCTAAGTTAAGGCTCAGATTAGACTAAGGCCGTGGATCAGACAAGAGCACGCTGAACTGAACTGCAGGATCTGTAGGAGCAGCACAAAGTCTGCACTGTTCTGCCAAAGTCTAGTTGTCCTCTTTCACTCTGTTGAAGTATTTTAAGTGTGAAATCACAGCCTATCAATCCAGCAGATATCATCCTAAAGCAGATAATTTCCAGCTCTTTGAGAATTAATCTGTCTTTAAACATCTTTTCTCAGCAACCTCGGTCACTTCCAAAATTCTTTTGTCCCTGCATTACTTCTAAAGTATTTGTGGAATGAATTCAGTAGAAATTACTACAAGTGTAAATTAATGCAGTGCAAACTGTACATTTTTATTTGGAAATTTGTCAAGTCTGCTAGGAAACATTATCAAAGGACATAGAGAAAGGCCTTCAGCTCTGCAGAGCTAAGTCCTGCTTTAGTTAAATTGACTTAAGGCTGGAAGCTTTGATGTGACGGCTTGGAATTTCAGTTCTCAAGCAAAGACTCATGAACTGATCTATGCATTTTACATCTTCCTTGGTCATTGGTAAGCTCCTTGAACTACACTTTTCCCTTCCAATTAAACTTGTATTTATTAAGTTCATAACTTACTTTGGAAAGTAGGCCCAAACTGTGATACAGTTTCAGAAAGACTTGGCCAACACTGCAGACGGGGAAAGCTTTGATGCATTGAGTGAATAATTTGATTTAACTCATTCTCCTCTTGGCCTCCTGCTTGTGGCCAAGGAAGATGCTGACACCAAGGGCTGCACGGCAGTGCACATTGTCACGCAGCAGGAAGACAGCATTTCCTGCCTGACACTTCTCACCCCCACATGCAACCTCTCATGTCTTGTGCTCTTCCTTCCTTTCTCTTTTCTCAACACCCATCAGAAAAACTAAGAAAGAATTACAATACTTAAACTCCTGTATTTTAATTTTTTATAAAGTTATCATTTAAAATACAAATAGATTGAAAATAGATTCTTAGAATTTACTCATCTAAAATATTTCTTTTTGATTATCCCTTCTGCTAGATCACTGAAATCAATGGAACTACTCTAATTTCCTTCAATTTTTCACCAAGGACAGTTTCCTAAGCAAAACACTGGATTTTTCATGGAGTGTTTGAGTCCTAATTAGCTGGCCTTGATCCTCTAGTCCCTAACTCAAGTAGCCCCGCCGAAGAGTTCATAAATTAAAGGTTAGTCACTGGTGGCATCACTGAGAATTGTGCTTCAGCAAAGAAATCACATTTTGGATTCCGTATTTGGAAGAGAACAGAGAGACCAGTCAGATTTGCCATTTATGAATGACAGACTGCTTAGACAGGACATAGGAAAGTAATACAGGCTAAGAGGAAGAAATGTTCCATTATTATTAACAATAAATTAAGTTTGAAGTCTGTTAAAATAAGGTACTTATGGAGCTATTATTTATTTTAGATCCCATTTCTCTGTTTCCTACCTAAGCTTCCCAAAAATGTAAAAAAAAAAATAAAAAAAGTGATCAAATTTTGCTTCTTTTAAACCCATAACAGCACATAATACAAACAGAAGGTTTCTCCAGCACCCACAGCTCCATTAAATCTTTCAGCTCACATTCCCTTGAGTTCTATCAAAACACAAGCTACCCAAACATGTTTCTTTGATCCTCGGGGTATGTCATCATAGGACAACTAAATTCAATAGTTTAAAACGTAGGTTTAAATTAAGAGTCTTTGAGGTGTTGACTCTAGAATTTGCCATCTTCTTTCTTCAATTGCATAGAGAATTTTTTATTTCTGCAATTTTTGATGAGAGCTTGCCACCTCAGACAAAGTTATTTAACACAGGAACAAACAAATATAATGCATTTCACTGCTAATGTGTTTTTCTTTCTGGAAATGAGTAATTTAGGAGGAAGACACTTGTTCATGCCAACACTAGCACAGAGCCATGACAGCCTATCAAAGTACAGTGCTGTACATCAAACCTATGCTCAGTTTCAAAACAAGAAATAACTGTGCCATGAGAAGCATGTGGCTAAAGTAAAAACACTAGGAAACCAGTGTTGAAGCTAATCTGACAAATACTTAGCCTAAAAACATGCAGCTGACATTTTGAAAACCAACTTTTGAGTCCTGGAAATAAATTTATCTGTGCACAACAGAGCAGATGGAATGCAAGAGGAAGAAGAAAAAGATGGGCCAGCTGTCAGGAACAGCCATTTGCTTAAGCAGCTTAGAGTCCCATCAGAACAGAGAAGGTAGAGTGAAGACACATCGTGGTCTGATACAGTCCCACAACACCCACAGTATGCTTTGGGTTGATAACATTGTCAGTATATGTGCTCAATTCACACATACATGTGCAATCTTCCTCCTGTCTTCAGCTGTTACTCACTGTAAATGGCAGCTTTAGGGAAAGTAACATCAA